TTTTATTGTGATGTTTTTAGTAGGTCTCATAAATTAAGATACGGCCCATATAAACTTACTCTTCCACCAAAATAAACTCTTAAATGTTGTAGTTAGATCTTTGAATTTTATCTTTATTTGTACTAACATTGATTTCATTTTAACACTGCAATAGTTAACTAAAAATGTATCGATACTTATATTTCGGCATTGATTAAGGTCATGCTTTTCACAGACTTTTGCGAACGTCTTTACACACAACCCATTGCCAATTAAGTCTGGGGAAACATGGTCATTATTAAAAATTGGGCTTTGGGCTTGTTTTTAATAACTAAGAGTGTCTTAGATCGATTCTTTGTGTCGTTTGCCTATTACAGTTTGTTCTTATGTTGTATTCTTACACCACTGTCTATATATGCCTGCCAATAGTCAGTAACCCTTAATCTAGTGGTTATTATTGGTTGTTGTTTGACATGACTTTTGGTCTTTATGGATAAATGTTTCATCGGCAATCATACATTTCCTTGTCTTTGAACCAAAGAGGAAATTTTTCGGATCTATACTTCATATTTCAAAGACTTTACGTAATACCATTAGAGAGAAGTTTGTGACATTGCAGTAATTTCACTAGAATAGGACTTGTGAAAAACTGAAAGGAGCCTACAATGTATCAATATACAAAAAACGACGACGATCAATTTGAAAAGTAACTAAAAAATAACTTTTAACAAAACATACAACATCAAGTACTTGAAGATGATTTCCTTCAATTTGAATCATAAACCCTTTCCATAACTACTTATATTTTAACATGATTTCACATTCTGAAAATGCTGTATGAATATAAAGGAATACCAAAATCATTTTCCAAAGGTTTTCTATACTAAGATTTATTTTCTTTTTTCTTTTGTTTTGCTTAAAGTCAAGTGAAAGATGGAATTTGGACACATTTGACGAGAGAATGAAACTTTACCTTGCATTATGTCAAATAATGACTTGAGAAAGGGTTTTGCATAAATTGTTCCAACACGCTCTAACGATAACGTTCTTTAAGATCTTATAAAGAAACTGCTGTATGGCATACCAATAATATCCTAATTTTCACTACAAATTTTTAATATTTCATTACAAGGGGTTTTTTTTGTCAATACGATATTTATTGTATTCGTTTTTACATTATTTCATTAATTTTAATTAATAAAATGCTAAACTCGATATAATAAAAAAAAAAAAAAAATTTAAATTATATTCTACCCAAGGAATCAATTACCTTAGATGTATTTGGCAAAACCTTTCATTATTTTTGGTCCTAAATGTTTTTCAACTTCACTTCTTTCTTTATTTGGGCTTTTAACTTTTTTTTTTGTTTTTCAAGTTTTTTTTTATTTAACAAAATCTGTGAATTGGTATATGTAGTAATACTTCCAAAATTCTATTCCCTCCATCGAATTAATAATTTATCATACCGAATTCCAAAAAAAAAATGTAATATATAATATTTATTATCAGTTAAAATATCAGTAAAACAAAATGTTTGGTCTGTTTGACATTTAATAGTACACACTTTTTATTATTCATGATTTTATAATACTAAACCTAAATGTTCCACTCGTTATGGTGAATTTAACGATGTTTTATTTCAAATTGAAAAAGTGGGAGGTTTAGCTATCAAACCAGCTTTAACTCACCATTTTCGTCGGAAAATGCCTGTATCAAGACCGGAGTATGACAGTTGTTTTACTCGTTCTGTTATCAAGTTGTATTTGAGTAACACTGAATGTATTTATGCCATTGATTTGTCTATCCCTACATAACTTACCATTAGGTAGCCCAACACCAAAGCTTTAGAGACATCTGTCGTCTAGCTTCATCTGCATCCACGTCAATTTGATTATGTGCAAATCCATAGAGACGACATGACAAAGTTCAAACTAACTCTATTAATATCAGTTTGTCAATTTGCAACTTTCTAAAAGCGACTTTAAAGAAGTTCAATGAAGAAAGTCCTAGAGGAAACGATGTTGTGCTTCCGTTTAATCAATTTTTTATTATTAGTGATAAACTCGGCATCCCATGTCAAAACATGGAGCTTGCCCTTTTTTTCATTTTCATATTGAGACAACACACCATGATTTTATCAACTTGTGTTATTATCTCAACATGGAGAAATAGAGATGTCAGTTGAAGGTCCTGAATGACAGCAATCCATCGATACAAGTAACAAAAGAAATTTTAAGGGAACAAAACATATCAATTTTCTTTAAAGTAGATTTATATTACAATAGGTCAATCTTTAAATTATGCACAATTATGAAAATAATAAACAAAACCATCAACACCAAATTCTATAAAAAAAGTCCATGTCATGGCATGACAAATTAAATCAAATAACATAAATCAAAAATTCAATCAGCATTGATACAAATGCATGTCTTGCAGTATAATTTATGAAATAATTTTCTTCGGGAAATACATGTACCAAGTCAGCAGTATGACAGTTTATTAAAATTTAAAAGAATGAATGAATTTATTTGCAAAAAGCATATACCGGTACATCATGTACATGCTATAGCAATCAAAATATATATTACAAATATGACACAGTGATAAACAGCAGAAAACAACACACATGATACAACTTATTCAATAATATGACATCTGATTTTCCATGATGCCTTTAGATAATTACAAAATCTTATAGTCGCTTATAGATTTTTCGGCAGCTTTTAACAATTGATCTAGTTTATATATATTTGTTTTCCACTCTTTCCGTTTGTTCATATCGTTTGATCTTGTCAGTTTTAATGGACTTTCTCTTTTTGAATTTACTTTGGAGTTCGGTGTTTTTGTTATATAATTTTTGGTTGAGTTATGTTATCGATGATAATAACAAAGCGGAATAACAAAGCGTGAAGAAGACGCCAATGACGTAATGGTTGCCCTATGGTATATATTCCCAAACAGACCTGTCAGGCGGCACAATAAAGCAATTATAAATTCATAATGCATCCATTTAATTCGTTAAAATATTTCACAACAAAGAATTTTATAAGAATGTTTACATGGAACCACACTAAGTTAATCCAAATCGCAAAATGTCACCATTGCAAAACTATATTTAAAAAATGAAAATAGGTAACAAGTGATTGAAAAAAGTAAAATGTGGTGTTTGGTTTGAATAAAATATTATATAGGTATACAAATCAGTATGTATAAATATAATGTCCAAGAAAAGTACAGAATAATAAAGCTAATGTGTGGCTATTCTTTCAAAGCAGGTTTCTTCAGGCAAACCTTTAAAAAGCTATGTACTAGTTTTAAGTACGATGTTCAGAGTCTATGTTTAATTAAGATTCATTTTCCATAGACTTGTCATTGATTTCTAAATGAAACATTTAATCATGTACGCGATCAGGAATGTAATTTAAAAAGTACTGAATTAGGGTAAAAGATAAATGTTGTTCAGACTCAGTCATTCTTACAAACCAAGCCTTTCAAACCATTGAATCATACTTTACGTTAAATTGATGTTACATGATTGAATGAATTAAATTTTCTGTCTTGAAATTAATAACCACTGTTTAACATATTGAAGAGGCAAACTGTGTCTGATTCAGTTAAATTGAAACTTTCACTCTTCAAAACAGACACTTTTCATTTTAGCTTAAAACATGATTCAATAGACAAAAAAACAATATACATCGTCGGTCGTAAAAAAAAAACGCACACTCCGTCATGTTTTAACATAAAATATTAAACAAAAACACTTAAAACAAATAAACACTTAAATCAAAACTAACAATGTAACAAAGTACTAAATGAATCATTCATTATCTTAATGTTTATGACATATTATGATAGGTCATGCATTAATACTTCACCAAATGAAAAAAAATTAAAAAATCGAAGATAATAATATTGGTATTTAAAAAATAGCACAAATTCTGATATTAAACATTTTAGTCCAATGCATTCAATTGAAGCACGACAGTAAATTTATTTGTGCTCAGAAGCAATATTCGACGTGTTCAGAATATATATAATATCAAAACGATTTTCAAATTCCTGTAAACAGACTCTAAAAAATAACATAAAACGTCTAAATAGAAACTTTTTTAAAACACACTTAGAAAATACCCAAGGAGGAAAAAGGCTAATTACAATACAAAATAGAAATCAAATCAAAAACTTCTGTTTATAAAATAAGATTTCATCAATTTTCGAAACAGTTTTGACATTAATAATTAACATTTCATTCTATATGACCTTTAATGTTTACCAATACTGCGAAAAAAATCCATGATGCTATTTTGTCACGAATGTGACTTACCAAATTAGACTATTTACCGGATTTGTAATAACATAAGCAACACGACGGGTGCCACATGTGAAGAGGGATCTGCTTACCCTTCCGGAGCACCTGAGATCACCCCCAGTTTTTGGTGGGGTTCGTGTTGCTTAGTCTTTCGTTTTCTATGTTGTGTCATCTGTACTATTATTTGTCTGTTTGTCTTTTAATTTTTGGCCATGGCGCTGTCAGTTTGTTTTCGATCTATGAGCTTGACTGTCCCTCTGGTATCTTTCGTCCCTCTTTGACAACTACGTGGTAAAAGCAGGTATACTATCCTACTTTGATTTGTTACTACGTAGTAAAAGCAGGTATATTATCCTACTTTGATTTGTTACTACGTAGTAAAAGCAGGTATACTATCCTACTTTGATTTGTTACTACGTAGTAAAAGCAGGTATACTATCCTACTTTGATTTGTTACTACGTAGTAAAAGCAGGTATACTATCCTACTTTGATTTGTTACTACGTAGTAAAAGCAGGTATACTATCCTACTTTGATTTGTTACTTCTTAGTAATAGTTTGCATAAGTTTTTTGTCTTACTATATTTACTCATAAAAGTTTGGAAGACCTAACTAATAAAACATCATAAAGAAACCTTGGGCCACAATGAGGTATATAAATTCTAAATGAATAAGTTATACATTGCATCTTTGAATTCAACTTGATATCAATCAATATGATTTTAAGTACCCACAGTTGGTCATTTACTAAACTTGTATAGATGTTGAAATCATATCATCAAAAGCGACACATTACAGCATCATACTCTGTTCACACTATTACAACACATTAGTCCACGTTAATAGGTTGGTCCGCCATCTGGGATTTTTCATTCAATTCAACATTGTACTCTAGCTGATCAATTTTTGCTAACATCTACAATTCAACAGTATTTGATTGATGATTAATTTACCTTAATGTGCATTCTATTAATTGACCAACTATGCATTACGTGAACATCATTAATTTCGACGTTTCTTGTTGTCCAAGGCGCTATACAAGAGAATGTATCCGACTAAGCAACGTAAATAAAGCCGATCTTGGTTCAATAATGACATTTTAACACCTCGGAATACTCTCATATTTGAAAAAAAAAGTGTTTTGTACTTCAAAAATATTTTGAATTGTGCAACAAAATCAACAGAAATGTATTATACAAGCATTAATATATATTGAAATAAATAGGAAAAGTGTCCATGGGACACCGATGATGCCCCCGCTTGCATGTAACGTAATAAAGGGACATAACTCAAGAACTCTAAAAGTGATGCTACCCAAATTTGTACTTGATCTGAGTTTTGTGGTAAAAAGTATTGTATATAAGTTTCATAACATTTGGTTGAGGCAAACTAAAGTTAGAGAATGGAAATGAAAAATTCAGCCATTTTTTCATTTGTAAAAGGGGCATATCTCTAGAACGGTAAAAGTGACGCCACCAAAAATCAAACTTGATCTAATTTTTGTGGTAATAAACATTGTGTATACGTTTCATAGCATTTAGTTGAGGCAAACTAAAGTTAGAGAACAGAAAGGAAAAATTCAGCAATTTTTCCATTTGTAAAGGGGCCTAACTTTAGAACGGTAAAAGTGACGCCACCAAAATTCAAACTTGATCTGAGTTTTGTAGTAATACGCATTGTGTATAAGTTTCATGACATTTGGTTGAGGCAAACTAAAGTTAGAGAACGGAAACTAATTTTTGGACGGACGGACATACGGACGTACGTACAAACGGACAAGGGTAAAACTTAATGCCCTTCCGCTACGGCGGGGGCATAAAAACAGTCAACTTTGTACCATTAAGAACCACATAACATTTTGCAAATAAATCTTTTGTCTTTGCATGTAGTACAGTTATTAATACAAATAAAGGGATGAGAAGATATAAATGGCTAGTAAAAAGATACAAAAGTCCGTGGGACTATCAAAATCAAAATCACAAGTCGCCCCAAATGTGTCAATTTTTTTAATATTATTTTTACGTCACAATTTGTTTAAAGCCTATTTCACTATTATATTTGACTTCCTATATTTGGACTTTTTTGTCATATGCAGATCACGATTTAGTCAAGATTCGTAAACTTTTATATTGTGTCATTTAAACTTTTACTACAAATTATAATTTTTATCATATTTAAACATAAGAACAAAATATGAAAAATAATTATACCTCTCTCCCTGCCTCTTGTCTTCTATAATTTGCACCAATAAAGGCTGAAAGTTAAAGACATACATGATTATATAAGTTTGTGTTTGTATTTTAAAAGACGTGTCCATATATTATGAACTTAAAAGCGATTAAATAGAACTAAAAGTAATTTCATTTTATATTTAATTATCACAACAATTCACATATATTTCGGGGAATCGATTTATTCCTTGTTTTACTGATATCTTAAAATATGTCGACCAGTCAACAGGGACTGATTATGATAAAGAGTCTGAATAATTACATACGTATTGTCGGGCATATAGGATGATAGCATTTGTATATATTATGATATCATATTTTCACTGTAATAGATAAAAGATTCAGTGGATATCATGAAACCACAAGCATGTATTTCGGAACTACTGTTGATATTTGTCTTGACTTAAGGTATTGCCGTGAATGGACCGACTGTTGAAAAATTTCGCGTGATTAGGTCATCACTATTTCCTTTACTAATCGTTTTCAATTAATCAGATATCTTTATAAACTATGACCTTTGACTGCAAACTTTCTAAGAGATCATTTTGAAATATATGCAATTGTCATTTATAAAATATGTGTACTAGTAAAATCGATTTAACTCACAATTTTCTGTTGAAAATGCCTTTACCAGTGAAGGTTGATAGTTATGTGAAATGTTACATCAATAGGTTTTCCAGAAATTGTGAATTTCAAATGCTTGTGGATTTTTTATTTTGTGAACCCCCTGAGGCCTTCATCGCCTTTATATTGGTGAGTTTAGATAGCTTCTATGGGTCATTCGGAAATCTCAGGAGACAACATGCTCGGAACCTCTCGAAAATTTTTCATCATTTATACAGGTAGTTAATCTAGGTCTTTGATACGGTCCCTCTATGGATAGGCTATCGCGTGACACTGTATTTTTCAACACTAAAAGTTCATTTGTAGATCGAATAGCAAAAAAAATAAAGACTAGGTTGCAGTCAAAATTCATTTATATGTTAGAAACTATTTGCCTTTTAACAAAACATATGTGTTTTTAATAATGCGAATGTTTATTAAATATGAAGTATAACGATAACGCAATTATATAATTCATGCTGTATCTTAGGTCAGAAACACAGTGGTCGGAAAACAGAAAGATAATTAAACAAAAGGATTTGTCTGTCAAAAATATTTAATTCGATAAAAGATACTACCAGACCAAGAGAATATTCATTAAAATTATTAAGTTTAAACTGAGACTAAATTTGTCCTTAATAGAATATAATCAAAAATGTTATATATACGTGTTTTATGCCCCACAGGTTTGAACAGTGAATACATTTATGGGAAAAAGCTGACAAAAAATCTTTGGACTCTTTTTTTAAATCAGTAATGAACATAGTTGATATACGTATTCAACATTTTAAAGAACATTTTACTCTTAACAATAACCACAATAAACCTATTTCTCGTATCAAACATAAACTAAAAGAACTAGCCAAGGAATTTGTTTTTGTCCCGGCCGATAAAGCTGCTAATAATATTATTATTGTTTGACGTAAATTTTACATTGAGGTTCTGAAAAAAGAAATCACCAATTCACCAACATTCCAACTGACTCCATTTTCAGAAAACGACATCTGTAACAAACATAAACTTTTAGCTACCGCTTTACAAGCAGAACCAAATACAATGAAAGTCCCAACTATGTATTGGCTTCCGAAGCTACACAAAACACCTTACAAATATAGATTCATTTCGTCTTCAAGCCATTGTTCCACTACTAAATTGTCTATTCTTCTTACCAGTACACTTGGTACAATCAAAAACCTGATAATAAATTGTTCAAATAAGGCCTTCGAAAATAGTGGAATTAATTACTTTTGGAGTGTCAAGAACTCGTTGGAAGTACTTGATAAATTGCATGCATATATTGGTGATTTTGAATCTGTTCAAAGTTTTGATTTTTCTACCCTATATACCACATTGCCTCACATTCTCATTAAGAAAAAATTCACACACCTAATTAAATGGGCATTTAAAAAGTCAGAATGTGAATATATATGTTCAAACTCTTTTAGGTCATTTTTTAGTAGCAATAAACAAAAAAACTATGTCAATTGGACATGCTTTGATACTATATATGCCCTTGAATTTTTACTAGATAACATTTTTGTTCGCTTTGGAGATTCCGTATATCGTCAGGTTATCGGAATTCCAATGGGGACTAACTGTGCACCACTTATTGCGGATCTTTTTTTGTATTGCTATGAGTTACAATTTATGACAAAAATCAGTAAAGACCCATCGAAACAACATCTGATACACAAATTTAATAATACTTTTAGATATTTGGATGATATTTTGGCTCTCAATAATGACGACTTCAGTATGTATACTAAAGAAATTTATCCTGTTGAACTTACTTTAAATAAAGCTAATACTAACAATGACCACTGCCCTTTCCTCGATCTTGATATCTATATCATTAACGGAAAGCTTAATACTAAAATATATGATAAAAGAGATGATTTTTCATTTCCTATCGTTAATTATCCATTTTTAGATGGTGACGTTCCCTTGTCACCATCTTACGGTGTTTATATATCTCAACTTGTACGATTCGCTCGTGTATGTAACAATGTTTTAGATTTTAACGAGAGAAATGTATGTATTACTGAAAAATTATTACACCAGGGTTTTCGATATCACAAACTAGTCAAAACATTTACTAAATTTTATCATCGGTATAAGGACATCATTCGTAAATATAGCTCAACATGCAGACTTCTTATACGTTCAGGTATTTCACATCCAATTTTTTATGGAAATATTCTTTATAAAGCACAAAAATGTCAGTATTCACCTCTGAAACTAACAAAACCTTTAAATAGACTTATTAAGAAGGGATATAGTTACGATACTGTTGTCAGGTCATTAAAGATTGCATATTTTGGCGTTGATATTGATTCACTTATAGGGTCTTTGCATCTGCACTAAACACATTTATTTAAAAACCAGTTGTTGGCATGACACGGGTTATGTTCTTCTCATATATGTTATGATGGTATGATACTAAACCCCTAACGGGAAGGATTGTGCCTGATATTCATATGATGAAGACATAATCTTTCAATCAGTTTAATTGAAGTCTGGAGCTGGCATGTCAGTTAACTGCTAGTAGTCTGTTGTTATTTATGTATTATTGTCATTTTGTTTATTTTCTTTGGTTACATCTTCTGACATCAGACTCGGACTTCTCTTGAACTGAATTTTAATGTGCGTATTGTTATGCGTTTACTTTTCTACATTGGCTAGAGGTATAGGGGGAGGGTTGAGATCTCATAAACATGTTTAACCCCGCCGCATTTTTGCGCCTGTCCCAAGTCAGGAGCCTCTAGCCTTTGTTAGTCTTGTATTATTTTTAATTTTAGTTTCTTGTGTACAATTTGGAGTTTAGTATGGCGTTCATTATCACTGAACTAGTATATATATTTGTTTAGGGGCCAGCTGAAGGACGCCTCCGGGTGCGGGAATTTCTCGCTGCATTGAAGACCTGTTGGTGGCCTTCTGCTGTTGTCTGTTCTGTGGTCGGGTTGTTGTCTCTTTGACACATTCCCCATTTCCATTCTCAATTTTATGAAATTATATGCAACATGCAACATATAAGCACCAATGAGCAGGGATGCGTACACATAAGTTAGTATCTAAATGTAAAACGGTAGTGAATGAAAAAATACTTGCATAGTTTCAATTCATAAGAATTTTAAATCCTTGCATCTCACAAAAAACGTAATTAATATTTTACGATAATGATAAAAAAAATTAATTACTAAAGTTGATGTTTCAGTATGGATTTCTAAGTCTCTGCTTATATTTTATATTGCAATATATTCATATAGTGGAAAGTTAGACTATAACAAGAGATTGATTTGATAAATAAAATGTCCATCAGTAAATACTTGATGTTTGTGTTTACTGATATTATATTCTAAATTGTCGGAATAGATTTATTGACAGGAATGTATGTTTATTTTCAAATTTCAATTTTTTTGTTTTTTTGTTTTTAATAGTTCAACCTTATAGCATCTAAATCTTTGCTGTATGGTACGATTTTGAAAATTGTATTCATTGTGTTGACCAGCTATCCTACACGTTTTGGTTCATTTACATTATATAGCACCCTGTAACACGACACACTATCGGTTTGCGTTCACACAAATTCCGGATGAAATGGCAATGAATCCAGAGTCAAAACACTTGATGTAGGTAGATTGACATCCTAATTCAACTATTAATCATTTGTTTCGAAATGTTGGGTCCTCAATTCCTTTCAACTTCTTTATTTGACCTTTTAAACTTTTTGATTCGAGAGTCACTGGTGAGTCTTTTGTTGACTGAACTCGCGTCTGGCGTACAGCATTTTAATCCTGGTATCTTTTTATATCTACATATCGCTGTATATAAATTGGTTCTGTTGAGAGTATGTTCATAAAACTTCCGAAAATAAGATATTCTTCAAAACCAATTTTTCCTGAAGAATATTTGGATTAATTTAAGTAACTTAATTTGAGATGGAAGCTGGTGTGTTACTCTCAAAAACAATATACGAAACCTTCTTATAAGTTGCATGCCACAGGGTTTCACTTCGCATGGAAATAAGACTTTAAATTTATCTATACAACATCTACCATGAGTACAGACAGCTTCAATAATGAGTATAAGAATAATTGAAGGCATCCAGGAAACAAAATATGAAGATATGATAGATAAAAGAAATGCATCCAGATTATAATGCAAACTGAGTGCTTAAATCTATATTGCGATAGTTTTGTGCAATTTGCATTAGACATCCGGTTTGCAGAAACTGGGATTTGCAATAGAATTATGAAAACTCCCAAGTAATAAATAAAATAGTCAAGCCTTAAAATGTAAATTCAAATAGTAGCTGTATATACACTTTTCTATTCACAACTATCCAACATTGCTTTCAATTGACTTGTGCAAGAATCTACACACAATTACATATTTTCAACAAAGGAGTTTTAACATCATCATTATCTTATTCTTTTCACAGTTAACTGTTTCAAATCAAAACCAAACAAAGATTCAGCAACATTTTTTGTTAACCAGCCATGCAGAGGTCTCAGGTTCACGTGTTGCTTTTCTTTTTTTAAAGAAAGCAACTTGTTCAAACTATGTTAAAATGGCCATTTCATGTCAAATTGTCTAAAAATCTATTCATTTGTTTGGAGTAAAACCATACCAATTCAAACACGTATAATTTATTCATAGTATGATTATGACTTACCTGTGATAACTGTACCTATCAGTAGGGCTACACATATAGTTATATTGGCAGATAGAATACTGATGTTGTTCAGCATTGCCCTCATACCAATGGTAAGAATAATGCCAAAAGTCTTAAAAAAAATGGTAAACCAAATTTATTTATTATTAATTCATTTAACAATTAAGGTTTTAATGTATACTTTGCAAATTAACTGTACAGGTGAAAACACAAGAGGCAAGGAAACAACAAAAATTGAAAAAAGTGCATTAATATGTCACCATGCTGTTTTATCGATTGGGAAGGGTCGTTAATGTAGGACAAGGTCTACATCATCCAAATTTGACAATTGGTTCATGAAATCAATAAAAACAACCTATAATAGAATTTATACATTAAAACATAAAAAAAACTGAAAAAAACAGAAAAAAATAAACATTCTTGTTGTTCATATATCTGATACTAAGTACCTATATACTTAAGATCATCTCACATTTGGCGACTTTTTTGTGTGTTTATGTTTGATTATATCAACAAGACGCATAGATGTTCTCTATACGTGTCAGATGTACCTGCAAATTGTATAATGCATACGAGATTTTGAACGTTTTAACGTTAGAGTTGTCATTCTTTTCACATTTTTTAAATGACATATATTGAAAGTATTTGTTATCGATTGTCGGAAAATATCGTAAATATAATTAACTGTCAACGAAACATTTTTACTTTAGATTATGTCTATTTACCTGTGCGGAAGCGTTCAGAAGCCCGGATGATGTACCTTCAGACTCTGGATAAGTTATTTCTGCAGCAAATTCAAATCCAACCGGTAAATATCCAGTCATAAAGAAACTGAAGAAATCATCAGAAAGTGTAATCAATATATCAATTAGATATTAAACAAACGCTTAGCTGTCTTTAAAAAAACAAACCTGGTGAGAGAGCTCTGGAATTTAATGAAATTATACTAGCAAACGTATATTATGTATCACGATTGTCATAAGAAAATGATTTTGTTTAACGTGAAATTTTTGGTTTATTACACAGAAAACACGTTAAAGGGTTATTCTTCCTAAAAGTATGTTCAATTTTAATAAGAAACTTTTGCATCTCAGATAGGATATAAATGTATATATTCTTTCACACAGAAAAGTCAATTATTTATTCATTATCTTCTTTTCATGTGCTTCACGTTATTTCATTTGCCGTTTTATCTGAAGTATAGACATATTGCTCTGACTATATTGACATGAATTGTGATAAAGCATCAATAATATATCAATTGCTGTTGATTGTTTCCCCTAGCATTGCTTGATATGTTCACTTTTTGTTAATTTCCGTTAGTGTTTCTTGTTCTTAATTTATGCGGACCTCAAAGCTAAGGGTACAAATTTCCATTTACGACAATCAATCTGCCAGTATTATACGAAAAACACGCTCACATGCGTGTCTGTAAGTATGTGTGTTTTTATCTATTCACGCATATGTATATACGTACCCTAGAGCTCCGGCACAAAGATAAACTACCCAAAGAATATCTAATTTTAGGGTGAAGGTAAATGCAATCATTCCAGCCATGGACAAGAAATAAATTCCAACAGTAGTGCCCCTAAAAGTAAACATTTATGTAGTAAGTTTGAAAGCATTGACCAATTTTATTGAATTGTTCCGATGATTTTGTTATCATTTAAAATTTTTCATTTCAATCGATTATTTTTCATTTTGCATTTCATTTTTCCATATAATTTGCACGCAAAAAAAGAGAATAATAAAATTTCAGATGTTTTAAAATAAATAAAAAATCTAGCATTACAAAACTGCGAATTTATGTTTCTTTCATCCTAAATACATACAGAAAATAATTCAACCTTTCCAAAGAAACAATCAAGGATGTACTTTATTTTGTTTTGCCTGCCTTTCATGTATATGTCTTTTATCAAAAAACACCAACCCATTTTAAGAACATTTCTGAACTATTTGAAGATTCGAGGTGTTACGCATCCTAATTGTTTCCTTAGTGGGGCAAACGAGCACACACATTTATGTTTAACAAGGTGTGGAATAATTGATATATGCCTGTGATAAAACGTCACATAAGGATAAAGTTACCTATGTTTTAGTAACCGAGAAAGTAGTATTGCATTAATTCATATCTTCAAGTATGCGTTGTATCCTTAAAATGATAATTCTTGAACTCATTAGGTACATGAATTATTAAGATGTTTCATAAAGGGGATACCTGTGTCATATTTGGAGTTCGGTGTTGAGAATACATAAGTTTTCTTTTAATTTATGTGCAGTTACATAGATAAGTGAATGTTGCGTACTGACCGTAATATGAAAAGTCATGTTGCTCAATTTTTTTAACTACAACCCGTTAGCAACAATGTTTTTCTTTCAAACTTTTGTAAAATAGTACAATGTAAAGTATATTGTTACATCCGTTTTTAAATTTAGATATTATTAACAACTAAGGTTCGAACTCCAGCAGGCAAAGTTGATCTTAAATGAATTTAGTTGACTATGGGGTATGGGTTTTACTCATTGTTGAAGGCCGTACAATGACCTATAGTTGTTAATTTCTGTGTCATTTCGTCTCTTGTGAAGGGTTGTGTCATTGGCAATCATACCACATCTTCTTATCTTTATATGCGCTTTCATTTTAGGTCCCTTTTGGTCATATGGCTCTTCATTTGTTTCGGTACTTATGTATCCCTGGCTATCAAATATTTGGCTTTGAGCGTTCCTGATAAAGTAAATCCAGAAAAGAGTTTCGTATGCATACAATTTACAAAATGTTATTTTCATTTTTTTGTTTATAAGGTTTTTTGTTTCGATGTCTTTCTGTACGGTTTGGCTTTATCGTGGTGATTAAATAAAAAATGATGTTAGCTTTGTTGCCTACTAAACAGTTTGTCGTGTATTTGGTTTATGCATATTTTAATTATATGCTAAAGTGCATGTTTAAAATATGCCTTTCATGGTTTTTTAATCTAAATTGGTATGGGTAATTTTACTGTTCGTGCACCAAACAAAATTAACACATGGTTTACAAATTTCACCTGTGGTACTCGACATTCATCAGATTGACAAAAATAAATATAGCGAATATTTTGATCAAACCTTTTTTTATTTATGGCGTTAACAAACCGATGGTATCATATTGCCACTTTTTTGGACACTTAGATTAACAAAATACGATCTATTACATTTATTTATTTATATCATTCTAGTTCTAAAGATATTAGTCTGGCAGGTATCAGTATAAATGTATTTGAATTTTTATCTGATATGTTTGCTGTGGGTCTGTTTTGTTTTCCTGGTGAGTGAGGGGCAAATCTCTGTTTTAATCATACCTTATTTGTAAAAAAAAATCATGAATTTTCTGTAACAGTGGACAAATGAGCGGTTCAAATATTTGTTAGATATATTTCCTTTCTTTTCAAAGTTATCCATCAATCGCATTACTTCATGACATGCCTATCAAACGATTTTAGTTCAGGAAAATGGCCATTGTTATATTATAGTTCGTTTCTGTGTGTGTTACATTTTAATGTTGTGTTTCTGTTGTGTCGTAGTTCTCCTCTTATATTTGATGTGTTTCCCTCAGTTTTAGTTTGTAACCCGGATTTGTTTTTTTCTCAATCGATTTATGAATTTCGAACAGCGGTATACTACTGTTGCCTTTATTTAGTATGGACAAATATATATAGTAAATAATAATAGAAATAATAATGAATTCATCAGCATCAACTTCAAGAAATATTTTTAAAATGAAATAATCCAATTCTTTGTGTGACGTTATATGCAGGCATATATTATACTAGCTTAATATTTCTTTGTTCGTTATGCAAGCAATGTGCAACAAGTAGAAATTAGAAATTATGGATTTTTTTAATATTAAATGCAGTTCAACCTATAAACAGTTTTAGATACTAGTATTTGAATAACTACACGTGCTGTAAGAACTATCGGCAAGTTATCTCTTTTTTGAGCAAGTTGTCCAATTGAGATGTTATTAAAACAAGAACAACTAGTTTCTCTTAATAACTTTAAATGTTGTTACTTTTTTAAACGACTACATTCTATAGTATACTGTCTGAAAGCACTTTGTGAAGCTATTGGAAAAATGCATTTATTACATGTGTAATAACCTGCGATCAGGTTTTTTATCAATGTAAAAACAAACTGCATTTAATAGGGTTAATATAAAAACCAAGTAATTTGTTGAAATATCATTACATGAGAGTTAAATGTTCCCAGACATAAAATATGTAATGACTGCGCTTCGTCATAACAAACAAAGAAATGTATGAAAGATAGAAATATGCATAAATTGGACTGAAAAAAACTTAAAGAGGGTAACAAAATGGTTGAGACTGATTTCCAGGAAGGTCTTCTAGTGAAAACATTCAAATACCAACGGATGCGCTATGTCCCGGTATCAAAGTTCTTGTTGTTGTGCCAAACAATCTTATTTGTTGCTTTACATTTTTTTAATATATTTTAAAACATTTTGTTCGAACCAAACTTGTGAGCACAATTTTTATCTACAGAACAAGCAAGTTGGTAAATCATGTTTGAAAAATATCTAAGATAAAGAGATAATTAAACAAATTTATGAGAATAACCGAATCAAAATTTCTGATACTATAATTTAAAAAATTTAGAACGCTAATTGAAAACGTTTAAAATATATTACAATAAACAGTTTCTCGTGATGAGTTCTTAACATTATGAGACAAATGTCTAAATGTTTCTGAAATCTTATTCATGATTTTTCTTTTTTTTTCTGATCAACTACAATTTCAACACAGTTTTTTTTTAATTGTCTCTTTAGCAAGATGGAAAGTAATGATGAAAGGACTTCCCGACAAATGACTCTAAACCCTATTGAACCCATTTTATATCTATTCAAGCTGAAAACATAAATATTGTTCTATTAAAAAGGTTTCCTATAATTGAAGCCACTGTGTATGTGTTCTTTAGCCAATGCATTGAATGGCTATCTTACTTGAACGTTTTGGTCCTGTCAAGCCAAACACCAGCCACTATGGAACCAACGACGCCAGCCAAAACGATAGTAAGGCCTATCTGACCAGCGTCTTTCTGGTGACCCTGTTGTTAACATTAAACAAGAAAATATCTATTCAGAATTTCCCATTTAAGTAAATATATTAGATATGATGTCACCTCTTTAATCAGATGAAAATATCCCCCTACCTCCCTCCCTATATCAACTAATATGTTACTTTATAAAAAAAATTCAAGTAATAAAAGAAATACATTCAAACTAGATATGAAATAAAAAAATATTTTTGTGATTTTGTTTTTCCTCATTTCTTTATAATAACTTTTGCAGATGAATATGCATAGAAATTAGTTCTATTCAAAATGGCTATTCGTTGCCTGATGAAATATTATATTTTAAATTTATATAATTTAACATCCATAACCTAGACGATATTGTACCATGAGTTAAAAAAAATTATTCATTTATTTTCTTTTTAAATTCAACTCAAATATGTTGGGAAATAGAAAGGTAAAAATAAAACAAGATATCATGACTATCATTCACTGCCTTCATAATTAACATATACCAGTTGGTTGGACTCCCAGACATTTAGCAAAGGATGTTAGATGATGCTACATGTAATAATTTGTTGAATTGTCAAGGAGTGACAACATCATTATATTAAACACATAGGATAATAAATAACATGTCATTTTAAGGCCAGAAAAAAATATATCCCATTAACCGTACATGAAACCTGTTAAATGAAATATGAAAAAAAATTTTTTTTATTTATTTGGTTGATGTCAAATGCATTTTAAAATTTGATAATAAACTTTCATTTTAAAGATAACAAACCTTTATATTTTTCAATATAGTAGGCCAAAACGTAAATTATTAAACGACAGCCATGAAACATATCTTGTATCTGGCCTTAATTAAAAGCTTTCTATATATATATTACATCAGACCACCATTTGATTTGTTCGTGCTTACATACATGTTAACTACATTTGATTAATACCCTACAGTGGACAAGTCAATTTAGCTAAATCTGCATTTTGTATTTCATATAATATAAAACGACAAAAATACAAATTAAAGTAATTACCAATAAACGATATAAAGTACAATATGAAATCCGTAGTTCAACATAATTATTTACAAAATAATTTTGACGTATGAGAACGATAATTGTTTATTTTTTTATACAAATGGTGATTAATGACACTTATTTGAGTACTGACATAATACTAAAGTTCGTATGACTACAAACCTCAAAATAATACAAAACAATTGGATTGAGCAGAGTTGATATTGCATAATAAGATCCCGTGTTGATGCCTGTAATTGAAAGAACATATCATTAGTATTCCTGACCAACTGTGGAAGTCATAAATTGAACATTGGATGGTCTGCTAATGGAGTATAAAGAAAATGCTGTATATAAATAAAGAATCAAGTTAAACCATTTTTTAATAGAACATGCATTTCTTTATATATTTAGTAATACTATGGAAAAACATATATTGTGTATTAACTTTAGACTTCGAACACCTAAGCAAATCACACACAACAAAAAAACACAAAAGAACAGGTATAGGTCTTTTATTACTGTTCTTCGTCTCAAAGTCACAACCGAGGACTTCAATGAAAAGCAACAGCTTGCATCGTAGAAGTAACGATGGGTGTCACATGTGGAGAAGGATCTGCTTACCTATCCGGAGCACCTGAGATCACACCCAGTTTTTGGTGGGGTTTGTGTTGCTCAGTCTTAAGTTTTCTATGTTGTGGTTTGTGTACTGTTGTTTGTCTGTTTGTCTTTTTCTTTTCTCCATGGAGTTATCAGTTTATTTTTGACTTACGAGTTTGAATGTCCCTTTGTTATCTTTGGCCTCTTTTTTACTGTCAATTTAAGACTGTCCTTGCACAGAGTTGAGTGGAATTATTTGCTAGATGTAGGTAACGGACCACACATGTATGAACAAATTTGTTATCGTGTTAAAGTTTAACTTTAACTGTTTCCGTTCTTAAACATATCTTTTTTAATTTTTTGCACACGCATTTTATTACGTGAAAAATGCCCCGGAAAATTGTCGTTTTTTGGTGAAAATTTGGCCAACATTTCTTTTAGAACATATTGAGGATAGCCCTCATCTCCGATTATGTCTGTTAAAATAAATAATGTTGATCAAAACAGAAATTTTTTTTTTCATTTTTGGGGGAAGAAAGTATATTTTTATTACCAATCACTATTCTTATTCACACCGGGAGTATACAAATTTTATTCAAATGATTTGTAATTACAATATTCTTGCCTTATTTTACAAAGTAGAATTAGTATGACGATAATTAAAAAGCAAAGTCATCAACATAATCAATACTACGACATAAATCAGTCTTGTGAGAACACTAGATACCTTGTATAAAATAGCTTTTATTGATTAGGGGATGACCTGGTTTAAGGGGGCAAACTGTATAAATCAGTTATGCGTTTGTGAAGTGTCAATTTTTTATAAGCGTTTTAAGAACTCTTTTCAAGAGCTCGGCCCCTTCCCTTATATATGCCCCCTTAAATAAAATTAAACATTAAGAGATAATTACCAATCACTAAATTTTGTACTTACCATACGTCAATGTCAGCAGTATAAAACCTCTATTTTTGACTAATCGAATTAACGATTCTCCATAGTGTTCATTGGATGCATTTTGAACAGATAACATCTGTGCCTTGCTTGGTGGCATAGGTGGAGCATTTTTAAAAACTGAAAAAAATATTAATTCATATACGGCCAATGTCTATTAAAGTCACAAATCTATATCTGATAATGTAAATGAAACAATTATCAAAAATCAAATTTTGCACAGCACCATATAAATATATGAAAATGTGTCGCGTGTACATTTAATACGAAAATAAGATTGATACCATACATAGATACTATGCGTAGAATTTTTTTCGCCAGACGCGCCTTTACTCTACAAACGACTTATCATTGACGCTCGATTCCAAAGGTAAAAAACGGCCAAATAAATCACGAACTTGAAAAGCATTTTCGACCCACAATCCTGAAAGGTTTTGCCAAGTAACGCACAGTGTGGGGCTCTTTCGATATGACGGTACATACATAAGTGCACAGATTCGGCGTGAGTATGTCACTTTTATATATTTCAAATCTATCAATAAGGGGCATTTTCAACAAGATTATTTATATCAATGAACCCTTTTTAACGAAGTCAAGGACGAACAAATACTTGAACACATGTAGTAGCATTATGCCCAAGGGAAACACACAGAATAGTCAAATCCACCGAAGGACAACTTTGCCTGCCGGAGTTGGAACCTTAGTTTCTTAATAATTTCAAAATTTATCAACAACGAATTAAAAAAGGTATGTTATAAACAATGTAAACAGAGAAATACTGAACATTAAAATATACTATGTGTTCTTTTCCTACCATTCTACAAATTACTACGTGATAACTCTGTCAGAATCTTTAAAAGACATAGCCTCAATACATTGTTGGTTGCTATATTCTTAAAATATAAACCTCGTGATATATTCTCAACAAATAAATGTAATTTTTACAAAAACACTGATTGCTACTTCAGGTAAAGTTCGCCTTATGTTTAATGCCTTTGAGTGAATAAATAAAGGCAACTGCTACAGTAGTATACCGCTGTTCAATAGTCATAAATTGATTAAACGAAAACATTTCTCGGTCACAAACCAAAACCGAGGGAAAAACATCAACTATAAGAGGAAAACAACGGAACAACAGAAACACTGAACTGCAACAAAACCAAACTGATCACTGATGCCAGGTTTTTCATTTAAAACGACAGACAAGCGATTCGTCTACACAAGACTCATCAGATGCCCTTTCTTAAAAAATTGGAAGGCCAAATCACTAACGAAAATTCAAAACAGTTGTGCAAATTAAAAGTATGTATAACGACATGTATGTCTAGGCGAAGAGAAAGTGATTTTAACAATTATGAAAAGTGAACTTTAAGAAAATGACCATAGTTTCAATGATATTTCATGTCTGGCAACAAAAAAGAACTGACCAATGTGCTAGTGAAGAAACGCCACATGATAAGTAACATCGACCAAGTGCACGTGGTTGTAAAAACTCATTACGTCTACAATTTCTACGTCAGGCGTTTTATCTATTTATCATACTATTAAAGATATATAACTAAAATATTGCATCAAATTGCATGCGTTGCATTTGTTGTCATACCGATTATCGATAGGAATAAGATCGTTACGACAGTTTTACCAGGTTGAATAGGCTATACATAACGGACATGAGCTTCAATTGATTGGACACCGTACCCTTTTTCTGATTCTGAGAGTAGGCGTAATTATTAAAAACATGTTACATTTTTCTAAACTAATATAAAAATTGAACACCCTAAGCTATCACCCCCACACCATCTGTTGTACTGAAGGACATTTTACCTCTTTACTACTGATATCAAATACATTTCTTCTCCCGTTATCATCGTGCACAAGCACTTTATTTAAACTCGTTTGAGTTATTGAACATCTGATATCTAATACAGGGATCGTCGCCAATCCTATTCATCTACACCTCTATATCGTTTCCACTTTGTAAATGTTTCCCACATGTTTATCGGTTAATAAACTAGAGATTTCTGTTTGTGTTGTATTTATTTTCAAATATTTTATAATCTCGATAACAAATTAAAAACTTATGCGTTCATGTATGCCGTTTTAATTTTCTCTCTGGTCATATATGTAACTGTGTGCATTAATAACTAAATATTGTATTTATTTAAATGGTTTGATATTATAATGGTGAACAAAATCGAAATACGATGATGGACCCATGGAAGATATTCTTACCATGTTGAAATAAGAGGTGTCCGTCGTTTGCAGTTCAAGTTATCCTCACTGTTTTGAATTAATTCATTTTTTTTCTCAACTTTTGAAATCAGAAAAAGACGGGTTTATTTTGCCTTCAAACGGTTTTCTATGCATTTCAAGGTCGAAATTGGGTGGCCTTCCAACTTTTGATTGATTGATTGATCGATGTTTTAACGCCACTTTCAACACTATTGTGCTATTTCGTGGCGGTCAGTTTTTATTGGTGGAGGAAGCCGGAGTACCCGGAGAGAACCACCGACCTTCGGTAGGAAAACTGATAATCCTAGTCAATTAAGATTGGAGTCGAGTGCATCTGCCCCGTGTGAGATTCGAACTCACAACCTCAGTGTTGACTGGCTAGTGTTACAGTTCTTGGACTACTTAGATTACTCGGCCACCGAGGCCCCTCGAACTTTTGATATTTGAGCTCCACTGTGGAGTCTCATAGAAACGAAATGCGCGTATGACGTATTAAATAATAATCCTGATATCGTTGATGAGTTGTTTGCAACCACTGGGCCTATGCCACTGCTGCTGAACGTTTTTGTCCTACATCTCAGTAGTCAGTGATCCTGTGCCAATATTAAATATCATTGATATGGGGATTTTGTTTTAATAAATTTGCTGTTCAGATCTTTTAGATCATTCACAACACTAATATTTGTAAATTCTCAGGCACAGATGGCTTAAGCCAGATTGTGCAAAAATTTTTGGATTTGGTTTTGAATGCTCTTCAATATCGAAATAGTTTAGGCCTTCAAATCTTTTAGATTAGAATGCCAAGAGTGAGTCTTATGTATACGGATTCAATAGTTTTAGATTAGTTTTTCCAGATGTTTTGTTGACTCGTGTATATGAACGTCAGATTATTTTTATCAGTTTTTTCATCCATAAATCAATCAAAAGTTTTAGTAACATTTTAATTGCTTTCGCCAAATTTGACACAAACTTTTTTCATGATTGGTTTTCAATGATCTTCAACTTTGTCATGATTTGAGAGCACTTCATGAATCGTATGTCAACGAAATGTGCGCTATCCTAAACTAAAAGCATAGTATCATTGACCACGTGTATATATATTATTATTATTACAGCAGCAGTCATCAAAAACAAAAATTATAGACAGTAAATTAATATTATGTGTTTGTGGACTTTCTTTTTGGTGACGACATGAAAGACGTTATTTCAACGACTTTCAGAATTCTTTTAGTTTTCTGCAATTTCAATGGTGACAAAACACAAAAGTATATTGTCAAAAATGTTTCTTTTCACGGTTTTCTTCTTTTCTTTCCATCAATCATGTCAATATTGAATTTTTAATTTGCAGCTAATTCGGGATTTTACCATGTTTTTCTTAAAAAACGCGTTTAAGTATACCGTGAGTAGTCCTAGTTATTGTCTCATTAACCAATGATGTCTGCTTGGCTTGCTCACCAAATTTGGTCAGTATAATGTAACTATAAACAACTGTCATACAAGCGTGAGGTGTAGCTAGCTATAAAAACAGGCTCAACCCATCATTTTCTTCGGAAAATACCTGTGCCAAGTCAAGAATATGACACTTGTTTTCAATTCGTTCCGTTGGTTGATATAGTGTAACTTTCATGGACTTTTTTTTCTAATTATAAGTCGTGAAGTCGGTATTTTTATGCCCCCTCTGTTGCCCTTGTCCATCCGTACGTCCGTCCGTCCGTCCGAGCGTACGTCCCAAAATTAGTTTCCGTTCTCTTACTTTAGTTTCCTCAACCAAATGATATGAAACTTATACACAATGCTTATTACCACAAATCACAGATTAAGTTCGAAATTGCGTGCCGTCACATTTACAGTTTTAGAGTTATGCCCTTTATAACGTTATATGCAACCGGGGGCATCATCTGTGTCCCATGGACACATTCTCCATTTATTGTTTATTTATTCTTTTTTACAGGGATATTTTCATGTGAATTACAATGTGTGTATGTTGGACTTACTTAATATAACCATTATAAAGAAGAACGTTGTTACGCCAGCTCCCATATAGAACATGGTACCAATATCTTTCCCTATCTGGTTCAAATCTTCACTATAAGGTACTAATACTGGAGGTAACAGGAAACCAGCTGCACACCCTACCTGTTTAGTAGAGAACCGAGAAATAATGAAATAAATAAAAGATTTTATTCAAATAAATTCTAAGTAATCATGGTAATTGTATTTCGCTTGAAAATATTTACCAAACATGCATAAAGTATAAAATGGCAATGATTTTGTCATCTATTTGGACAAAGGTTATGACTAAGCCTTAATTACACTTGAATAAATAACCCAATAAAATCTCTTTTCAAGATGCCTCGTGTTATAAGCAATAAGCTGGCTGAAGAGTTAACTTGTCATATAATTTAACTTTTACTCAAAATTACAAACACACGAAACAGCATGTAAATTATTGCACAAATTAATGAACCGCATAAAAAAGAAAACAAAGCCTCACCTGGTTTCCAAAAACACCTATTGATGTCGCTGTTGATACTTCGTTCGGTCCAAACCACACAGCAGCTAACCTAGCTGGAAGTCCAAGTATAAAAATTTGAGCAATGGCACAAATTGTTTGAGCAAACATAAGCACTGGGAATCTGTCTGGACTTACACATGCTACTTTGAGCCATGCCCCAAGTGCATTAAGAAAACAGCCACAAATCGCAACAACACGGAGGCCTTTTTTGTTAAGAAGCCACGTGGCTGGAAATATTAACGGTATATATGCTAACATATAAACCATAGACAACCAGTCTAATGTGGTTTCCCTTTGAAATTGATCCTCTGGCATGCTAGCATTGTAATATTTTAGTATAACGTCGCCTATAATGTTTAAATGTATCCACTGGTACGCGTTACTGAGAGAATAGAAGGCGAACAAAAACACAATCATCCACCGTCGCTTGTAAACCCGTGGTTGCAGATCCAAATCAGATGGGTCTTTTTCTGTTGTTGGAAGAATCGGTTTAGCCTGGACCTCCATTGTTGCTAAGTCGCCGCTGCGGCTCAAGGCTTTACCTACAAGAAAAGTAAAATCTTAAAGTCCTTGACCGATTGAGTATACCCAAATGTCCAATGTTTTCTTTTTCTTCAGATAACTGATAAAGGTTCACTGTCTTTAGGTCACTAGATCTGTTTGTGTTTAGATAAAAACAGATAAATCTTATAGAAGTTATACAACTGTTTGTTTATATTTCAACAAAATTTATCTTTCTTTTTGTGTTAATATAGTATCTTGAACATGACTAGTCCTACACTTCTTGTACAAATAATTTACTAATGGCTACACTAAGGCTAATGCAATCACTTTTTAGCTTCATGTTATGTTAAACAAATTAATGTCATTCAATGACATTTTAAGAATGTCTTAAAGCTCTTTGTTTTTGGAAACATTGTTCACTTGCCACTTTTTTTCAAAAATATGCAAGCACAAAAATAAAATCATAATACTGATTAATTAATTATCCTTTTTTTTTTATTTAATATAAATCTAAGGCGATGTGGTATGATTGTCAATGAGACAACTATCTACCAAAGTTCAAATGAAGTGAATGTAAGCAAATGTATAGGCAACCATACGACCTACAACAATGAGAATAACCCATACCGTATAGTCCGCTAAAAAAGACCCCGACATGAAACATGTGAAATAATTCAACTGAGAAAACCAATGGCCTAATGTATAACAAAATAATTTACTGAAACCAAATATGACAGACATGAAGCAACGGCAATCACTGAACTGCAGGCTCCTGACTTGGAACAGGCACATAAAGAATGTGGCGGGGTTAAACATGTTTGAAGGCGCCAACTCCCCCCACCACCACTAACCTTGGACAGTGGTGTAACAGTACAACATAAGAAATTAGTTGAAAGGGGCTTAACTCATCAGATTGATGCGAAGCAGAAAAACATCTTTCAAAAACGTGGCAGTGTATTTATACATCCATCACAACACAAAAGATACAAAGTACAGATCTGAGAGTACTCGCACTTACTGACAGCTAGTGCAAAGATGTTTTATTTAAATACTAAAACGATAAAAATTTTAAATTAAATTCTAACCACCAGAGCTCTATTAAAAATCAATCCAATCTATTTTTTTGAGTGTACATATTTGCAATATAATTATAACATGTATAATATCATGAATATTTCTGAATGCGTTATATGTCCAAAAAAAGGGAATAATTTTTTGAATCTTTTTGTTGCAATTTTATCTATTTCTTAAGAAAATAAAAACTCAAGGATAGCAATATTTTCATCTAAGTTTTGTAAATTTCAGGAAAAATATCAGCAATTTCCAAGACTTACCAGATAATCGATAAACAACTTTACAACAGTACGAGAATACAAAAAGCTATAAAAAAGTTCTTCCGAATGTTGACTTGTTCATCGTGATTATACTGTGATTTGTCATGTTTTTACTCTGACATTCTAATTTAAGTTTAGTGTCAGCGACTTGTCCTTTGTGATATTTGTGTTACTGATTGATACATTTATATTTATAAAGTTAAAATAAAATGTAAGTACAACGACCTCTGAAGTAATGTATACTGATTTAGAAAAAAAAACAATTCATGTGCAAGAGTCATAATGGTTCCATGAAATATTTATTTTTCTGCGATTTATTTTGAAAATTGTATTGGTATGCTTTAAATGTATTTATGGTATTAATTCTTTGTCTGTACATTCCCAGTTCATTTAATTATTTAACTGTTATTAATCTAAGGATACAACTCCCTAAAGTAAAATTACAAAAGATGGATTTCTTCTTAGATGGTGTATGCCCTCTCAAATGTCAAACTTCGAATCAGTAGCAACGTTTCTGCAAAGCAACGTCGCTGCTGTTTCGGGATTTGCTCAAACGTTTTATGTTTTTGTCTCTCTAAACTTCCGGTCGCGAGAGATGATGAAATTCATTCCAAGAACTTGTGAAGATAGCATGGGAATTATACATTTTTATCATATTTTGTACCTTTGTTGTATTTTTTGTCTAGGCGTCAAACAATGATAGGACTCGTACATGTACAGCTACATTTGCATATGTTTTTTTTAGTGCTATAACTTTCCGTACTGTAAATAACATAACTAATATAGTGTTGATTTAGTACTTTCGAACTATTGTACTATTTCATTACAATAAGTGAACAGTACACGATTTGTCCTCCACATTTGAAGTACCTGTTCTGTACCTCCGTTGAATAGTACTATAAAGATACAATGATTATACAGTACTCCTTTTTTTTATATAACTTGATAGGAAATTTTACTGAAAGTGCAATAATATAAAGTAAAAAACTGGTACAAAATAAATTGTACTACATATTAAAAGTATGAAACCGATACTTTCAACTTTAAGTACAAAAACAATACTTTAATTGAGAAGTACTGATAAAAGAAATATAATATATATATATGGTCTTTTGGAAAATGTTGTTTGTGCTGTATTTAGACCCCTCTAACAAGAAATTTGTTTTGCATGCACACGTATAAAAATTGCGGTTTTTATCCAACGCAATCATAGGTTTGAACGTTGTTTTCAATTTAGACTTGTTTATATTTTTTCGTTTGGACTTGTATTATATTTGCCTTCGGGTTTATATGATCCGTTCATCCTATTTTGACTCCTCCAAATTCCAGAGTCTATCTTAAATTGAGGTAAATTGTATGGCTTTCCAAATACCGTTTCGATTCCTAACATCACTGAAGAGACATTAATTGTCGAAATCCGGATATGGTGTACAAAAACCTTTGCACCTTTTGTTTGCGGTATATCATCTTTTCCGCAAGTTTATTGTTTTCTGTTAAGTATTAAATTTATAATTAAGATCCATTTATTACATCGGTGATCCGTTTATTTGGCAATCGCCAATGGCAGTCAGCAGGGTTTAAGAACATTTGTTGTTCGACCTGTTAGTCAAATGCGTTTTGTTGAAATATACTTTTTCACTTGTATGGTCTTTTGGAAAATGTTGTTTGTGCTGTATTTAGACCCTCTAACAAGAAATTTGTTTTGCATGCACGCGTATGAAAATTGCGGTTTTTATTCAACGCAATCATAGGTTTTAACATTATTTTCAATTTAGACTTGTTTATATATATATATATATATATATATATATATAAAGTGCCTAGAAAATCAACCTAACGCTGTTAGAGTAGATCTGTTTCTTTACTTCCTCCCCGAGCTGGGCTGGAACCTATACTTTTTATTTCTAACTTCTACGACAACACCGCCTAGCATTGCGCAGACACCTATATATATATATATAATTCGTCTAAACAACAGCCCAACAATGTTAGATCTGTAAATTGCGGAAGCAAATATTTTGTTCTTCCCTGGCCGGGATTCGAACTCATATACAGCCGTTCAAAGTTATAGTACTAAACAACTACACATGCAAAAGTAGCTGAATATAAAAGTGAAAATATTTATAGATAAATAAACTCATCACAGATACCAGGATTAAAATTGTGTACGCCAGACGCGCGTTTCGTCTACAAAAGACTCATCAGTGATGCTCGAATAAAAAAAAGTTAAAAAGGCCAAATAAAGAACGAAGCTAAAAGGCACTGATGACCAAAATTCCGAAAGGTTTTCCCAAAAACATCGAAGGTTATCTTTTCCTATGGTAGGAAATCCTTAGTATTTCAAAAATTTCTAAGTTTCCACATTAAATTGAAATTATGTTGCGCAAAAATGTTACAACAAGTTACTATCAAAATGACTAAGGTGCATTAATCACATGTCATTATAATCATTAATACAAAATAAAATGCTTGAAATGGATTTAAAATACAAACTGTGTTAACCGAATTTTTTTTTTTCTATTTTCATTAACACATATCATTTTTAGACGGAGGTTAATATACACAACGATTTTAAACCATCGTGTGTGAGGGTCTGGCCGATGGGTCAATTCTACAGAAAAATGGCCCAAAACAATAAAGAATAGAAAATAATGTGGTGCTAAAATATAAAGATTAGAGAATATGGTATGCTAAAATATACAGAAAAGAGAAAAATAGGCAGAAAATATAAAGAATAGAGAAAAATGGCCTAAAATATTTAAGAATACATAAATGAAGGACCCCCTATCCAGACCCGTATGTGTTATATAATGTACTACAACGTGAAATATAATCTGATCTGCGTTGAAATTAATAGGAAGGTACAAAGTCCATTGAACAAGATCTTCTTCGCTGTGTATATTTTTTGGATAATAACAGAGCAAATGTGTGCGAATGTCAATCATTTTAGTTTAAAAAGAATTGGAAAAAAGATACTTTTTTTCATCTATAGATCCTAATATATTTGAGTCGTTCCTAATATCTTTGAGTCGCTCCGTGCTTAAGGGCTGACATTGAAAAGGAAAAGGAATACTCATGTACATATGTTAATAATAAATTAATTGCAGAAGAACTTAATAAAATAACTAATTGCAGATTTCTTACCACATTAATTTAAACTTGTGATGTCCTTTTTCTCAATTGTAAAAAATCATGTTAAATGCTATTTTTTACCTTTAATACGTGACATGTGTCAGACTGATACATTTTCTCAATTCAATATTAAGTATTAAGTTTAATTTCAAATAAAATATCTGTTAATCGAAGTATCTATCTTCATTAACGCAAATCATTCAACAGACAAACATTGACATGTACACAATGATTTTACACTATGATTTTTAAAGAGTGGCGTAAAGGGGTGGGGGGGGGGGGGGGGGGGTATCTGCACGGAAGAACGCGAAATAAAATTGCCATTTCACGATGAGCGAACAATTAAAAAATTCTTGCACGTTGATCTTTTTACCGATTTCACGAAACACGGTGAATAACGAACCTTTTTCACGGCTGCACGTGAAATAAAAATGGCAAAACACGTTGCACGAAAATAACCCTTTACCACCCTCTTAAATCATGGACGTCTTCACACACAACAATACTACAAACAATGTCATAATATAATCTGCGTTGGAATCAGTTTAAAATCGTCTGTGAGGTTCAAAGTCCATTCGAACAAATGTTCTTACATTTAACTAGGTACATTTCTGTATAATGACATAGTAAATACATTTTCTATACCATGTACCAAATAAAGTTTCTGTCTATTTTGTCCATGTTTATTATGTCAAGCATTTTTCTTTCCCTTTTTAATTGAAAAAGGTTCTGAAAAGTTGATAACCGAACACTATGTCTTACTAACTATCAATTCTTGTAGAAGAAAAGAACTAATTTAAGTATTTCAAGTCATTCAATTGCTTCTCTTATTCTATTTTTTTTTAAACTGAACAAAAGACAAGAATAACAAAAATCAAATGCAACAACATAAAACAAAAATGCCGTAGACAAAAAATATATCAAAATTTTTTTTATTCATATTCACAAAACCCCAAGGGTTGACTGGGTAAAAGAAAATTATCATCCCTTAGACTTCTCTCGTTCCAACAGTAAAACCTTGCTAAAAGCTGTGCTGAATATGTATAAATGTTTACGCAGTCACGTCCATTCGGAATGGAGATGTTAAATTAACTGAGCATATGAAACAAGTATTGTCTCATTGACACTCATACCACATCTTCTTATATCTATGTATGTTCAAATGACAGTTTATGTATTCATACGCCAAAGTATAGTAACAGCAAAAACAAATTGAGAAATGAAAATGAATGCAAATTAAAACATTGACAGACTGACATATCGACACATTGATAGGTTGGCACATTCAGATATCGACATATTGTCACATCGACACTTTAACAGATGGACACATTGACTAAATAAATCGACACAATGATATATCGACATACTGGCAAATTGACAGATACACAAATTGACAGATAGACACATTGACAGATAGACACATTTACATATTGACACATTGACAGATCGACAAAGTGACAGATCGACACATTGACATAATGATAGATCTACACTAATAAAGGTAGGTAAACCCATAAAGATATGAAAACGATTGATGTATTAATAATAAAGAGAGCTATATAAGTTTCATCAGTTTATGTTTTCTCATTTACTGATGTTATTCATTTTTGGGGCCCTTTATCATGTTTATAGCACGTGTTCGGTGTGAGCCAAGGCTCCGTGTTGAAGGCCATACTTTGACCTATAATTGTTTACTTTTTACACATTGTGACTTGGATGGAGAGTTGTCTCATTGGCACTCATACCACATCTTCTTATTTCTATTGGATGGAAACATCGTCTATATTGGTCTCTAAATGGCAATGTGTCGATAGGTATATACGGGTGGCTGTCATTGTTTGTGTGTAATTACGTATATGGTGATAGGTCAATTTTAATGTGTCATTGACCGACAGGATACTGTTAGTCATTTAAATTATAAACGTTACGTGGTCGGTCAATGTGTCTATAAATACATCGCATCATATCAAGTTTTACATCCAACACCTGTTGTAATAGCCAGTGGTCAAGCAATACCTGTTGCATTGGTCAGTGGTCATGCAACAACAGTTGTAAGACGATAAAATTTTTAATTTAAACGTATTCATATTAAACAAAATGTGATTCCTTTCATTTAATACTTGATATTAAATTTTGTGGAGTCATTACGTACAGCTCTTATACATGAACTTTGTACGCTATTTACATTACTTCAAAGGTCTAAAGTTCGTTGTATTTATATTTCGAACTTATATTTAAATGTATTAATCAGGAACATAGGCTAAGTCGCTGAATCTGAGATATGTTTGACGAAACCCATATGAATTCGTATACTTATACGTGTAACTGAACGATAGACACAGTCATCAATTGTTTCCTCAACTCTTTCTCTGAATATAAACACTATTGTTCACCGTTGGGTTTCAACCGCTCTGGTTGTCTACCGTCCAATAAACGTGTCACAAATTATTCAAAGATGCATTGATATACATATCATACGTTTTTAATAAATTGTATAATTCAGCCACTGAATTCAGCGCCCGCTTTCCACTACCGTTTCTCGTGTTTCTAAGTAATTGAGTGATTGGCGTGACCAAAATATTGCGACTGGATTATTTGGGTTAAGTTTTCAGTCGATGATACAAACAAATTAGAGTTTGCCTAAGAACAGATCGATGATCAATGTAACACTAGGATGGCAGATTTATTAGACATATTTATACAGCTTTGTAGTTTACTTTAAGATATTGATCCTTCTTTGTTTATTTGATTTGACAGTTATACAAAAATGTCTGTGATGGCTGAGACACAGCAGTGGCGGATCCAGGGGGAGGGGGGAGGGGTTCGGGGGTTGGAATCCCCCCTTTTTTGACGATCAATGCATTTGAATGTGGACATATAGTTGGAACCCCCCTTTTATCCTGGGTTGGGACCCCCCCCCCCCCCTTTTAAAAATGGCTGGATCCGCCCCTGCACAGACAAAGAACTTCGGCTGAATTTATGACAACGAAGGATAGTTTTATATGCATGTGTTAATTTACATAAAACTAAGGATATTTGCATTAAAATTTTGTTGCCATTATCAGAATTCATCAACATTACGTAATTCATATTGTACGTGCTTGGTATGACAAAACAGAAAGAAATGGGCACAGACAGCAACCAAACAATGGGCCACATTTTAGTACTAAATGTCACCCCCCTTTTCTTCCTTTTTTGTGTTTTGACTAGAAGCTTGAACATTTAACGTAAATGACAAACTTGAAAATGTGATAGCGTGAGATAGAAATGTGTAATCTTCAAAAAAAAAAAATATCTTCATTAGTAAAAACGGAACATTCATATGAGTATTATTTAACACGTACTTCGTGATGTGCATATTATGAGGGTCTGCATGCGGTTTACAGAATAGAAAATAATGGACCAATAATACAGAAAAATGACCCAAAAATGAATAATAGTGAAAAATAGGCAAACAAAATAAAGAATAGAAAAAAAACAGAGGAAAATATAAAGAATAAAGAATAAAGAAACATGGCATTAAAAACTAAAGAATACAGAAATAAAAAGTTTAAACCCTCATCTAGACCATCACCAGCTGATCACATATACATGATTATACAGTTCAAAGTACACATTAAAAAAATTAAACCAGTAACGGATCGAAATGCCGATATATATTTTTTAAATCAATTTCCAAACCATGTTCATTATGATTGAAAACACAGTTTAAACAAAATTTTGCAGATGAAAAGAAAGTAAGAATGAATATACAATTAATTGTCAATTGACGAAAATTATAAATCTATAGTATTCGTTTATATACTTTTTCTTACCTAGCATTCCCGAATGAGAACTCATTTTGATAAATTATAACAGCCTTCAGATGTTAGGAAAATTCTACTGCAATATTCTATACATTTTCATCATCCTCAATTCATTTGAAATATATCACTGGCTGATTGGAATCGACTGCTAGTCTTTAGATAGCGGTAGCCATTTTACATGTAAACATTGGCAACGCGTTCGTTGACCCCGCAGCTTTGTTTAGATTGTTTTCCTATAGGAAGTCGATATAAACTATATCCGTGTCTGTGTGTCAATACTGAATTTGAATTAAACTTAAATCATTTAAATTTTAAATAATTTGTATCCATTTAATCTGGTCATGTTTATCTTTCAAGGTTAAGTCTTTTTTTTTTAAATGCATTCAAAATAATAGTACTGGTATATTAAGTAACATAAATTCTACGCAGCAAAGCAGTTGCAAGTGCATTCAACTATTGTATTTCAAATATACATTTTAAAAGATGTAAAATAAATGAATAATAATTCATTCTTTACTACCGCGTCGTAGATGATTAAATTATCTCTTAAAAATGTTAAATGTGTAATGGTTTAAAATACTTTTTACTGTGACATATTGAGTTATCTTTCTTTGTTTAAATGCATACATTCAGAGGGTCTGGGTGGGGTTTTCAGGATAGAGAATAATGGCCTAAAAAATAAAGAATAGAGGAAAATGGGTGCAAAAGAAAAAAATAATGGTGGAAAATAAAGGATTAGGTAACATTATACAGATTACAGAAATCAACGATGTATAGAATAAAAAAATTATCTTATTACAGAAATTCTTAATTTTTAATTGTAAAATCATTTTCATGAGAATTTTACAGAATAAGCGTTATTTCTAAATATAAAGAAAAATGCCCTAAAAATTTAAAGAATACAGAACTCAAGAACCCTCACCCATACCCTCGTACGGATCAAATTTTGACTGCATTCTATAATGAAACACCTTTAGAAAAATTCAACTTTCAATATATCTATCATCATCGTATTACAGAACAAAAAAAGTTTCAAACTTTACATGTTACATTTTAACCTCTTCTGTGAACTTTGAAAATAAATTTAACATGAACGTTTCTCCTCGAACCATTTACTTTACTAGACAAATAATTTAACCAAAGATACGCACACAGCTGTAATTGGTCAATTTTCAGAACGTTTCGTATTTTTGTTAACTTGAGAATCAGAATCGTCATTATTATTTCAAATGTTTCATTGAAACACAATTATTCTTCTGTTCTTCTACGGTTGAAGTGACCCTAATAATTACGCCTCATGTTTGAATTGAATATAGTAGTCCAAGGAACAGAGCATGATTTAAGTGTTTGCTTTTTGTCTCATTTTTTCTGAAAATATGTAATTACCAAATTTATTTTTCGAGATTTAAATTTAAAAAAATGAGATCTAAACAAACTAGTTTCACTCCGCCACATAGCCATATGCCTACCCCTCGTCATGTGTAACTGTTTCGTTTTTAATATGCTAATGTTTTTTTGTCATTTTCATGAGTTACTGTAAACTATCTCATTTTTGCGATCGATGTATTTTTGCGATTTTCGCGAGCAGATAAATAACGCGAGATAAATAGTTGCGAACATGTGAAAATAAGATGATACATCACCAAAGCTAGAAAATCGTGAAATTAATTCGTCGCAAAAGCCGATAGGAAGAGATAAACGCCTAAAAAGTATGTGCGAAAATAAGTTGGTTTACAATATTTGGTGTTAAATACAAATCTTAAAGTTTGATGGCCCTGTTAAATTATATAAACGGCTAGCGATTTTGTATGAATGTATTTTGCAAGTTATCAAATAACTCACCAATAATGTGCCCATTTGATGTGACATCATTTATACAATCTGGCAAGCTTTTAAATTCTATGGTATTTTCTGAAATACTTGGCTTTTTCTCGGAATCAAAACCTTGTTTGTTCCTATCGTCTGTTGGAAAACGTGTGTCGTCATCATGTACAAACGCTGCATTATTTTCCCCAGTCGGAACATTTACGGAATCATTCGGTTCTGCACTGAAATAGCTGTCACTCTCTACTACTGGTGCATCGGTAATTGCGTTTTGGGTGAACGTTGTATCACTGTCTTTTATGGAAATATTGCATTTATCATTTTCGGGTACGTCAGGGCTGTGAACATAACTGTCAATTGCATGCAATTTTTCTCCGTTGGAGTTCGTATCTGCATTACTCATAACGGAATTATTCATTTGCTTGCAGCACTTCTTTTCGACTACATTTTCGTCTTCGCCTGTTCCCGCCACTAAACTGTTAGTATCTGCCTTATCCGTAACTGAATTATCCACTTGCTCGTTGCATTTCTTTTCGACTTCAGTTTCGTCTTCGACTGATCCCTTCACTAAACTCTTGCTTGGCTGGTTACTATCTGTATTTTCTTGTAGTGCTTCAGCATTTGGTATATTATTCGGCTTCATTTTTTCAAGGGGTATTTATTAGAATTTCCCTATCCTCATCCTACTTTTCCTCTAAGCCTCCCTATCATGAATCAATTGTGTCTTTTATATCTTCTTAATTGTCAAGTTGTCCAGATACGATACTGTTAGTCCACATTTCAGACATTTGAACTTGATCAGGGGTTATTTACATATACATACTCGTATTCTTTCGCATACCTTAGTCTCTAGCTTGTGTTACGTAACGTAAAAATTGCGCTAACTTTGTTCACAACGCATTGTGAAGTGGCATGCCATAGATGCTAAGCGATGTCATATATGGGTTTACATATTATAACCTTCATCTTAAAACTAGGTACTATGCAACTACCATCTGACATATATGTACTTACCTCAATTATATCGAACTGAAATGAAATATTGTCCTATCTTTACTTTTTCTAGGACGTTTACTTGTCATTTGTATATTTATTAATGTATTCTAGAAACTACAACTTGGTGTTTCAGAGGTGTTATTGCACTGTATGTGAAATATGTTTCACTTTTAAAATATAAAAAATGCGAACAGGTAAAATGAAAAAAAATATCATAATTTTCTTGTACTACTGATATTTCAATTCCAACGTGTTAAGAGAATGCCATGTTCGTTGCACGTCTTAGCTTTATCGTTCTACAACCTAATTTAATTTCTGTAGTACTTAAGAATTGAATGCTTCCTTTTATGATTTTATTTGGGTATAAAAACGTTGACCGAAGCATATTTTATATGAAGTGCAAAAGCGCTTCATATTTAAAATGTGCGCATGATGAACGCACCTTGAAATTTAGAGTTATAGCAAGCTTTTCGGTTGTTTTTCGATGCATTATTTTATCATTGTCACGGATAACACGTGCAGTCATAGCTGTTGTATTTTTATAAGAAATACGATATGATATTGGAGTGCCTAGCGTTTGTTGTCATGCAGCCAATCAAAATTACGGACCCTAATGAAACATACATGTATGCAATTGTTTTATATTAAACAAAACGTGTGTTATAGATATTTTCAATGAAATTTCTTCATTTAATATTTTAGCAATAATTCAACCAGTTTTTTTTTCTCATACAAACAAAACTTATGATTAGAAGCAGTTGTTCCACCTATGCTGGTTCTCTCAACATACGGGTATCTGCGCCACCCTGGTCGGAGATAAACAGATAAAGGATAGAGAACCAGTCTATTGTTCCACTCATCAAAGAGTAGCCTTGAATCCATATCTTAATGTGCATGAAATAAGTCTTTATATAAGAATTAATATTCAAACTAAAGGTAACTACAGACTGAATGAGGTTTTAATTTAGACAGGTGCATTAGGCTCAATTAACCCCCTTTAAAAAATGTAATAAATGTAAAAATACAGCAACTTTTGTGTCAAAATAATGTTCTCTAATTCCTTTTTCTCTGGACCCCCTCCTATAAATATAAAATCTTTGAACGGATTTATAGTTGTATCCTTCCACTTTAAAAAAAAAAGAAAGATAAGTTACCAATAATTTGTACATTTGATGTATTGTTAATAATACAATCTGGCGTGCTTTTAAATTTTACGGTATGTTCTGAAAAACCTGGCTTTTTCTCAAAACTTTAGGTGCTCATATCATCCATTGGTAAACATTTCTTGTCATCATGTGCAAAAGCTGCATTATTTTTCCCTGTCTTGTCGAAATCATATGGTACTGCACAGAAATTATTGCCAATCTCTACAGGTGTGTTGATAATAGACTTTTGGCTTAATGTTTAAACACAGTCGTTGATAGGAATATCCATGTCTCATGTTTAGCTCTACCAGTCAAATGACTACTACAGTTAAAATGAAATGACAGTTATGATTAACCCAGACATACCTATATTTCAAAAACCCTATATTCGACTTCGTGTTTTCGCGTTTTCGCCCTGTCGAATACGAAACGCGAAAACGCGAAATGGCCTTAATCGGCCACCATACATGTTACATATAATGATTACAAATAGACATACGTAAAGAAACAATAATGCTAATGCTTATGATAATATGTATTTAACTATAGTATAAAAAAGGAGATGTGGTATGAGTGCCATTGCCCAATGAGACAACTATCCACCAAAGTTCAAATGAAGTGGACAAAACTAAAAAAAAAATTATAAATAGAACAAATGTAATAATAAAAACTAACAGTAGACAGCTCACTCACAAGCAAAAAAAAACCATAACAGTTACTGTGAAATATACTTCTAATACACTACAAGTTGTTTTCGTATTGTAAAGCATGCATTTATAACAAATAAGAGCCACAGTGTTGCATATTTCTTCCTGTTCACAAGAAAGAAGCCACTGAAATATAATCACGTGGCAATTGAGATGGCATGTCTTCCTGTGGACTGTTACCTTTTGTACTAACACCTCAAGGAAAATCCGGTTCAGTGTGTCGGTATATAATAAACAACACAAAAAAAAAATACAAATGTTACCTTATCAAAATAAACAAAAACAAAACAGAAAAAAGTAATAGAAAATTTTTTTTTAAATGAAACAACATAAAGATAAAGAGTATAGAAATAAACAGAACCAATTATAAAAATGAACAAAAGTCATGTTATCAAAATAGATAAAAACAAAATAGAAAAACAGAAAAAAATCAAATTCTTACGTAAATACATGTAAAATAGACTTTTAAGTGCAATATATTTCATACCGATGCATAAATTCACAGATAGGAATAGTTTACACAATAGCAGATGCACAAAGGACGTGCTGTGACTAAATCGCCCTAGATCAGTTTCCTGCCTTTGATTGTGTTTACAGTACAATGGATGCAATTACTAATTAGTACAAACGTCTAGTGTTTTCTATATACATTCCACATGTTTTAGTACTTATAGTTGCATACTATTAGTACTTAGAATGTAATTTCCGCCCCTTGATACACTTCTTTAGTTAGTATTAGTACTTTGTACTGTACTGTATGAAGTGAAGGATTTTAGCCAATTGTATGGTAAGTTATTTAATCAATTTATTAAATGCATTTTTTATTAAGTTTAATCGATTGATACTACTAAGTAATATAAAATGTTGATATAAAGCGCCATTTTTATCATTTGTTCCATCATATATACAATGTTCATGTATATAGTTGAGTTTTTATTACCAAACTTCGATATAAAAAGTCTGACAAAACAGGATATTGAGTGCTACTGTGAATAAAGGATCAGAAAATAAACATTAAAAAAAGATTGTATCAGCATCCGAAAGATATTAGAAAAGTGGGAAATCGTTTTTAAGAATACATGTCTGAAAAAAAAAATGCAAAAATGAATTTGTGAAGCAGACCTTGTGCAAATGTGAAAAAGCTGAAAGAGAAAAACAACCGTTAAATACTACATAAATCCATTAAAACGTGCGCTCTTGTCTTTTTGAATGAAACTTTTTATCATTTATTCAATATGTACATTAAAATACTGAGTGTTCATCTTGTCTCACAAGCAAATCAATGTCTCGAGTGCTTCTTTAAGAGATCTATACAAAAAGTACTTACTAAAGACAATGAAAGTATGTTCCTAAACTGCATATAAATCCAAGCCGTCCATGCAAAAAGGTCGTCAGATGATCTTTATTGGCATACAGTACATTAATTGTTAAAAAGTACGCCTTGCAAACATCATTAGCCGTGCAAAATGTTAATTATTCTGTAACTTGTTAACAGAGCAAGAACAAAAGACTGAAACCACATAATCATTTTTGGTATGTCCTCTACATAATGAAATGTAAATCGTTTACACGACACGAAGTGCATAATTATGCAGTTCAAAACAATACAACCAGGGCAACAAACTAAAGATACAAATAGTTATATTTGTGAGGTAATTATAAATCTGACAGTTATCCAGAAATACAAAAAAATCTGTCATCAACACCAACTTCTTGTGAGGACAAAACAAAACAAAACAAAACAAAACAAAACAGACCTAGCTGCAAAGAAGAATAAAAAACAGACCTAGCTGCAAAGAAGAAGGAAAAACAGACCTAGCTGCAAAGAAGAAGGAAAAACAGACCTAGCTGCAAAGAAGAAGGAAAAACAGACCTAGCTGCAAAGAAGAAGGAAAAACAAACAATCAATGATTAGAACATGATAGTATGTTGGATGTATATTTAGTGTTGACTTTGCTTTGCAAGGTTACTTGAAATAGATGAGAGGGTCATCTGTGGCCGTGTGGTCTACCTAATTCAGCTACGGTGATCATTAGCTTGTCAACACTGATGGTGTGCGTTCGACTCTGATCTTAATTGACTAGGAATGCCAATTTTCCTACCAAATGTTGGTAGTTCTCACTATACCAATGAAAACTAGCCGTCATTTTATAGCCAAGTGGACTGAAATACCAACAATCAAACAAAAAATCAACTAGTTGAGTGAAACCTATGAAGCAGCTGTTAACAAAAACTTAATTTGAAATCTTTTAAAGCTGGCCATTGGACTAGTGTTCAAATCATTCGCATTGGTGCACTTCAAAACTAAGAATACTAATAAAAGCATTATTTTCTTGTAGCGAGTCATTTGTTTTTTAGTATCTCAAATGTTAAACCACTCAAAACTATTTTTCATTCAACTACTACTAGGTGTGTCTTTCAGATTTAGAATTTTTTTTTACTTAATTTTCAAGATAACTGAGATGTATTCCTATTGCATTCTCTTGGTGGTTAGTGTATTGTCTGTATGTAGTGGTGTAGAAGACCAGTGGAAAGTACAAGAATTTCCGAACCCGATATATCAAGTAGAAGATTGTGGAAGGTCGGCAGATGTTGAAAAATCATGGATATGTGATCCGAACAAAGTCATATCTGAGCAAGACGGTAAGCTTCGCTACTCATAAAATCAATTTACCAAAACCACTCGAACCCACGAGTATGTTTTTTCTCCCTACCAATAAGTCAGTGGTTTGTTTATATCTGGAATTTGATTGGCTAAAACAATTTGATAATGGAATATAAATAATGCGAAAAGAAAGAAAATGTCCGAAACCTTCATATATTTTTACGATAAGTGGTCGATCCCTAATACTTGTATATTTTAGAACGAAGTAAATTTACAATGTGTCTGCATTTTTTTTTTATCTCACAGGATATAAATCAGGAAGTATTTAAACCTACTGGAATGTGAACATCAAAGTGTATTTATATAATTCGGAAAACATTTCAACAATTTTACATATTTCCATAAAATCAAAATGTCTTCTCTCGCATCATTTTGGTGCTGAAGATAATTTTAAACAATATTGCAACCTACATGTATATAATTTTGAGGGGCGTAAGGACCTTTTTTGGGACGTCGGGATTTTGCCTTTATTTTTGCGGGAATTCGGGATTGGGCCTTTATTTTCGCGGGAATTCGGGATTAACACCTAACGGGACACAGGAATAAATGATTAATTTTTCAGGATCCGGGAAAGAATGCTTTGTTTATTCCTGGAATTCGGGATGACAACCCCTCCTACCGCCCCTCAATTTTATGTTCTCGTAACATTTTGCACTGAGAGATATCTTTCACTAAAAAGAAACTCTTTGTATTTAAAACCATATGTTGTCTCCACACAATAAACAAGTGTCCATGCGATGGCAAGTTTTAAATCGTGCTAGTAAAACAAAAGTTGTAAATAAAGTAAAATTTAAAACAGAAACTGTCGTTTATTTTTTCCTGTTTTTCTCTCATTGATAAACTAGGCCTAGCTGAACATCATATATAAATTTCAAATAATTTGAACCATTGGTTAAAAATATTTGGCAACTCAACTATAGCATCTTTTACATACTAATATCGGCCAAGCTTGGAAGTTCCAGAAATATGACTTTGGACAAAACATGAACATGAGGCGTAGTTACAACTAGTTTTGAGGTTTCAATACTCCCCCTTTTTAAATTTGGTTTAACTATTCCTCTTGGTAGTTTTTTTTTTATAGATACGAATACTAAAAATGCAAAAATCTATCAAAATAGTCGTTTTAAGATATATCTTCTCAGATATAGCCCAAGATTTCTTTGACGTCTGACGCCCTCTAAGAACTTGTTGGGCTCGTGGTGATTGATTGGTTGATTATTGATTTCTTAACGTCCAGTGACAAGTAGTTCATGCATATTCAGGATGAAAATAAATCAACAATTATTACAATAGCTAGGTTATGCCAATTTGGTAGATATGAAGGCAGGGCGGGAAATTTATACAGCCACTGGAAAAAAATATGTTGCATATGGACAGAAATTTTGCTTGCAACAGGCCACCTACTGACCATTCAAAAAGTTGTCACCAGACTTGTTTTATGTGTAGACAGGATAACACTTTCCAAAAATGAGGCATCGGATTTTAACATTTTAAATACAAACAACTGCCTGCAGGTTTTAATCAACTGTGCATGAAATAGAGCCTGATATCGTTTATGTATAATACCTTTGACCCTCAATTGAGTTCAATGTATTACAAAACTTTATGAAATTATTATATAATACAAAATTTAGATTTAGATAGACATTCAAATGTTTTCGTTACAGTTAATGATATCAGTGATAAGCTTGTTGAGATACATACCAATTCAAGATGTAACTGTGAAATGTGCATCCGAAACAAAACTGGATATGTTGTCATGGTTGCCATTATGCCAAGAATGCATAGGATTATCAAGTATGATCACTTTTTATTTCAAGTTTATCAAATCGAAGCCAGAGTTCTCGAAAGGTTTTGACCACCAAAATTGGAAAGGACTGACACAATTTTGATGCATTGCAATAGAAATAATAGTGAGGACCAGCAGATTTTCTTCAAGGACCACCAGAAAAAAAAAATTTTTGAGAACTCACACACTTTATATTATTCATGAAAATATATATTTTTTTGTAAAGTACATCTTTTTTTCAAATGAAAATGGTACTGTTTTTTTAAAAGGTAATCATTTAGGAGATTCATTTTCTTAAGGTGTCGTCTGCGAGGACAGCGAGAACTTTGCACGGACGGAAGTTGAATTTCTAAAAAAAAATGTCCTCGTGGAGTCACTTTTGCAATGTTACTTTCAACTGTAAAGGAAAAATTATAATGGATACACATAAGAAATCATTACAAACAAAATCTGGGAAATAAAACATAAAGTAACGACGTTTTCATTGTTGAACATATGCTGGAATGTCTCCAATAATTGGCAAATTACTCACGTCTTACAACCAGATCAAAACAGAGAGTTGAGTCGGCTAATTTGAATTAGAATATTGGAAAGGATTTGCTTCATCAGTCTCGCCTAATAGAATGTGTTTACGCTTGACTATCCAAGGGTGTGTAAAATTTATGTTTTAGGCCTCATGGCGTACATATCCCATAATGTCACAGGGCTGAGAATTTAACGTCTACTTTGGCAATGAATGGAATAGTTGAATTATAGATATAAGAAGATGTGGTATGAGTGCCAATGAGACATCTCTCCATCCAAGTCACAATTTGTAAAAGTAAACCATTATAGGTCAAAGTAAAGCCTTCAACACGGAGCCTTGGCTCACACCGAACAGCAAGCTATAAAGGGCCCCCAAAATAACCAACGGTCTAATCTATATAAAAAACGAGAAACTCCATGATTTTTTTCATTTCTTTATTTTCTTTTGTTATGTAAAAGTGAGTATATATTGTAACTTGAAATTTACATTAAAATTGAAAAATATGAAATGACAGATATGACACATGCTGTGAATCAAAATAAGAAATGTCTTACGAAAACAAGATACCTGAAATATTTGCCGCTGGATGTTAACAATAATCAATCATATGCAATTAAAAGTCCGATATAGAACATTACATTTTAAATTTTACTGTATATATTTTATATTTCAGTGCATCAGATAGCATGGCTGACATAATGCAAGATGCCAGGGTGTATTCCTATTATCTAAGTTTGTACTGGGGTTCTTTTGCTACCTGCAATGAATTGGTCTTGTTGTTGATTTCAAGAGATGACGGTGTGGTATGGTTATTTGATTTGAACATTTGCAATTAACCTGTACAAGTTACTTAATCCCCTTTTCGTTAGTACACCACATTAAATATCACTGTCCCAGCCTAGCTCAGGTCGATATTTCATACGATTCATCCACAATTTTCACAAAAAAATCTTACGATTAAAACTGATCGTAAGTTATGCTGGAATGTTTATGATTTACGATTGTTTTGTGAAAAGAGCCGCAGATCTTTCCCAAATTGCCTAGAATACATGCCAGTCTTTAATTTCATATATTAAAGACTGATATTAAATGTAATAAATTGCTATGTTTCTTAACCCTAAGTTTCTGTACTTAGATTTGATATCCGGACCTTAGTTTACAACCATATATCAGCAGAATTTGGAGATCTAAGTCACAGTCTAACAAAGACTACAATATTAGGTTTTATAAAAAAAAAAAGAAGATAATTCTCTATTTACCAACATTTCAGTATCGTCTGCATATGGAGTATATATATATATATTTCTCCAGTTGATACGATATTTAAGAGCTTGCATTTCCTATCCTGATTTTCTTGATAGAGAATAGCATCTTACACCAAGAGTTACCGACGCCATCAAGAGTTGCTTGGCCGTTATGGAATATTTGTTTCACAGATGACGACGGATATGTTCCAATAGTCGTAACCACAACCCAGTTCTCTTTTCCTCGAATTAAACTAATCGCTGAGTTTGTACTTACATCAGCAACACACACGGGTGCTATATGTGAAGCATGATCTGCTTACCCTTTCGGAGCGCCTGAGATTACCCCCAGTTTTTATATGTGTTTGTGTAGCTCAGTCTTCCGCCTCTCTTTTACATAGAAACTGAAAAACAGTAATAACAAAAGAAAAGACACAACACAAAACAGCTAAAATAACTGTTCACGGACTTTTCTCTGAGCCAAAATAAAACTTAGGACAGCCAGATTTATGCAAAAAGAACCAACCAAATAATCAAACACGTAACTTAATTTTGTAGGTTTATACATTAACACAGAGCGATGCAAGAAAAAAGCTGACAGATGAACTGGTTACAAAAATAACGCTTGATAATCAGAAATACTTTGATGGAAAGGACAGAGTCAAGATAGGACAGGGGATCAAGTCAATGATCAATAAATATGGGTAATCTTCATATTCTTCAAATGTAACAAATAAGACAAAAACATCAATATGTACAAGAACATAGTTATTTCGTAGTGCATTTCGTTTAGACAATTACTGTCACTTTAAAAAATCGCACCTGCTCTATCCCATAAGATTTTTACAGTATAGTGTACTACTTTAGACAAACTATACCAAAATCATAAAAATGGCTATCAGCTCTAACTTAAAACTAAGGAAAAGTATATGCTAAGGGGGTCTATAATTCAGTGTGACAGCTTCAGACATGCTTATTTTTGACTTTTATCAACTGGACCAAATCACTACTTTACCTAAAAAATAATTACATGTTATTTCACATATTTCATGATATTTTGACGAATCACGGTAAAGTTTTAACCAATTTGACGCTAACGGTAGCTGAAAATGACCGTTTGACGCCTGACGGTATAAAGGGCATTCCTACCCTCGTTTAATGTTGAAGACTGTATGTTGCCCTCTATATTTCTAACTTTTGGTTATTTTTGCCATTGGATTCCTGTCATATTTTACATATACCCACATCTCCGTTCGTTCACCTGGTCAAATAAAATTTATTTTAACTAGTTCTTAGGATTTTGACAATCAACGTAATTCCTCATAATCATCTTCTTATAAAGTTATTTGTTATTTTGTTCATACAGTTGACTGTAGAATTACACACGTCAGATGATACAATGTTTTAATTCCTATATATTATATAGATATAAGAAGATGTGGTATGAGTGCCAATGAGACAACTCTCCATCCAAGTCAAAATTTATAAAAGTAAACCATTATAGGTCACAGTACGGTCTTCAACACGGAGCCTTGGCTCACACCGAACAGTAAGCTATAAAGGGCCCCAAAAATTACTAGTGTAAAACCATTCAAACGGGAAAACCAACGGTCTAATCTATATAAAAAACTGAGAAACGAGAAACACTTATGACCACAACAACAAACGACAACTACTGAACATCAGATTCCTGACTTAGGACAGGTGCAAACAAATGCAGCGGGTTTAAACGTTTTAATGGTACCAAACCTTCACCCTTTTTCTGAAACAATAGTATAACATCACAACATAGAAAGACACACTATAAAATATCAACTGAAATAGCTTAACTCAATTAAAGGACATATTAACACCATTGAACATACACTGAACAAATAAATTTGACCTATGATACAATGTAAATACAAAATAAATAAACTGAATATAAATGCTTTCTCTATTTCAATATGGTTCTATCTTTAATTATAAAATCACACGAAACGATTCAAACCACAGATAAATATGTATATGCTGGATCCGTGCCTGCAGAGCTACTGTATCTTTTGTTAATAAAAGTTTCAAGGACATAGGATTTGTCGAGGCACTAATAGAACAACGAAAAAAATCGACTCGGTGTGGCATGAGACATATTTACCTAATAATATCTCTGCAATATCCGAAGGTCTGGATGGAGTTTCACAGAATAGAGAATAATGGGCAAAAAGTGCTGAATAAAGGGCAAAAAATATAAAGAATAGAGAAAAATACGCCCCCAAAAAAAAGAAAGAATAGAGAATAATGGGGTGCTTAAATATAAAGAATAGAGAAGAATAGGGAAAACGAATAAAGAATAGAAAAAAATGTTATAGAACAATAAAGAAATGAAGGACCCCACATCCAGACTCTCATATCCTATTTTTTCCTGTTAATTTGATAGACTAACTGTTTTTTTTTTATAGAATTTTGCTGAGAGGGCAGTCCATAGAATAACATTCAACAAGAGACCAGTCATTGAAAAAGGAATAGCAAGTGTGTCTTGAAATATATTTGTTAGAGACAGAAGTATGTGACAATAAAGAGAGGAAGAGTTTTCATGTAAATAATGTATGAGACTGTGAAATAAACTGTATTTGTTAAAATGTTTATATTTACATTGTATAATAAAAAATTCAAGCTAATTTATAAGGATTATCATGCGTTTCATTGGCTGCATGTTTTTGGTATTTTAAATCAGCCTGAAAATGTGTATACGGTTTAGAAATCAAAACTCGAGAATCAAAATAATAAATAAAAAACAGGGGCGGATCCAGCCATTTTTAAAAGGGGGTTCCAACCATATGTCCCCATTCAAAAGCATTGATCGTCAAAAAAAAGGGGGTTCCAACCCATGGACCCCCCCCCCCCTGGATTCGCCACTGAAAAAAAGCATTTTATTCTGAATCTCAATACCCAGATTTTGCTGCATTCGAATAAACTTCCGCTTAGAAACAGCTTGGATACAATTTTTCAGATGCCAAAGAATAAAATTTTAGCAGTTATAACCAAAAAGTCATGAACAGTATCCATTAGGTACAATGTATAAAAGGATGTATTGATTTAAGGATGTTTAACGTCCATTGACAAAATTTTAATATGTACCGATTATCGGGTTTTCTGATTGTCAAATGTCAGGTGCTACTCACAATACAAAGCTTGTTGAAAAGTGCATGAGCTCGATTTAACAAGTAGATCTTTAAAAGACTATAACTCGTATTAAGATTCGTTCAATGGTTTTGGTCGTATTGGTAGTTTTGAAAATCTTGTCCTGCTGATCATTTTAAAGCATTCAGTTTCTACCTTTCTATTACAGTTTGGTTTTGTTTCAAGATAATAGGAAAAACACGCATATAAGTCAAAACACTTCAACTTTACACGTAAGGGAGCAACCAAAGGAGGGGGGAGGGGGTATGGTTTTTTGTCAGAATTCTTTTTTCGACGCTATCAATCAAATTATTTTTTTTTTCAAAATTTAACACTATATAAGGTATGCGGAAAATCTGGATTCCGAATATTTTTTTTTTGTCATCTGCTTGACCACAATATTTTTTTTCATCAAATTGGGGATCAGAATATTTTATTAGGAAAAACAAACTATAATCCCCCCCCCCCCCCCCCTTGAAGTTAAATGAGTGATGGCATCATGCAGACTTCTACTAGGGAGTGTTTGTCGGCATTAACTACCCATGAGGGTCTCGCACGGTCGGTAACGAGCAGAGGACTTGTTCATTGTTAATTCTACAGATCATATATCAAAACATTTACTACAAAGGTAATGTGCAAGTAAAACAAAATCACAAAACAAACCACAAAAAAGAAAGAAAAAAAAAACAGAAAAACTTCTACGTTATTTGGTATCTGGTGGAGAGTTGTCTCATTGACAATCATACCATATCTTATTTTCATAAGGGGTGTCAGTTGGGCTGTGCAGGGTGACAAAATTCGTCTGATTGAATAAGGACGTGAAATTCGATGTTTCTTGTATAGATAGTACTACGCTCTCCACAAGTTAAGAACCAACCCACACAACCACTCTTCTCAATACTATTGTTTTTCCAAGATAATAGGTACAAAAACATATAAGTCAAATATAGCCATTTAACTCAAGACAAAAGTCATTCCAATGATTTTGTCATATAAAGGTATTTTTTGTTGACTTTGTTCTCCTGTTGCTTTTTACGATTTCTACTTATCTATTCAAGCGTTTGTGGTAATAGGCAAAACAGAAAAACAATTTGAAAATTGACATTAAAGACTATAACTCGTATAAAGATTCGTTCAAAGGTTTTGGTCGTATTGGTAGATTGAAAATCTTGTCCTACTGATCATTTTAAAGCATTCAGTTTCTACCTTTCTATTACAGTTTGGTTTTGTTTCAAGATAAAAGGCAAAACACGCATATAAGTCAAAAATCGTCATTTAGGGGCATTAACAGGGGGCTGGTCAAAATGTAGGGGAGGGGGGGGGCCAAGTTTTTTTTTATAAATTTAATTTTGAACTTTCGATCTTCAAGTATATCCTAGATGTCATGTGTGTCAAAGGCAAGTGTTTTGCATGTTAAAATTTTGGCATGTTTAATAGAGGGGGGATCACATTTTTTAAAATGTTTTTAAGGGGGGATAAAATACAAATAGTGAAATATTATGGGGGGATCAAAACAATTTTATATGTTTGATTTCAAAATGACCAGGCCCCTCCCCCTTCCCAGGTAAAAAATGATAAGTCCCTTATGTGTATATGAGTTATCTATAATTTCGTGACAAATGGGAAGAAGGTAGATCTTGATATTCTGTGTATTTTGTACTGTCAAATTTTCTTGATGTTATATATAGTATTATGCATCTTCAGGATATATAAGACAGTTCATTCATTTTACACGCAAGTCCTGTTTTTTTTTTTTAGCTTGTTAGAGATATTAGTTGATTGGCAGCAGAGACATATTGTATTATATGTGTCTGTTGGCAGGGACAAAGAACACAAACTTTATACCAGATATCACAACAGTAGTGGATCCAGAGGGGGGTTCCGGGGGTTGGAACCCCCCCTTTTTTTGGACGATCAATGCATTTGAATGGGGACATATAGTTGGAACCCCCCCCCCCCCCCCTTTATCCTGGGTTGGGAACCCCCCTTTTTAAAATGGCTGGATCCGCCCCTGCACAAGGATCATTCTGCCGAAGTCTGTTTAAAATTGGTCCACTGGTTTCAAATGATAAGTTTTATGAAAAAGTTGACCATGATTCACGATGATGAACGCCACCGACGGTAATAGCTCATAAGGTCATAGAGCAAGGAGGGCCTAAAACTTTTAATAACTGCTCCACAGTAATGTAACCTTTCTGATGAAGCTACATTCTAGGCCAAAAAAATAACTAAAGTTAAATAAACTGTTGACACAGAGGAATGACTCGTCTGCAAGGAATTTTTTACATTTAACATTTACTGAGAGTCTGGGATTAAATTTTGTTGACATGATAAGGTTGTTAACCTTTATGGATTGTTATGAAACTTGAACAGAAGCTAATCTTCAAGACCAAGAAATAGCATCTAAAGAGAAAGTTTGAATCTTTTTTAACATTCTGTATTTTACTGATAAATGGACTCACTTTTTAAGTCAGCATTACACTTTTACACTGACAGCAGCAATCGTAGGGGAGACACAGGGTTCCACAAAAAAATTTTATATTGTATGATGCCATAAGATACAGTATATAACGAATTAATTTTTTTTTTTTCAATTTTGTATGACTATATATCTGCCTTTGATAGGTTTTCACCAAAATTACATTTAGTCATACAGGATCAGGTAAAATTAGTTAGGTAAATTAACCAAACTAGAGCACTTACACATTTTACTTACTATCAACCAAAGAGACAAAAATTTAAGTAATCTTTTATTGTTCAACATGTTAGACATATACATATATACATACATATGGATGTTGAAAAATACACATAAATTGCAAACTTGCACATTTATTACTTTTATGAAAAAATAAATACATTACATCGCACCGTACTGTCATGAAAAGTTATGATACATAGTAATGTAAATAAATCTAAAATGTTTCTGAGTTATGGTACACATATATACATAATTGCACTACTGATGTGTATTGTAATATGTATGGGACTTTTGTTTTACAAATGTATAGAACTCAATGTATTAAAAACGTATAGAATTCAATGTATTACAAATGTATAGAATTCAATGTATTACAAATGTATAGAATTCAATGTATTTATACAAATGTATATAGTATTCAATGTATTACAAATGTATAGAATTCAATGTATTATACAAATGTATAGAATTCAATGTATTACAAATGTATAGAATTCAATGCATTTATACATTGTTATACAAATGTGTAGAATTCAATGTATTTATACAAATGTATAGAATTCAATGTATTACAAATGTAAAGAACTTGAAGTACTACAAATTCATAGCATTGATTATTCATGTTGTTTAAACAAAATTGACAAATCCAAGCATTTTCAATGCTGTAATGATGGAAAAGACCAAGAGCGCTAAGAGACCAATATACGCAAAAGCTCCTCTCATTCTTTTCTTTGGATCTGAAAAACAAAAAAAAATCAATTAAGCACTGAAAGCTCATAAAGCTCAACAAGTATGAAACATAACTAAAATGAATAAAAGAAGAATGTGTCTGAGGATACGAATACCCCCCCTCAAGCTTTGCATTTTTCCAAGTTAAAAATGGGCATACCTCTAGAACGGTCAGTGCCTCACTGCCCAAATTCGAACTCTGTCTGCTAGTTTTGGTTCTTAGCATTGTGTATGAGTTTCATAAATTTGCATGAGGCAAACGTAAGTTAGCTTGCAGAAACGAAAATGGGACGGATGACCGGAAAGACAGAAGGAAGGACAGTCAAGGATAACCCTAAATGCCCACGTTGCCTACAGCGGGGATGTAAAAATATTCTGCTCATTGTTTTCACAAAGCAAAAAGAAGAGAAAATATGAAGAGGATTATAATATACTGCTGACACACAGACTGATTGACAATTGCTTAAAGAGGAATGGCCTATTTCCCTCTGAATGTTTTTCACTCACACTTCCAGGGTTAAAATACAAAATTTGTTTAAACATGATAAACAAGAATGTGTCCATAGTACACGGATGCCCCACTAGCAATATCATTTTCTATGTTCAGTGGACCGTGAAATTGGGGTCAAAACTCTAATTTGGCTTTAAAATTAGAAAGATCATATCATAGGGAACATGTGTACTAAGTTTCAAGTTGATTGGACTTCAACTTCATCAAAAACGACCTTGACCAAACACTTTAACCTGAAGCAGGACAGACAGACGGACGGACGAATGTATGGACGCAGAGACCAGAAAACATAATGCCCCTACTACTATCGTAGGTGGGGTATAAAAACTTAAATCTAATTATTAAGATAAAGAGTTTAATACACATTCATTATATTTCATTACAATTCACACATTTCCCTTATATCAAAATGTCATTTAGCACTTTATGTTTTTGTAATAATAGAGTAACTGGACATACTAAACCAACATAAATTTGTTTAACATGTCCAAAGTCAGGAGCTTGTAGTACAGTGATTGTTGTTGGTTCATGTCTGTCATATTTGTTTATGGTAAATTGTTTTGTTATAAATAAGATATTTAGTTTTCTTGTTTGAATTGTTTCGCATTTTTCATACCAGGGCCTTTTAAAGATGACTATAAGTTGTGTGTATATATCTCATTGTCGAAGGCTGAATGTTGACCTATTATTGCTTACTATACTACCACTTCATTTTAACTCTGGTGGAGAGTTATCTCATTGGCGATCATGCAACATCTCCTCATTTTTATATTAAACAGGGGCGGATCCAGCCATTTTTAAAAGGGGGGTTCCCAACCCAGGATAAAGGGGGGGTTCCAACTATATGTCCCCATTCAAATGCATTGATTGTCAAAAAAAAGGGGGGTTGACAGAATAGACAATAATAGACAAAATAATATGAAGAATAAAGAATCATGAGAATAATGGTGAGATAAAGTATCAAGAATGCAGAATAATGGGGAGATAAAGTATCAAGAATGCAGAATAACGGGGAGATAAAGTATCAAGAATGCAGACCAATGGGGAGATAAAGTATCAAGAATGCAGAATAATGGGGAGATAAAGTATCAAGAATGCAGAATAATGGGGAGATAAAGTATCAAGAATGCAGAATAATGGTGAGATAAAGTATCAAGAATGCAGAATAATGGGGAGATAAAGTATCAAGAATGCAGAATAATGGGGAGATAAAGTATCAAAAATGCGGAATAATGGGGAGATAAAGTATCAAGAATGCAGAATAATTGGAGAAAAAGTATCAAGAATGCAGAATAATGGGGAGATAAAGTATCAAGAATGCAGAATAATGGGGAGATAAAGTATCAAGAATGCAGAATAATGGGGAGATAAAGTATCAAGAATGCAGAATAATGGGGAGATAAAGTATCAAGAATGCAGATCAATGGGGAGAAAAAGTATCAAGAATGCAGAATAATCAGAAGATAAAGTATCAAGAATGCAAAATAATGGGGAGATAAAGTATCAAGAATGCAGAATAATGGGCATAAACATTTAAGAATAGGAAAAGATCGATGGCCTAAAAATTAGGACTATTGAAATGAAGAACCTCCTAATGGCTTCCCAATCCAGGCCCTTAATTATGTTAAATGTTAATTATATATAATTAGATATGAAATTTCAAAAGAACTTTTAACACATAAAAGTGATAGTAAACTAAATTATGCCAATTTGTTACCTCCGCTATAGTATCCCAATGCATAGAAAACACGTCCAACAATCCAAACCATTCCTGCTGCAGCTGATAATTTCTGAAAGTATATGTAAATCATTAAATTGTGAATTGAGCAAATCTTTAATGAAAAAACACCTGTTTTAGGTATGTAAAATACATTTAGCTGATGTAACATTTATACAGTTTCTACTCTTTTTCGCATAAATAAATTTCATCCATATCAGAAGACATAGATTCTATAGATGAAAACCTATTAGCTATTTTGACTTAAAACTTTTGATCAAGCTATCCTAGTTGTAACTTCAGAGCTTAAACCCGCTGAAGAGTTGGCATTAGAAAAAGGGAAATAACTCAAATTTTAAAACTTGCTACATTTGTACATTTTACCAAATGTCAGAAATTCAAGGCTATTATTAGGATTTTTGGCAAAATGAATTTTAAGTATCTTCCCAGGTTTAGAACACCTGATATATAAAACTCCACTTTTCCCCCCTATGTAAAGGTAATGTGGGAACCCTAGGGATGCAATTAAACTTAACAAACATGACAAAGGAATCACATCCTGATATGAAGAAGATACAGAACACTTGAAAAAATTAGAAAAAAACAAGAATGTGTCCATAGTACACAGATGCCCACTCACACTATCATTTTCTATGTTCAGTGGACCGTGAAATTGGGGTCAAAACTCTAATTTGGCATTAAAATTAGAAAGATCATATCATAGGGAACGTGTACTAAGTTTCAAGTTGATTGGACTTCAACTTCATCAAAAACTACCTTGACCAAAAACTTAAACCTGAAGCTGGACAACATGCAATGTGTTCATAGCTTGATCTATCAGTTTCTTTGTTCAGTGAACCCTGAAATCAAGGGGCAAAATTGCATATAATTTAAAAAGTTCATATCATAGTGAAAGCATTTGTACATGGTATACCAAGTTTCAAGTTGACGTCACCCTAAATTCATGGACAAAGATTCTTAACCAAAAACTTTAATCTGGTAATGTATTAGTTTAACACAATCAAATTTCTATGTTCAGTGAACCATAAAATTGGCATCAAAACGGTAATTTTGCATACAATTTCAAATGTTAAAACCATAATGAACATGTGTATTAAATGTCAAGTTGATGTGAATACAATTTCACAGTATTAAAACTACCTTGACCAAAAACTTTAACCTGATACAGTATGAATGTATGAATGGATGGACAGGATGCACAGACCTGAAACATAATGCTCCACTACCATGACTACTATCATCATAGGACATAAAAGCAAAAGCAAACAAAAAGCAAACAAAACAAATCTAAAGCAACGAGCACTAGAGAGCTGTAAAAATAAAAAACAACTAAAAAGGGGATATATATGAACTACTAGAAACCTAAGCTTTGGTAAAATCTTTGGGCATGCACTAAATCAAAGAATGATATCTAGTTATCTGAAAAGATAAGTGCATGTAATATTTTTAAGGTGGGAAGCATGGCAATACCAAGTTTGAAGAATACCAATTAAATATCATGTACATTTTAATAATCAGATGGGAAGCATGGCAATACCATTTTATTATCAGATAGGAAGCATGGCAATACCATTTAATAATAAGTTCGAAGAATATCAAGTAAAAATATCATGTACAATTTAATAATCAGATGGGAAGCATATCAATACCTATTTATTAATAGAACTTTTCAAATTTTGTAGCTATTTGTTAATTGTTGTTTAACATTGTTTAAGGCAAATGATTACTTACTGGAAATGTCAGACCTCCAAATATTAACAAGATCAGAAATTGTGGATAGTTTTCTAGCCTGTAATGAAAAAAAATTCTTTTAGAAATGAATGATAGCAAACATAAAATAAAGTTAAATGATGTTTTGTATGACATACCTTACATCACTGATCAAAAATGTACTTTTACAAATAACACTTTAAGTAAAACAGTTAGTAATAACAAGGTTAATATGCATGTTACATGTATGTATGACATACTTTACAATATAAATATGTATCTTAAGGATGTTCGCTCCTCTTGTTTTTGATTTTTTGTCAGATATTCGAAATCCTCTGGTTTTATCCATGTAGTGCCATTAAAAAAAATTGCCCACTAACCCCTATTTTTCTTTTTATAATTTGATTAAATATAGTTTAAAATGCCATCTTTGAAAATCTTATTAAATCCTTGTTATTTTTTCATACTTTTAGACAGAAAAAAGGTGCCAATGTTAAATGTATGAAAAATCTAGAGAGAATTATTTCCTGCCAAATTTTCAATGGCTTATATCTCGAAAACAAGCACACAGACCCTTCATTTTTATTTGCTTTTGTAGTTCCTTTATTTATATACTATCAATTTATAACAGTCTTTTAAAAAGTTTATTATTTTGAAACAGAGTAGCGAACATTCTTAACAAGTAACACTTTCAATAAACCGTATACTGTAAATTCAGAAATTATTTTTTGAAAGGATTTTATAAATTTTTGAAATTGTGACTGGTTGACATGGTTGAGTATCGCAATAATAAGAACTTGCATTCTGATAACTGAATCATAGATCTGTATGCACATTTTTTCTAAATCACAATAATTAAACTCACATTTTTGTTCAATATTGAAAAATCGGAATAATAAATGCATGCACTAATAAAAGGTGGGTGTTGGTGTTGTACTGTCCAAAATAATGTTGGTTCCTGTTGTTCTTTTTACATTTATGTACATGTAAAATTGTTGAAATCTATTTTTAAAATACATGTACATGTACATGTATATTACTGGTATTTAAATTCTTTGCCCATGTTGATATTCAAATCACAGTAGGTTTCAAAACTTTATTATCATTATCACATCTTTGTACAATGAGGTCTAAACTGACCTGTGATGAGACAAATAAAATGCAGGGTAAATTGGCCACTTACTTCTTTGACAGCGACTGCTTTGTCCATTCTGAACCAAAAAGCAGTATAATTATAATATGAATATTGAAAATCATTTCAAATCTTTGCCAACTTACGTATTTTGGTGAGCTCTCTGTACACAGTTGAATCTATCGTCATCGCTGTACATCTTTGGATACTGTAAAAAAATATATATATCAATTTTAAAAAAAACAAGATATCTTACAATGTATAAGTAATATGAATGAAAGAATGTGATGTATACTTCAGTGGGGCAGCAACTCTCAAAGACATGCAAAAAACATTGGGGTCAATTTAAATGAATGACAAAATGTATGATATTCAACATAGACAAATATCATGAATATATTATACATTGGTGTATGCCTCTTTATGTCTTGTTTGTAAGCTTTTCCATCCTAATTCATTGATCATGTTGCTGACACTGAATCTAATTTCTTTATTGTCTGGTTATGTCAAGTGTGGTTTATCGTTGTACTTTTCCTGTTTTGTCTAAGAGGTTTTTGCTGATACAGGTCCAATACTGTCATTGTATTTTCTATGTGAGGTCTTACGTTAAGCATGCTCTTGGATTTGGAACAAGGAATTTCAGTGTAGGAAACCAAAGTTCCTATGATGTTATTTATACATTTTCCACAACCTAGATAGTTTGTAATGGTGTAGCCCTGGTATTTAGTTGGTTTCATGTTTCAGAGTATGGGCCGTGAAGCTTGTATTCTGACTTGATTGATTTATTTTTTTGGGGGGTGGAAAGGGAGGGAACTGTGAAAGCACTGCATTTATCAGGATGAAACTCCATTTTCCAAAGTTCTCCCCGTTTTCAGTTTGTCTAGGTCTTCTTGAAGTTTATTAAAATCATTGTTGAGGAAATTGTTATATACACTTTTGAGTGAAATCCCATATACTTTCACTTTGTCAGATGTTTTGACTTCGACCTCTTTTACTTGTGTTCTAAATGCGAGAAATTCCTTGATCAACCTGTTTTTCTTGCTTCTGATACAATTGTGTACTTTATATTGGAGTAGACTGTAGGACACCTTGCCAAATGCTTTGGAGAAGTCTATAGAATTAACATATCCTTTTGGTTCTGTTTTCCAGTTTTTTTTTAGTGCTATTACATTTAAGGAGCTGTGTTTCATATGGTGACTTTTACTAATGAAGCCATGTTGGAGAGAGTATATAATGTTATTTTTCTCTGCATGTTTCATGATTTTAAGAGTATATGTTTTAATATTTTACAGCAGACACATGCATGTTTAGGGATCAAATTGATCAATTATTTGTTTTTTGTACATATTTTGTTTAGCTTGCGTAAAATAAGTGTATTTTACAGATTGACTAAATGTCTCATTGCAATGCAGCAACAGCAAGATTTTTTGTCACATTAAGTTCATCATAATCTTTTGGCTAATATGGTCATATTTACACCACAAGTTTTACTCTGAGTACAGACAAACCTGTGCACCTGGAAAAGTTTAAAGGCATGGCAGGAACTAGATACTTAATTAAATTTTAAATACATTTGATGTTCCAGAAAATTATAAATTTTTCTGGATTTTGCTATTCATTTTTTTTCATTCCTGCAGAAGGTGCCAAAATAAACTAAGTTGGGAAAGAGGTTTGAGAAGCTCCTGTCATAATTATAATAAATGTTGTGAGTACATATAATTCCATTCTCAATTTTATTGATCTAAATGGACAATAGACATCTAAAAACAGTAGGTGATTAAATAAACTGTGTAAAACTGAGTGGACCGTATCAAATGAAACTCATGTGTTTGGTTTTTTTGGCTATGATCTTCTGCAGACTGGAAAAAAATGCACACCAAAATCCAGAATAAGTTTTTAATTTTCTGAAACATAGACTACATATAACTTTTATATACATGATATAACTAGGTCCTGTCATGTCTTAAAAATTTCCTAGTTGCATCAGCTTGCCTGTACTCATAGTAGATTTTGTGGTGTAAATACCTCCATATTTTTCAATTCCTTTTGATGAACCTTAAAATTGATAAAAATTGATAAAAATATTTTCTCAATTTCTATCTAAAATATGGACGGGTTTTGAAAACGACCCTTGCATATCTAGGTACTGCCATGCCTTTAATCTTTCCTAGATGCATCAGTTTGTCTGTACTCATAGTAGATTTTATGGTGTAAACACGGCCATATTTTTCAATTCCTTTTGATGAACCTTAATGGGCGGTTCTCGATTAGGTCAAACAGAAAGTTTGTATCAACTTACCGGCACTTCATACTTTGTCCTTGCTTTACCGACCTGAAAACCCTTCCACATCAAAACAAAAATAGAAGCAATAGATGTAAGGATAACATATCCGAAATCTGAGGGAAGTGTGAAAGTAACTGCCATGATTTCCTGTATCGAGTTATGCTGACTCGACGTTCTAAATCTTGAACATGTATACAACAGAAAGGTCAAGGTTGAAAGGGTAGACTTACCGGAACTCCGTATTCGGAGCGTGCTAAAAGGGTTCTCATTTCTAGCCAATTCATTAAAAAATATGTTGATGATGCGACTAAAATAACATATCCAAAATCTGGCGAAATGTCAACTAACATAATTTACCTGTTCAGGTAAAACCGAAAGTAAACATGATTATAATTGTTAGAACAAATAGTCCGCGTAATCATGACTTTTTTCCGGAATTTATACATTGGATCTACTTAGGAGGGTCGTAATCAGCTGGTAATGGGGGTACCTTCATGACGAATAACGGTAAAAAATCTTGCCAAATGACGTTAACGGTAATTTTTGCTGCATGACGATAAAATGTACACTTTCTTTTAGACGTTAAAAAAATCGATAGATTTTGACGAATCACGTTAAATTTTTTCCAAAAATAACGGTAACGGTAATTATTTGAGACCTCTGACGAATCACGACAAGAATATTTTGACGAATCACGACAAGAATATTTTGACGAATCACGGTAAAATTTTAACCAATATGACGCTAACGGTAGCCGAAAATGGCAGTTTGACGCCTGACGGTAAAGGGCATTACTGCCCTCACTTAGGGTATGCAGACGGAAATATGTTTTGTAATATTGTAACAATGGAATAAAATGCGACAAAGTTTTCTTTATTTCAACATCCTTCAATGTGTACTATTTCTATATTCCGTCAGAGACGAGATGGAGGACAGCCGTCATATAAGTTCTCCCCGCTTCTCCCGCGTGGCCCTCGTCTCCCGAGGCTTTCTCCCACCCTCTTCTCTTATCTCCCATCAGAAACATAAATCTTCTTAAAAAAAGTTCATTTTTCAGTTAAAATACTATAAAGTCAACACTGAGTGGAAGAACTTTTTCGCTCTCAAATTTCCACGGTGATGATTACTTTAAAACCCTCACTAAGTAAAGACCAATTTATCTTAATTGTAACCCGAACCAAACCAAACATGCCGAAGCCTTTGTGGTATACAATATGAGGGAAACACGAGATGGGAATTTTTTTAACGAACACAGAAGCATTTATGCCGCTCCCAAAAACTGAAGTTTGATTTTCATTGTACTTCAACATTTAGGAAACACAAAGTTTAACCGTCAATACTAACTATACAGAAGTTCTTCAAGAATGAAGTTATAAATTCTTCTCATTTAGGTCCGTGTCCACCACAGAGTCAAATACTAATTAAACAATCACATTATTACCACAACTCCGTGTATTTCCGCCTCTGAACATTTGAAGGCCCATTCAGTACATTAATTTAATTACAAAAATTACACCAAAGAAAAACGTCAAATATCGTTTTATCTCAGCCTCTGCATGATACTACTAAGAAGTGTTCTACAACTTACCTTACAGCTGCCGTTAATACTAGTAGTTTCAAATAACTTTCCATTAACTTTTGTAATAAAGCATATGAAAATAACGGTATCAATTATTTTTAGAGAGTAAAAAAATCTTTAGATGTTTAATAGATACAAGACTTGCTTTTGATTGATTGATTAATTGGTGGTTCACTATTGTGCTATTTCGTGGCGGTCAATTTTTATTGGTGGAGGAAGACGGAGTGCCCGGAGAGAACCACCGACCTTCGTTAGGAAAACTGGCAATCCTAGTAAATTAAAGATTGGAGTCGAGTGCACATGCCCCGTACAGGATTCGAACTAACAACCTTGGTGTTGACAGGCTAGTGATACAGTAGTTCGACTACTTAGACCACTCGGCCACTGAGGACTCGGCCCCTGACTTGCTTTTGATGATCCTTTCAATTCGGTTGTTAGTTTAGAATTTTCGCCTGACTCTCAACACTACACTTCCAAATCAAAAGTTTTCATATTTAATTGAATACTATTAGTACATTGGAAAATCCGATTGTAAATGTATTTGTTGCAACTCATATAAAGCTTTCTTCCGTAATGAAAATGTTAACATGCTATAGATATACTAACGTGTACGAAAGTGCGATGATTAAAGCTGTATACATATTTTCTCCTTGTCAACATCTATGTACGTTACCGGCAATACAATTTGTCGACAGGTTGAAGGTAATATCAGTGGCGGATCCAGAACTTTACATAGGGGGGGGGGCTCCAGTCATGCTTCAGTGATTCCCTATATAATCAACCAAATTTTTCCCACAAAAGGGGTTGCCCGGCACTACTGGAACAATGCCCCGTAGATTGGCCGTGAAAATGTCCGTAAAAATGCTGGTGATTTTTACAGTGTTTGTCACGGTTAATTTACGGTGGGCCGTGAAACTTATCCGTGACAATGCCGTGGAAAAACTGTCGTGAAAAGTTTGTGAAAAGGCCGTGAAGAGGTGCCACCTGAAAACTTGGGTGAAAAGACCTTAGAAACCCTGTGAAAAAAAAAAAATGTACACCGTGAAAAAGTCGTGATAATGCATTATGTGCCCATTGTGAAAAGACCGTGAAATGTAGATATAATACAGTATATGCCTTTATTTGTTGTGAAAAGGTGCCAACTGAAAACTTGGGTAAAGAGACAGTAGAAACCCTGTGAAAACAAAAATGTACACCGTGAAATAGTTGAGATAAATTATGTGCCCATTGTGAAAAGACCGTGAAATGTACATGTACTACTGTGATAAACAGCCATTCACTGATTGTGAAAACTCCTGTAAAATGTTAAATGTATTTTTCAGGCCATAATTTAACAAAAAATTTAAATGCTGTTTCAACATGTTCAATCAAGTGAAGTGAAATGCCTGAAAACCTAGTGTAAACATCTACAGACAACTTATTTAAGTACAATGCAAGTGAGACTATGAAAAACCATATTAAAATGCTGTATTTTTTTTAGTAATAATTGTGACAAAGAATAAAAATATTAATTTTAATAGAACTGTAGTAATTATGTAAAGAAAACATAAAAGCACACAAATGTCAGTGTGATTAAGTAGCTAAAGTCAGCTGTAACATGTATTGTAGAAATTTTGTACATCTCTTGGGTCTGAATTTACCACTTCAGCAATATTTGTCTAATGTAATCCTTCACTTCAATGCCCCTTTGAATAACTATTCCAGAAAAACATTTATAGAAGTTCCTGTTAATTCCCAGGAAATACTTTTAACTGAAAAGCTCTTCTATCCAACTGGATTCCTGAACTATTTTATATAAAGACTGCTATATCCTTTTGCTCTTCATTCCTAGAATAAATAAAGAAACATTACCATGTGATTACATATATTATACATGTATATAAAAAAACTATTTATATATTCAAAATAATTTTTGGCATTTATGTACATACATGTACTTAAAACAGCTACAATATTATTCCATGCAATACAGGACTTCACGGTTAATGACCCCCATATTGAATAGGGGGCAGATTTTCCTACTGGAGGTGAAAATGGTATGAAAAATACTAAAAAACATCATTGAAACAGAACAGCCACTTGGAAACATGCATAGGTTTTCCCATATTTTCATACCATTTTCCAGAAAATCTGCCCCCTATCCAATATATATGGCATCATTAGTTAACGAAGTTCTGTATTGTTAACTTATTGTTTTGTATTATTTATTTTTTTGAGATTTTTTTAAAGACTAAAGACACTTTTAAGACAGACTATTAAATTTAAATGTTTCTTTGAAGTAATAATATGTATGGCTAAAGCCAAACTTGTCTAGACTAAGTGGCTGTAATGAGTCACAGCTATTTATTTTACAGGGGGCCAGGGGCGTAGCAACTTTTACTGCAGGCACGTTCGCCATACCAATTATTTTTTAAACACCTCATTGCCATACCAATTATTCTTATGATATGGCACAAACCCTTCTAGAAAGGACATTTTGCCGTACAAATATTAAATACTTTCCCTGCTATGCCTCTGATTAATCCTTTTTGAACTCTGTAGCGACGGCCAAGTCAGAAAATACTTAAATAGCTCCTGACACATTCAAAGGGGGTTACGCCTCTGATTATCAGAGTGAACTCCATTTCAGAGATACTTATTGCTATTATAATCATTTCCAATTATATATGTCTATGTCTACGTAGTGTACTGTACATAAATGTCATTTTTTTTTGTGGCCAGTGTGGGGGGAAAAGGACCCCCCTTTTTTCCCCAAATACATAAACAAAACAAAACCGTAATCGTATTTAAAGGATCCGGTAAGTCTTAGAAAACATTAACCGAAATGATTAAAGGAATCAAGTGCAACAGACTCAAATATAAGTGAATATATCACATGCATGTTTGCGCGGTTTCTGCAAATTGGTATCGGGTCCGTTCGCGCCCAATACACGTTCGCACCCTACACGTTCGCACCCCACACGTTCGCCCCCTAGGTCCGTTCGCACCCTACACGTTCACCCCTTTTTTTTTATTCAAAAACCTGATAAATTTTTAGATGTTTTATAGATGTATATATCAAAATATTTTTATTTTCATAAATAAAAATTCGGGAATTTTTAAATGAAATATTGTTTTAAATTGATTTGATGATTAATTATTAAATGTTAATTATGTATGATTACTGCTAATTGGTATTTATACACAGCCTAATTTGGTGTTATTGTTGAGTGTTTAAAAATCATGATTGTTGTCATGGTTGTTTTAACTTGCTTTGATGAAAATACTGCATATATTTAGCTTGGTATGAGTAAAACTTTGAAGATTTTAAGTAAAAGACACGAAAGATAATTGTTTTTAACAGCTTGGCTCATTTGATCTCATGTGTGTCAGAATCTCACTTTATTCATAAACAATGAAAAAGAAATATTTATAGCTATACACTATCCAAAACATGATTACGAATTATTCAACACATAAAAAAACACGTTGTCAGAATCTCACTATATTTAGATGAAAAAAAATATTATTTATAGCGATAGACTTACCATGCTTACCATTTATTTAACACCAAAATAACATTGTCAGATTTGCACTTTATTTACTAGAAACAATGAAAAAAAAATATTTATAACAATACACAAACCAAAACATGATTAAAAATTATTCAACACAAAAATAAAATACTGGTCGTCAGAATCTCACTTTATTTAAAAACAATGAAAAAAAAATGTTTATAGCAATACCAAAAAAACCTTGTCAGAATCTCACTTTATTAAGAAACAATGAAAAAATATATATTTATAGCAATACACTTACCAAAACTCGTTTACAAATTATTAAACACAAAACCAATAAAAATTGGGCGCGAACGTGTAGGGTGCGAACGGACTTTGGGTGCGAAAGTGAAAAGGGGGCGAATGTGCATGGGGGCGAACGTGATTGGGCGCGAACGGACCCGGATTCCTGCAAATTCAGTCAAAATCAGTTCAATGGATTCCAGGAAATGCTCACAAACGTCATCAACATTTTGGTGATATGATGCATACAAGAATAAAATATTAATAACTTAACTTACCTCAAACTTGCTGTCACTCGTCTTGCATCTATAAAGTAAATATTAATCGACCTTTGGCGTCTTTCAAATTTCCAACCTAAGTGCGGAAATGTTACAATTACTCTAAAAGAAACACGAATCCGGATACGGTCTGATATTCCGGGAAGTTCTCGTTTTTACATGTTTCGGTTCCAATTAAAATTAATGTTTACATTGTTTATAATAATGTACAGACGAGAAGCAAAATACTTTTCTTTAAATACAAAATATTTATTGGCACAAAGTCATTAATTATAACAATGAATGGTTCCATCTAAAAGTCAGTCCTGTACAGTAGTATTGCATATAATAATATTTAAACAGACATATATTTATAATGAAAAGTTTATAGGATATTTAGAAAAATGTGAGTGGAAATAATTAGACCATATTACAATAATCACATGGGATGTTTTAAATTTGAATTAGGATAAGAAAAAATTGACAGGAAAAAATATCACGGCCTTTTCACTGGTTTCAACAACCAGTGAAAAGGCTGTGATATTTTTTATTAAGCATGAAAGGACAAGTTATCACGGCCTTTTCACGGGATATTGAAATTTCACGGCCTTTTTCTAACATCAAATATTTTTCACGGCCTTTAGAAATATTTTTTTTACAAAAGTCACGGCATATCCAGAAATCAACGCCACTTTGCTTATTTGAATATTATACTAAAGAAATCGGATACGGGTCTCGGAAATTATATTAAAATGATAGGGAGTTTTGAAAAAAATGTCTGTTTTAACTTTAATTAAAGTGATAGACAGGTTGCCGGGACAGAAAATAAATATACACAACAATATACACCATTTAAACGAATCATAATGACTGTCGTTGCAAAAATCAAGGTTCCTGAGCTATTTTAAAAATCGAAGCGAGAGGCTTTTAACATTGCAGTATAAAATACAGGCTAAAATGGCTGAAACGTCAAATTTGCAAACTTCGTGTTGAAAATTGGCTAACAAGGTCATTACAAAAACAGGTTGCCGGGATGAAACTTGAAACTTGAATGTCCAAAGAATAAGCAAGTCCAAACCTTGAATGTGTAGTCGTTGAACTCTAGGTTCCCACGTCAAGTTAAAATGCCCCTATTTTAAGAAGAATAAACTCACGAAAACACGAAAAATTCACTAAATTCGCGTTCATTGTTTTGATTTTGACCGCCTGACAACTTTACGGAAATATCAGAGTGATTATAAACAAGGACTCTGTGACGGGCAACTTATAATATCCGTGTTTTAAAGATTTTAATGATATCAAGCCAGTCCAGTTCAAACTATTATCACGTGGTACAATTCTCATTTACATATTATGAATATTAATTAGCAAAAGTACTACTAATTTCTGGCTATGGGGTATTTTCACGGGGTTTTCACGGCCCTGTGATATTTCACAGACATTTCACGGCCTTTTCATGGGCTGTTGTTACAGTAGTGCGGGCCCCTCAGCCCCCCCCCCCCCCCTGGATCCACCTATGGGTATTCATATTTAATCGTTACAATGATGATGTTTTTCGTTAAATAATCAAGAATTCTCTAAATAAACTACCAAAATTTAACAAAGAGGGAACTTACTTCAAATAAGTCTAATATAAACAGAAATTACTGACATTTCCTAGATTAAGATATTTCAGTTTCACACAGGAAACTCTTTTACAAAAATTTACGACAAAAAGGGCCATTTTTTCCCTATTGTTAATTTCTTTTTTTTTAGACGGTACTGTTCCTTTGGTTTCAACTAACGGTGTTTAACTATCCCGACTCGTTCGCTGCATGTGTCCGCTTTTGTGGTGACGTTTTAGATTTCAATGAACGTAAACTTGAGGCGCTTAGGGGATGGACTCCTTTTTTCTGTATCTTATCTAACGGTGTTTAACTGTCCCGACTCGTTCGCTGCATGTGTCCGCTTTTGTGGTGACGTTTTAGATTTCAATGAACGCACGGTAAACTTGAGGCGCTTAGGGGATGGACTCCTTTTTTCTGTATCTTATCTAACGGTGTTTAACTGTCCCGACTCGTTCGCTGCATGTGTCCGCTTTTGTGGTGACGTTTTAGATTTCAATGAACGTAAACTTGAGGCGCTTAGGGGATGGACTCCTTTCTTCGGTATCTTATCTAACGGTGTTTAACTGTCCCGACTCGTTCGCTGCATGTGTCCGCCTCCGGGTGCGGGATTTTCTCGCTGTGTTGAAGACCCATTGTTGGCCTTCGGCTGTTTTCTGCTCTTTGGTCTGGTTGTTGTTTCTTTGACACATTCCCTATTTCCATTCATAATGTTATTGCTACTCTGTTATTAACACAAACGGTTCTTCATCCTGTCGATACTTAGGTTAGATTATATTTTGGCATCGCACACGGTCTTTCCAGACTGTTCTGATTATATTTTGTCTTGAACGCATAATTTTTATCAAGCCAGCGACATTTACATGGTTTATGCCCGGCGGTTCGGCGTTGACGGCATCTGCATTTAGGAAATAATAATTTTTCATTATTCATGTTATTTTACTGATAGATGTATTTTTTTTGTGTTTTGCAATTAACATTTACAGACCATATGAAGTTAAATTATTTTGACATGAAAAATTTGTTAACCTTTATGGATTGTTATGAAACTTGGACATGCAGAAACTATGCATATATAGCAGGTACACCAGGCCGCCTACAGCACTAGAAAATAGACTTTGTAAATTTTGTTCCTTAAATAGTGTTGAATCTGAAAAACATTTTCTTTTAAATTGCTCCTTATATGATGACATTAGGTTTGAATTGTTCTTCGAATGTTCACAATATATTGACAATTTCTCAATGTTAAATGATGATGTTAAGCTTGTTGAAATAATGAAATGTTCCGATATTCAAAAATGTCTAAGCAAATGTTTACACAAGAGTTTTATGAGACGAAAATTATTTTCTTAATTATTACTTATAACACACTATTAGTAAGAGGCTATTTTATGATTTTAAAGTCACTGTGATTAATTTTAGGATAATATTAAATATGCAAATTGTTTATATATGTTAAAATATATATTTTTTTTATTCTTTTTTATTTATTTTTAAACTTTTTAAACAACATTCATTTCAGATAATTATTTTTTTTCTGCTCAAAATGTATATGCTTTTAAATGCATAAAAAATGTTTAAACTTTTTTTGATGATAATTTTATGAATTTAACTGTGAAACTATATTGATATGTACATAGCATGTGTTAAGTGTCTCATAAGCCAAATTTATGACTGGGTATTGATTGTTTTGTTGAATACTGTGATATGTAAATATTTGTCAATCAATATGTGACACTATAATAAAATAAATATTTATTATTATAATCTTCAATATCAAGAAATGGCATATGAAGAAAGAAAGTTTGATTAACAAAAAAAAAAATCTGTGTATTTTACTGATAATTGGACTTACTTTTTACAATATAATTAATATTTTCCATTGACATTACTCATCAGCAATCGCAGGCGAAACACAGGGTTTAGCGGCACCCTTTACGCGTTTGTTTATTAGTTGTTATTGGATTTGAAATAATTTTCAGTAACTGCGAAGTCTTTTTCTCTTCAGTGTTTTTGTTAGTTGTTTTTGTGCTTTGTATCGATCTGTTGAGTCAAGCCCCTTCCAACTAATTTAATATAGTTTGTTCTTATTTTTTGCTGTTACATCGCTGTCCCATATTATGGGAGGGTTGGGCGCCCGTAAACATGTTTAGCCCCAACTCATTTTGTATGTGTTTGTCCCAAATACGGAGCCTGCAATTCAGTGGTTGTCGTTTGTTGCTGTACATTTTATTTGTTTTTGAATGCGTTTGTTGATGTGTGCACAAACTATAGGCTGTTGGTTTTCTCGTTCGACTTGTTTTACATTTTGTCATGTCGGGGCATTACGGTTTCTGCTATGTGGTACGGATTTTGCTTGTTGTTGAAGGCCGTACAGTGAATTGTAGTTGCTAGCATCTACGTCAATTTTGTTTCTGGTGGATAGTTGTCTCATATCGGGAATCATACCACATTTCCATATTATATCTTGTAGATGTCTTGATTTATTTACAACAAACCGGACTGATACCCTTGCTTGGTTCTCTCAGATTAAAAGACAAATGATTCTTTAGATTAGATTCTAATAATGTTTGATCATATTCATAACCGGCTTTTTGTTATGTTAGATCATGTATTAAAAATATAATTAGTTTTTATCATCCTTATATTCTTTTATTTCCTTTCTCTCGTTTCTCCCTTCCCTTTTCTCTAGTTTTTTCACCCCTGTTAAGCCTTCATTCTATATTCTTCCCGTGGCGATGAGACTACTTTTTTCAGATATGTGTTATAGTAGTCTGAGACTCTCTGAAAGGGGGTGGGGGATTTCAAGACGTAAACTAAAAGTCTTGTTAAAAAAGTTTTTCAGTTTGAAACTCATGACGTCAGAAAATCAGATAAAAAAAAACATTCAGCAGGGAAATTTCGTGACTTATACACATCGTCAACAGCTAACATCTACGTTGGCAATTGTTTTTTGGTCTCCATAATTGTCTATTGGCCATCATACCGCATCTTCTTATTTTATATCATGTATTTGGATCAAACGGAAATAAATATTTCAGCCTGGAAAATTCCCTCAGTTCTTAATTGTTAAGGTCAATTAAGTTTCTGGCAGAGACATATATCTCTGTTTCTGGTGAGTAAAATTGATATGGCTACTTAATTGTGAAACAAACTATTGTTTATCTTGTGTAAGTGAATTAATAACTAAATCTAATTAAAATAAGATAGTGAGTTAGCTGGTGTGTAATTGTTCATCCTTTGATCATGTTGGTCAGTCGAAAAAATGTTGGTAACACTATTTTGGCATTCAAGTATTATTAACTAAAAGAAAGTAACACAGATAAAGGAAGAGAAAAATGGACCCAAATCCGTCATTGGTTTCATTTAGAAGATTTATTCAATGTCCGGTTTGAAAGCGCCAATTACAATTTCTCACTGATTGTTGTTGAATCTAGAGCACTTTTTCATATTTACTATTTAGAATGGCAGAATCGCCACAATGGAAAAAACCTTCAGATATAATGAAAAATATAAGAAAGAAGAAAAGAATTTCCTTGCAAAGAGTTCCATCAAATGATTCATTTTCGAGTCCAGTGTTTGGGGACATGACAAACACGTCTTCCCAACCAAAAAGACGTAACCCCTTTTCAAAAGACACATCAGATGATACACAACCATCCTCTAAACGACCAAGGAAGTCTGTCGATGATGACCAACAGAATGATTCAGTTGATCAGATTTCTTTCTTTAAAATGTTTAATGAATCGGTATGAAACGTTCTTTTACTGTTCAAGGATTTTTATATACACCAATCTCAAGTTGTTATGAATGAGTTATCCAGGTTGAAACACAGTCAATCGGTGTTAATGAAATCTTTGAACAGTCAGCTCTTACTGTGATGTAACATGATGTAATATCTTAAGCAAATTTGTAGGAATTTGAAAGTCGTCTAGATATCATTTGTCATTTGAGGAATTCTTAGTCAAATTGGCACCTTGTTAAATCGGCATCTGGTCAAATCGGCACCTAGTCAAATTGGCACCTGGTTAAATCAGCACCCGATGTAGTCATTTCAGCACCCATGTTTTGAATATATATTTTTTTTTAGTATTTTAAGCAAAAAGATTAAACTAAAGAAGGGGTTGTCCAGATATATTGACTTATTAACATTTATTGGGGGCTTCTGTACAAATGTATGTATTTTTTTTCATTCAACTTTATGTGTATTTAAGGTATTAAATATTTGTTATGCATGTTTTAACCAGTTGAGCATTTTGCATGATTGTTAGTTTAATGCTGTTTAAACTTTCCTAAAATACCACCTTACACATGTAATTGCTGATTATTGTGCATGCGAGTTTGATTAGTGATAGTTTCCCTTTTATTGGTTCTAATTTTCTCATGATTAAACAACAGCTTTGATAATGGCTTCATTGATTTTTATTTAAGTTTTTGAAGAAAAAAAACATCCATAATTACCTGTATAGAGTTAAATCAACAAACATGTTAATTATTTAATTGATAAAAGTTATTAATTAATTAATTGAAAAGAAAACTAATCAAACCATCAGTCATAGAATGTTGAGAAAACTTCAATAAAATTAACTTATGTATTCTAACTGCTTGATGATTTTTAATGATGTAACGAATGATAAAATCCAACCCCAAAATTTTTAAAAATAATTAAAAATAGAAAGATCATTTCATAAGTGTTTCTCATTTCTCGTTTTTATATAGAAAAAACCAGTGGTTTTCCCGTTTGAATGGTTTTACACTAGTAATTTTTGGGGCTCGGTGTGAGCCAAGGCTCTGTGTTGAAGACCGTACTTTGACCTATAATGGTTTACTTTTATAAATTTTGACTTGGATGGAGAGTTGTCTCATTGGCACTCATACCACATCATCTTATATCCATTTACAGTGGTGGATCCACTAATTTTCATAAGTGGGGGCCCACTGACTGCCAAAGAGGGGGGCCGCTCCAGTCATGCTTCAGTGATACCCTATATAATCAACCAAATTTTTCCCACAGAAGGGCCCCCCCCCCCCCCCCCCCCCTCTAAATCCGCCTCTGATTGATACATTTTTAGAACTATATATATATTATATATCAAATATTATTGGATGCCGAATTGACTTTAAATGGGTGCGGATTTGACTTGTACCCACATTTGACGGTACTACAATTTCCCGAGAACTTCCAGAAACTCAATAGACATATTTACACTTGTATGCAAATTTGTCCGCCATTACTTAAAATCCTGTAAAATTTGACATCACCATTTAAAAAATTTGACATCATAATTATAAAGTGATTTTTGCTTGACGTCAGAAGGTTATTCGGAGACAGATCTAAGGTCATTCAAAGACCAGATTCAGCTAAATACCAAAAGTGTTAATTCATTTATATGAACCTGAGAACCGATATATATTCAGGCCATAATCTTGCTGGCGAAATGACCATTTAAGTCACCAAAGAATTTTGAAAATTGCTAAAACTCCCCGGCCGACTGACTTTATAGCAAAGTCAAATAGCTAACAAAATCGGTATAAGGGAGACAACTTGTTATTTACAAGTCGCACAGGTAAACAAAAATGGCGACTGACAAGGAAAATCGAAATTTTTGAAACGACAAAGGACTAATACTGTCGACGATTAAAAGAAATAAATACAACAGCGACTTAGAACATCCTCGAATTTAACATTCAAAACTATTAAAACAGGAAACTTAGCGTCTGTTCGTGTTATCATTTTACGATGATTTTCATTTGAGGATGTTGCGTAATGACTCAGCTGATTTGTTCTATTTTTATTTATTACGAGTCGATCAGTTGTACTGTTCGGTAGGTTAAGGATATGAATTTAATGGGTGATTTTTTTATATTCATTGAATAAAAATTGAAATATAAAAGGAGAAAGACAGCTGATGGATAATGTGATTGCAAACTTGCCAGCTTGTGAGTGGTGGGTTTTTCACAACCAATTTGTTAATAAGGGAGATATCTTTTATAAAAAAAATGATAAAAATTAGCTCTTTATTGGTTAATTAATATGCGATTGACAGATATCTTCATTTCTAGGCTTACAATCTTTAAAGAGAATCTGAATTTACAACTGACATGATGTCCTGGACAAATGCTGGATATTCAATAAATAATGATTTACAAACTTGTGACAAGTGGTGATATATATTAAATTGCACAGTCATTTAAAAGTCATCAGATAAACTGCAATCCATATTTTTCTGGATTTATAAAAATAAATTGAGGCAGATGCACATGAGATTAATGCATGAATCAGTATGATAATATCACTAGGCAAGCAACAAATTTTATTTAAACTGAAATTCAAATTGACAGTACAAATGGAATGACTGATAAATAAATAACTATATTGTCCAAATTTTTTTATTTAGAATTTATACATTTTGTACAAATCATATAAAAACACTGCAAGTAAATTTTTTTTTGCATATATAAACCAATTTCCTTAGAGATTAACAGGAAAACGGTAATGGAATTTAATGGAATTTCACTTCTCCCTACTCTATCATGGAAGGAGATGTCAATGTGTAAAGCTACATTGAAATTGTAATATGTTTTGTGGGTATGAGTTTATATCTGGCTATTGAGAGATATATTTTGATGGAGATTCTTCTTGAATAATGATGCTAAAAAAAAACAATCAGAATTTATGTTTATTGCTATTATCATAAATTTGTCCGTGTGATAATTTTTCAACACAAGCTACTAGAAAGCGACTAAAATGACTTTTCTCAGTCCAGTAGAATAGCATGCGATGAAGTCATAAGCTAACATCAGTGATTTTGCTTTAGAAAATAGTCAAAAAATAATTTTATCTGTAGACTTTCAAACTTGAGGAGGATTTTGCCACATCTTTAACGATCTTATCCCAGGGAAATCACCCTGTGATGAGATTGAAACCTATAATTTCACCCTTGTATTTTAAAACCATTGATAATTTATAAACATAGTACATGTAGTATATGTTAATGAACAAATATCATTTTATTTCTAGGATAATACAAGCACATTGTCAGCAGAGAAAAGTATTGAAATAGAGAAGACACCAACTCCTGTTTTTCTACGAGATGAAGAGGACAGTCAGTCTCAATTTGCTTTCATTGAAAAGATTTTCAGTGCAAACAAAAAAAAGGTGCTTATTACAGTATAACTGATAGCAGGAATAAGTAATTTCTTTCTTGCAGGGTTGACCTCATTTTCATGGTTCATTAGTCAATGTTAATTTTTTATGTTTAAATCTGATTCTCAGATACTATAAGCAAATAGATTTACTATATTTGGTGTATGCAATGATTATAGGGCGTATCTGTCTGACAGGGTTCATCTGACTTTGACATCATTTACATAGACCATTGATAATGTTAATTTTATGTAATACTTGTTTCTATAACATTTTCTTTAGATTTTCCATATAAATTCAATCATGATCAGTAAAAAAAGGTGAGACATATCAGTGTGTGCACTATTGTTGAGTCAATTAAAAGAAATTATTCTAAAAGTATCAGATATGGAGAAAACCTAAAAAAGTTAAAAAGTTAATAAACTAAACAGTCAAAGGCATATTTCTTTCAACATGTTCAAAAGAAATCTCCGTTGAACTGTGCATCGGCATTGTCATATATAGAATTGTACTTCTTTTAAATGTTTTCTGTAACATGTTATGTAAGTTGATGTAAAAACACTTATTGACCATCAGATTGGTATACAAATGTACACTAAGATTGATTTTAACCTGAAGTTGGTTATCGTTCAGTGGTTGTTGTTTGTTGATGTGGTTCATAAGTGTTTCTCGTTTCTCGTTTTTTATATAGATTAGACCGTTGGTTTTCGTGTTTGAATGGTTTTACACAAGTTATTTTTTGGGGCCCTTTATAGCTTGCTGTTCAGTGTGAGCCAAGGCTCCGTGTTGAAGGCCGTACTTTGACCTATAATGGTTTACTTTTACAAATTGTGACTTGGATGGAGAGTGGTTTCATTTGCACTCATACCACATCTTATATCTATATATATATATTTAGAGTCCAGAAGGGTCACCCAAGCTGTGCAGTATAACAAACATATAAATATATGTACTAACTTGATTATTTAATACACTTTTTTAAGTATGCAATTACAAAAAAATATTTCAGAGAAATTCATCAGCATTCACTGAAAATTCACCACCATGAGTAATTTTTATTTGAATCACCTTTTGTACTGAAGAATTCAAGAATCACTACAAGTCTTTATCAAATCAAATGTGTCTTTTTCATATAAGCAACCTGTACCTGTCAGTAAGATAGAAGTAAAGAAAGAAGAACCAGTCTGTACATCAACTTTTCCAGTAGACTGGAGTTTAAAGGTCAAAATGAGAGTGGTGTCATCAACCCCACTGACCTGGTGTACACAGCTGAAGACAATGGAGGAGTCAGTTGGTGTAACACAGTTTACAACTGGACAAAAACAGGTAAATGGGATCTTTTCCCATTACTCTTTATCTACCACTGATGGATATATGGGCAATAATTTGGTATTGGGACCGCTTCAGATAACGATAGAAAAGTGATAAAATATTGTATTTTGTTGAGAGAAGTTGTTGGTCCACCATCAAATGCTATTATTTCTATTAAAATATAGGTGCTTTCTAATCTCCCCTAGAGAGAACTTGAAATAAACATATATTTAAGATTATTCGGCCACTTTTGTATGTCGTTTCTTAGCGTTATTTTCGCATCCAAAGTGCGTAACGCTGCCCGATTTAAAGATAATCATCGCCTGCAAAATCGTAACTTTTGCTTTCAAAAAATAAAGAACATCGATCAAAAAGAATAGTCAGAAGAAATTGCAGAGAACTATAACTGTTTTTGTAGCAGGTGTAAGAAAAGTAGCGTTACTTTGGTTTCCGATTTCGTAACGCAAATTTTAGATGGTGTAGTCTGCTTTATTGTAAATGAATTCTTCATAACAATATGCAAATATGAACTCTCGCGAGATGTTCAAACAGGTAAATCAGTGATTATTTACATTCTAGTTTTGTTCTTCGCAATAATTAAGTTAGAAAATGACTTTATCGTTATGCGTTACATTTCACACGAAAAAGAAGTCCAGTTATTTACTTTTTATTTATTAAAATTGTTTTTGTCGTTCAGTCCAAATCATTTCCGGTCATACGTGAAACATGTGGCGAACATGTGATTAAGCGCTTACGGCCGGGTATATGAAATATTAGGTCTAAACATCGTTTTTGTTTCCAACAGGATAGTAGCAAGCACATTCTGTAGACTGTTTTCATATTGTTTAAAAAGGAAAATACAATTTTCAAAGAGATCGCGACGGGGGTCTATCATTTTTCCTACATGCATAACGTTACATACTATCTGAGTGAAAATAAATGCCCTATTATTTGGCAAAATCGATTTCTTATTCGAGGGACGTTACAACACACTTTGTTTCCGGATAACGATGAAAAGATTCCTAAGAGAATTCATTCAACATTACGTCTCATATTATTCTGCCGATGCTCGTTGAATTGATTTTGCTTTAGCAGTAAATTGTACTTGATATTTTAGGTAAATGAAGATAATTTAAAAAAAAATACAAGTTGATATACCGTTACACTTGGAATGTATAGAATTTGTATCTTTGTCACAATTTATTTTTTTTTAATTTTAATAATATTCAGCAAACACTTTTCAAAAATGTAATAATATTGTCAAAGGAGAAGTAAACTTTTACCATGCATGACTTAAAAGGATGTACTTTACCGATTTTAGCCCACTGAAGAAGGTTAACATGTGGAAACCATGTAGATGGTGTACAGGTCACAAATATCACATGATGCCTACTATAAGATTTTAGTTCCAAGTTAAAAGTTTTTTACTTTACTGGATTAATAGGAATTTGACATTGGAATTAATTGTATAAAACTGGAATTTCAAAACCAATTATTACATTTTTTGGCTAAAACATCAAGATACAACGATTATGGTATCCTGTATCAATTAAGAAAATGTGGAAATTTCTGAATAAATTGCACTATTTTTTTTCAAAACAAACACATTTTTAGGAGTTTTATAGTAATACTATTACATTTAAGACAGATTTTAACCAGAGATGCAAATCTAAATGCATAAGTATGCCAGTAGTAAATCAATACAAGGAAACCGCCAATGTTGTATCCAGTTCATTTGTATGTGTCACAATTTCATAGCTTTTCAAAAGTGTTATTTCCCTTCAGGTAAGTAGTGACGGTTCACTGCCTGCATGGGCAATATATCAAAACAGTTTTCTTTCAACTTAAAAGTAACATTTTGCTTTGAAAATATGTTCACCTATATCAAATTTGACATGACAAAACATTGCATGAAATAACATGTCACTTTAATGTTGACATATAAAATAAGCTTTTTACAGTTGCCCTTGCTGAAAGGAACTAGGGTTCTGTTTAATCTAAGGACTTGTGACTTTGAAGATCGGTCATAATTTGTATTGAATGATAAGAAGTTACAATCAAACTTGTGACCTTTAGAGAAACGAGCCCAATAACAACTTACCAGAATTTTTTTTAATCAGATTTATATATTTGTGGTCACAAATTTTGGAAAGAAATTGAGTGAAATAAACCGGGCTATTCTTTTTGGTATATCAGGTTTTTGGTTATATTTCTGTAATCCATGGTACTTAATTGTAATTTTCCAGCAGTTGTAATGAATGGGTGTGAACAATTATAGGATTTCATTGAATTTCTATACACCCGCAAAATAATGTTTTGTTTATGAAATCTTGTCTATATAAAAAAGAAGATGTGGTATGATTGCCAATTAGACAACTCTCCACAAGAGACCAAATGACACAGCAATTTACAGCTGAGCTATAGGTCACCGTACGGCTTTCAACAATGAGTAAAGCCCATACCACATAGTCAGCTATAAAAGGTCCTGAAATCACAAATGTAAAACAATTCAAACTTTTATTGGATATAAGAAGATGTGGTATGAGTGCCAATGAGACAACTCTCCATCCAAGTCAAAATTTATTAAAGTAAACCAATATAGGTCAAAGTACAGTCTTCAATGCGGAGCCTTGGCTCACACTGAACAGCAAGCTATAAAGGGCCCCAAAAATTACTAGTATTAAACCATTCAAACGGGAAAACCAACAGTCTAATCTATATAAAAACATGCAATTTTACAAAAAGCAAGGGACAGGGTGGACGTTACAAGATACTACTTATACTGTGGATAAAATGGACATCAAAATCATTAAGGATGGCATATTTTGGTATTAATATTGATTCAATCATAGGGTCTTTGCATCGGAAATAAACACATTTATTCTAAAACCAGTTGTTGGCATGATACAGGTTATGTTCTTCTCATATATTTTATGATGGTATGATACTAAACCCCTAATGGGAGGGATTGTACTTGATTTTCATATGATGAAGACCTAATCTTTCAATCAGTTTAATTGAGGTTTGGAGCTGGCATGTCAGTAACTGCTAGTAGTCCTTTGTTCATTTATGTATCATTGTCATTTTGCTTAGTTTCTTTTGTTACCTATTCTGACATCGGACTTGGACTTCTTTTAAACTGAGTTTTGCTGTGCGTATTGCTATGTGTTTCTTTTTTCTACATTGACTTGAGGTATAGGGGGAGGGTTGAGATCTCACAAAACATGTTTAACCCTGCTGCATTTTTGCGCCTGTCCCAAGTCAGGAGCCTCTGGCTTTTGTTAGTCTTGTATGTTTTTTAATTTTAGTTCATTTATATGTTTTGGAGTTTAGTGTGACATCCATTTTCACTGAACTAGCACACAATTTTATTTAGGGGCCAGCTGAGGACCACCTCCGGGTAAGGGATTTTCTCGCTGCATTGAAGACGCATTGGTGGACTTCGGCTGTTGTCTGCTCTTTGGTCGTGTTGTTGTCTCTTTGACATATTCCCCATTTCCATTCTCAATTTTCTTTTTATCACTAACATATTGGATGTTCCAAACATTAATATGTTTGTTGGATCACGCTTTTTGTTTTGTGTTCAATAAAGTTTAGAAATTTAAAATGTCCTGCATCTTTCCAATTGAATCAAAAGTGAGAGCTGAGAAAGTGCCTCCCAACACCCCCATACATTCAGTTCTGGAACAGCCCTTTATAGAAAAGTACATTATATAAGATAAGTAGCACTAGCTAGATCTCCCATTTTATATGTAGTGCTTGAATTTTCTGGTTAGTGACGCATAAGCACAAAGTGTAAACCATGCAATTGTGTTACAGAGCTAGCTAGCACACTGCATTGGGTTTCTAAGGGTTAATAGGCACATGTGCTACATATAAAAGTGTATAAGAATTATAACAAAAAGCAAGAGAAAATACATTGGTAGTCAAAATCAGTTGGCGCCCAAAAAATAATTTATATTAGTGACACCCTTGTTTCTATATTCAAAAACAGTCCTAAATTTAAAAACCAAAGTTATAAGTAACATTATCAAGAAAAAGTTTACTGTTCAGATTATTTAAAGCTGATTTTCCAATAAAATAAAACTAAATAAAAATGCTTTCGGTTTCTTATGGTTTCCTGTCGCATTTAAAAAAATCCTGAATTTAACATTGAAAATAGATTTTAAATATTAACATGAAGCAAGTAACACTAGTAATTGTGTTCATTTATGTCTTTTGAAATAAATTGTGCAAAATAAAAAAATAAAGTTTTGTTTCCTGTTTGGTTTCCTGTCACGAAAACGGTGAATCACAATGGATTAATTTTTGCTCGAAAAACCCACTTGTTCCATTAAAACTATTCTCACACCAACACAACCCACAGAATAAAAGTTAAAGTTTTAGAACTTAAAAAAAAAGATACAAAAAGAAACCAAAGGCTGAATACCAAATTATTGCCCATATACATGGTTTCTATCATCGTTCTGTTCCAAATGACTGATAAATCCGCTTTGTGATGAAATGTGTGTATTCACATTGACTGATATTCTTGCTGTAAGCAAACACATGCACACACCTGTAAAATATACCACTGTTAAAATTCTATAGAATTCACAAACTGTTGGGGAATCCGGAAATGAACCAATTAAATTTGGTTTTACAAATGAATAATCTTTCAACAGTCAGGGATATAACTCTATAGGGTTATTACAGGAAATAACTTGCATGTGTTATTACAGATATTTTTATGAGTTGTCTACTCTTTAAACCTAAAATTTTCTAAATCTGTAATAACATATGTTTGTTATTTGTAAAATAAATGATCAACATTTTAATTTCTAGTGGGCTCTAGGGAACTGTGGAAACTTTGCGCAGAAACTAAATGCATAGCCTTGATAACTAATTTTTGAATTAAATTAATACACTTATCATTAACCATGGTAAATCAATGAGACAAGACTTTTAAGTGATTAACTTAGTTGTAATAACAAGGCTTAGTTATTAAAGGCATGTAACTTATTATATGAGACACTTGGGAATTACTGGGAAACTTGCGCAGAACCTCATTACATGCTCTGGTCATTATTTCTTACAATGAATTAAAATAAATTGTAATTAAGCATGATGTATGTCTGAGCAAATGCTTTGGAGTGATATAGAGAAGCTGTAATAACACCCTTTAGTTATTACAGGCCAATTTTTTCTGTAATAACATAGGTGTACTATGCATGATTGTCAAAATATGAACTGTTATATCTTTCTATAGTTAAGTATACATAAAGACAATAGTAATATCAATAGAACCTGTATACATTTTAACAAAACTAATGATGTATATTGTCCCTTTGAAACATGTAACATACATATGTTATCACAGGTCTTTGATTTTTTAGTCCACAATAACAAACATATGTTATTTTTCTCTAATAACCCTATAGAGTTATATCCTTGACTGTTCAACTCATATTAAAAGGTATGTGTTTACATTAAATTATGATCAATATTACACACATTGGGAATGTGTTTGAAAGAATGACTGATGTTTGGGCTTCATTTTTTTAATCGGACAGCGAAAGTTAAGGATTTACACAATCTGAAATTGACGAAAGTGAAGTTTGAAGTATGGGAATTGATAAAAGTTTGTCGTATCTGAATTGCGAGTCTTTGGAGGATGAAGAAGCCAAACATGGACAAATAATTTGAAAACTTTCCACGTCTGTTTAGGTCATCTTTAAAAAGAAAAGAAACAAATTGATTTTGTATTTGTTTTATTTTTAAATTCTATACAATAATTACCATGATTACTGATTAATTGAACATTTAATTAGAGCACTCATAACACAGCTGTAAATATTCTCTCACTGCAATTTGTCTCTGGTAGTTAACTTGCAAAGCATCTGCAGTAGCTATCTAATCAGCAGTGTGCAGCAGTGAATTGTAAAGGTGCCTCTGGTATATAAGAAGTTAATGCATAAAATACATGTGAATCAATCATAATTCAGACATTCATAGAAAAACCAAGCATATTCATGTATTTTCTGAAAGCAAAATAAGAATTGAGGTCAGGTTATCACTTCAAACCCCACATCTTTGAAGTTCTCCTCCTTCTTCTTTTGGCAATTTCTTTAAATTGATTTCAATTATCAATAAAACTTTAATAATACAAAAGTAAATTGCCATATGCGGTTGTGCTGGAATGATGACATCTTGTAAATGGGAAATGATTGAATGCATGGATTTATTTAAACTACATGTAGGATATGATGTTGACATTTTAAGTGGAGGTCATGCTATAATGGCTATTACTTCTGAAGGAATGTCTTTGCATTTCATATTTACCAATATGAAGATTTAAAAAATTCTCTCTTTTGTGATTTTTAAGGGGAGATAATTTAATTTATGGACGTACATGAAGAAAAAGCAAATTTGAATAAAAAAAAAATTTTTGAAAGACAGACAACACCATAGCAAAATAAAAAAACCCAAACAGACTAGCAAATGAACTCATCATAAATACAGGGCTTAAAATTTTGTAACCGAGACACACAATTCATCTACAACTTTAAGACTCGTCAGTGATGCTCGAATAAAAAAAGTTAAAACACAAAATATAAGTGCACAGAACACTACACAGAAATAGATTCAGTAATATGAACCCTGCCACCAGGGACAGTCTATACTAATGGGACTGGTCACTATTGATTTTATTAAATAACTGAGCCTCCCGTGTAAAGCTAAACTATTTACTAAGTTTCATGTCTCTGATATATGAAGCTGGTAGTTATTTGCATATTTCTAAGTACATAGTCATTTAATAATTTCTTTTTAAATCATACAAATCTGATTAATAACCATTTACCATGACAAAAATATAAGATTTTAAAAGAATGTTAAATTATTAAACTGAGACATCTCGTTTTAAAGAACACTCCAGTCATGCAAAAGGGGGTACATATTTAACAAGAGGGTGGCCACACGAAATTAACTATAAACAAAATACCTCAAAGTTCAAAGGTCTACATTTTAAAAACTATCCGAGAAATCTTTTCAAAAACAGCATTTTGCAACGATCAAATGCATAAAATTTCATAAAAATGTTACTTCATAAAACTTGAACATATAGATATGAAGAACACTGCGTAAATGTGAGATGATTTGCTATAAGTCACGTGATATCAGTGACGACACAGTTCTGTCTGCACATTTGTATAGACATTGTTATTAGTGACCAGTCCCGTTGGTATAGACTGTCCCTGCTGCCACACATGACACAACATAGGTTATTAACTTAGATTTTGTTTGATTTTTATTTTTGATGTTGTAACTTGTACTACTTTGATTAGACTGACATGACATATGCATGTAATTTCAGAATAATCATAAACATGATGAAGCACCAACATGATCAATTCAGATTTATATTTTGTTTGTTTTGTGTCATACTGTGGATCATTTATTTTCATGGGTACCAATTTTTTGCGGATATTTGATTTCATGGTTTTGCCAATGTCTGCATACTACAAGCCTGAAGGAAAGTTGTTCTTCGTTCAACATTTAAACAAAATCCATGAAAATAGGTATCCCAAGAATGATAATGAATCCACAGTACTTATTTATTTTGATATTTCAGGTTACTGGCAATGACAAGTCAGAGTTCCAGAGCTGCTGTCTTTACTGGATTTATCCAAACTTTCCATGGATGAAAATGTTCCCAAGAATAGTGCCAGACAATAATATCAAGTAAATACAATCAGAAAGATAAAGTTATCATATATATTTACCAGTAAAAAAAAAAATGCAATGAAAAAAAAAAAAAAACACAAGCAACAATCCAGAATTTGTTTCTGGTTTGAGAAAGTATACAGTGAATATATTTTGACACATTATTAAAAATATTGTCTTTTTAAAAATTTAAAATGTGTTCTGGAAAATAATATCCCAAATAACAAGCTTTATAATTGGGGCCTTGGTGGCAGAGCTACTTAGTAGTTTATCACTGTATTACAAGCCAATGAATACTGAGGTTGTGAGTTCAAAACCCTGCATGTGGTAGGTGCCTACAACTCCAATTTTAATTAATTATGAATTTCAGTTTTCCTCCTAAAGATTGTTTTTCTCTCCCAGCAATCTGGCATTTTATAGCTAATACTGCTGAAAGTAGCATTAAACACTAACATTAAATTTATATTTGAAGTAATAATACACTGCGATCTGCATGCACAGCCGAGGTGGAAGGTGTCATTTTCACTTGCTATCCACTCACAGAAACACTCAAATAAAATGTCAAAATTTTGTAAAAAATATCGAATGAAAAATCTAATTCATTTTCAAAGGTATATGTGAAAAATGTGCAAATTCTAATACATTGTATTACAAAATGAAATGACATGACAGATCTGTTCAAAGATGGGGATAAGGAATACTATAGTTTTGTAAACTTCAATGACAACTTACACCTTGAACAACAGTCCATTTGTCTTTACTTTAATCAGATATTAAATGTGTTTATAGGGATGTAATTGTGCATTGTTATACTTAGATGTATAAGAATTGTACATTTAAAGCATTCAAGACTTCATGTCACACCTTTGATCAATGCAGGTTATTATTAGACCACTTTTATAAGCACCAGTACTGAGTTGCAACGGGTAGCAGACTGAATACATGAAATTGCAATATAGAAAATTCATACATTATGAAGTTATGTTTGTGAAGGGATGATGCCCAGGATTTTCGTAAAAGTCTGGTGATGCATGTTAGTAACTTGAACAGTCTTTAATTTTTATTTTTAGAAGGTCATCAATAGATTTGTTACAAGATGATGTTCAGAAATCACTTCAGAATGAATGGTAGGTGTATTTAAAATTCATATTGTATCTGTATTTGAAAGCCATTAAATATAAATACAGACAAAACATCCAAATAATTATATCCAAGAGAAATTTCCTTTTGTTCACCAGATGTTTTTTTCTCATATATATATAAACGTTGACAATTGTGTTAATACATATTGTAATGTATATTGTGAATTCATTTTACGATATTTTCATGACTTCACAAATATGATGTGTCACTTTGTTATAATTTGTTTCCATCCATTTAACTAGTAAGAAAGTATGTTTATGATATAATCAAGCCAAAATTTTGTTAATACCTTCATGACCTTACAAGAAATTTTGAGGTTATTTAAACTTAGAAGTAATACGTATTTCCTATTTATTAATATGTATTTGCCCCTGCTGCTAACTATAGACATTTTCCAATTTATTTGTACGCACCTGCTGCTAACTATAGACAAAGGGGGCACTAAGGTTTACCCTTGTCCGTCTGTTGTTTGTATGTCAAAGTATTAATATCAGTTCTATAACTTTAAAATGCCTCAACTAAATGTTATGAAACTTAAACACAATGCTTATTACCTCCAACAAAACACAGATCAAGTTCAAATTTGTGTTGCACCACTTTCACAGCTCGCGAGTTACATCCCTTTATAAATGGATAATTAATAAATTTCCTTTTCTGAACCCTAAATTTAGTTTGCCTCAACAAAATGTTTTCAAACTTATATTAGCACCAAACACAGATCAACTTTGACTTTTAGTGGTGTAACTTTAATTATTCTCGAGTTAAATCCCTTTATAATTGGAAAAATTGTTAAATTTCCTGTATATTTACAAGTGTTTTTTCACATGGAATCATGGAACTTGTAAAAATCAATCATATGACTTTTCTACTAAGGCCATAAAAAAGAATATGTTTGTTTGCCCTAACCCTACCTACCCAGAAAATAGCTGCCTACTCAAAATCTTTTATTGATCTGATGTGAAAAAGTTTTTTTTAAATCAGATAGGCATGCCTATTATTGTGTCATAGATCAAATTTATTCGTTCAGTGTATGTTCACTTGTTTTTGTTAATATGTCTTTTGATTGAGTTAAGCCATTTCAATTGATATTTTATAGTGTGTCTTTCTATGTTGTGATGTTACACTATTGTTTCAGGTAGAGTGAAGGTTGGCGCCTATTAAAACGTTTAAACCCGCTGCATTTGTTTGCACCTGTCCTAAGTCAGGAACCTGTTGTTCAGTGGTTGTCATTTGTTGATGTGGTTCATAAGTGTTTATCGTTTCTCGTCTTTGATATAGATTAGACCGTTGGTTTTCCTGTTTGAATGGTTTTACACTAGTCATTTTTGGGGCCCTTTATAGCTTGTGGTTCGTTGTGAGCCAAGGCTCTGTGTTGAAGGCCGTACTTTGATCTATAATGGTTTACTTTTACAAATTGTGACTTGGATGGAGAGTTGTCTCGTTGGCACTCATACCACATCTTCTTACATCAATGAAAACTAAATAACATCTGACACTTCAATTTCTCTTTGCCGAAAAAAGAAGAAAATGCCTACCTACCTACCTACCTACCTACCTTCCTACCTACCCACTGTCTCGACCTTTGGGTAGGGTTTGGGCAAACCAAAATATTTTTAAGTGTGGCCAATACAATATTGGTTTATCAAGAAAGGAATGAGAGATTAAAGTGTTTCAAATGAAAGAAATGTGCTGTTTATGAATTATTGCTACATGAAATGTACTCTATTTACATCAAGATGTAAAGAGTAAATCAGTAGGTTGAGTATTTTAAGAGCTTGCTTCAATAACTGTGAGTGTTCATGATAACATCTATACTATTAAACGAGAAGACCTCATTTTGTGTGTCGCTTCTCTTCCTCCACAATAAATTTATCATCATGCCTCTGTGTCCTATAGGTACCATGCATAGTCGCATTTGTCATACATTCTTATGATTATTCAGTTTGGGTTATTTAGGGAGAAAAACAAAAAAATAAAGGCGTCGGGATATTGTTTCCGTAATCAGACCGACTTTTAAGTCATACAAGACTTCCGGTTTTAAACTTACACATAATTTTCAAAAGAACTGGGGGACAGGACAATTACTTTCGCGTTTATCTACATGTATACTATGATTTTACTACTATAATATATAAAGTCTCTCTATATAATATAGCAGTGAACGCCGTGGAGAAGAAACTTGGAACTTACACATAATTTTCAAAAGTACTCGGGGACAGGACAATTACTTTCGCGTTTATCTGCATGTATACTACGATTTTACTACTATAATATATAAAGTCTCTCTTTATATAAATATAGCAGTGATCGCTGTGGAGAAGAAACTTGGAATTGATAGGTAATAGCAAATACACTTTATTTATAATATACATATGTTCATAGTATACAGAAACGCGAACTGAATAATGGAATTTAACAGGAAAAAAAAACGGACATTGGAAAAAAGGGAGAGGGCTTAAAAAAATTGTCCTGTGTCCAAGTACCTATGACTTTTGATACCTTTTCTGCAATTCTCCAGACATAAAATATTTTCCAAAAATTCATCCTACAACAGTTTACATACTTTCAACTAAGCTTTAAATCCCTGCGATTTCGCGGGTGTGTTCTAGTTATTCTTTATTATGATACCCCCAGATGTGGCTAGCAAATGAACAAGAAGTATTCAACTATTTATGATCTTATTCTGTTGTTTTCAGGACAGAGAGTTTTTCTTCAGCTTTTCACCAAATGAGAGCTCAGCAATGTCCATATTTTTATGTATGCACACATCAATTTTCAGTATTGTTTAGAGCTAAGGGAATTGCTGGAAGTTCCTCTATGTGTGCTTTTCTCACACCAACTACAAGAGGATTGAGAGAATCACTGAAGAATGAAGGTATGTATTCTCATATATTGTAGACATAACAAATATTCTGGATGCATATTTATATATTTCATGGCTGGAAATATTAAAAAAAAAAACCAACAAAAACTCAATTTTGGCAGAACTTTCACATCTGAAGCAAGACCAAATCATGCTTCCAAGTCATTTTACCACTCGGTAAAATTTGTATGCAGCTGAAATCATTTTGATACTGTCAGTATTTACACCCTGCAAATCAGTCTGTCTGTACTTCTGTAAATCCAATTGCTTTGTAAGTGCAACTCCTTCTTATGGCTGTTATATATTATGTAGATAAAACTTAAAACACTGGTAAAACACTGACTAATGATAATGTGCATAAAAGGAATTAAAGCAGGTCCAACATGTTAAAGGGGAGATAATCAATTCTGTAAGGTGGGGGTTTCTTTTTGTCAGTTTACTTACAGTTTTAAGTTTTTTATTTGCTGAATTAGAAAATTAAAATATCAAGTTCTTTCCTGGCCTTTCAAAATCAGATATGTTTTGAATTACCCATACTGTAAACCAACTTCTTTTTGCGATTGATTTATTCACAAAACTTTTCTGTACAGCAAAATAACTCCCAATAAATCAAACTAATATTCTCTCCTATGAATTTTTTTTTGAGAGTACAAAATAAAGTTAGCTAGAAAGTGCTTAATCCAAAAAAATGTATCCATGCAAATGAATAAGTTAACAGTATTACAACTACCAGCATAAAATATGTAAACTTTCAGGAGAAAAAACATATTGCTCTGACTTTTTATATACATTGTGATTGATATACAGGTTAAAGAATCTACTAAAATACATTCACCAATAGAAACACATTTTGAGATTCATGTGATATTTATGTTTATTCTGCAGATGATTATTATCTTTATGTACAAAAAGTTATTAATCACTCAAAGTGAAGATTTGCATAGTGATTGTGACTCCTTCACTCTGAAATTTTCCTCTTGATATTAAAAATGTGAAATGGATATTATTAAATTATTAAATAAGTTATATAGCTTACTATGCAGTATGGGTTTTGATCATTGTTGAAGGCCTTAGAGTGACCAATAGTTGTTAACTTCTATGTCATTTGATTTCTGTAGGAGAGTTGTCTTATTGTATTGGCAACCATACCACATGTTCTTATTTTTAAAGGCAGTGCTTTAATGCCTTTCTAGTTGCCGGGTTAATCCTTCCTTCCGCGATATCCAACTTATCTACGTGGGGGGTCATTAGGCTCCAAGTAGATCCGGAAATGTTGAATTCTCTCCTCTTCTTATTGTGATATAAAATGTTTTTTGTTTCATTTCATTTACATTGGGAAATAGAGAAACGATCATTGTGTTTTGTTAGTTTTAAAAACTTTTGATATATTTGTATTTTGCATTATAAGCAGTCAACCGATTGACAAACTAGAATTATTTGAATTCCGTGTGGAAAGAGCTCGGGTTAATTTCGAGTGTTATCTGCAATCTAGATGTTTATAAATCATTTCAGTCGTTGATATAATAATTAAGAGTCGACTGAACATTAATTATATTATACAATTTAAAGCGCATTTCTGTTCATGCACGTGAACCCGTCTATTAAACGTTATTGTTATTTCGCAGTTATATAAAGTAGCAAATTATCGTTCCTGAATAGGTGGCGCCGTGGTAGCCGATCCTGTTCCTCAACTTCCGGTTTCTGCACTGTGCAACTATTTCAGTTACATTTTAAATTAACGATGCCAAGTACTTGTTGTTGTGTACCTGGATGTCATTTAAGAGGAGGACATGCATTTCCAAATGACTTAAAAAGAAGGAAAAGTTGGATCAACGCCATGGCCCAAACGCAGATTGGACGAGAACACGATTTCATCGTGGAGTCCATCTCAATTAGCTGTTGTTTGCAAGGCACATTTTACTGAAAAAGACTACGTGCAGGAAACTATTCATGGTAAAACTCTATTTTCTTTTTGAAATATATAGTTATATATGTAATCGCCATGCGAATAAACCAAAGTCTGTTTACAACCGCAATTATCGTTTTAGAATAAAAGGGGGTGGTTAATTCAAGACGTCATAATTTTTTGGATTACGATTCAATGTGATCTGTTTGAGATTTTTTGGTGATTGCTACATGTACAGTTATAATGATTTCTTACAAGAGGTATATCATACTGAGAATTATTTTAGCACTAATTATGCTAATGTAGTAATGACAGGAATGCATAAGCTATGCCTCATAGACTTTCTTGAAAAATATCAATGACAATGTTAACAGGAACAAAACAATGACATGCTCTCATCAATATTATAGTTATTTAGGTACAAACAATGTACGTTTGTTGCATAAGTCTCTCATTGTTTGTCCTTTGGATTTACATAACATACATTGAATCAGGCAAACATAGTTTTATCCAGATTGTAATGAATGAATCTAGTTAATATTTCGCCAGGTAATACAAAGTATACATTGCTAATGGAAGTTCATTTAATTATCAAAAAACTAATGTTTTATAACCTTTTTCAGGGCGCAAACCCACCATACAGAGACTTAAGTCTACTGCCATTCCCAGCCTATTTTCCTGGACCAAGCAAGAGACTGAATCGTCCGCAAAAAGAAAAATCAAGGCAGTTTCCTGTGAAAACAAAAGAACTAAACTTGATGAATATTGTAGTAGAAATCTAGAGGAAAGTTTTGATTGTAAAGTTGGTTATCCTGAAGAAGTCATTCATACTGCAGCAAGGATTTATGACTGTCCACCACCAACTGCTGAGCTAATGTTGAGCTTCAAAGATGGAATATACGCAAACACCATCAATGTCTATGTTTTCAGCAGAGAATTTTGAAATGAAGACACGTGACACAGCCATGCATTTTTATACCAGTTTAGAGTTGTATACTAAATTTTTATTTGTTTTGACCACACTTGGTCCAACAGCACATTGTTTGAGATACATATATTTTCAAATTGATAGGGTGTCAGTTGAAAATCAGTTTTTTTATGACTTTGATGAAATTGAGGCATTATACAACCAACTTTGAACTTTCTAGATTCTAGATTGAATCTAGTGTTAAGAATATTGTGTATACATGGATTGTTTTTATGCCTAAACAGTGGTGTGAGGCTAACACTTGGCCATCTAGTGGTTTAGTCAGGCATTTTTCGCCATTCAACTTCAAATTAAAGTTTCCCACGACTTGGATTATTATTGACAGCACAGAATATCCTGTGATAAAACTAAAGCTCCTAGAGCTCAGGCAACCTTTTCATCATATAAAAACAGAAACACTGAAAATACTTGTATGTTCGACGCCTGGTGGTTTAGTCAACTACATGTATGTCTCTAATGCATATGTTGGTTCTACCAGTGACTATGAAATAGTTGAAAGATGTAGAATACAAAATGTAGTTCAATTATGTGATCCAGCCATCCAGGTGACAGTGTGATGGCAGACAAAGGTTTAAATGTGCAAGATTTGTTTGCCAACTTTTTTCAAAAAAAGAAACAGAATTAGTTCCAAAACTCTTATACGGGATAGAAAAGTCTCCAATTAACATGTGCACATAGAGCGAATTATTGGACTTGTCAAAAAACATACAAAATTCTAACAAATCCTATGAATGGAACTGAAACAAAACTTTCATCTGAAATAACATTTAGTTGTTTTATGTTGTGTAATTTTAGAACTTGTATTGTGCCAAAGGATGCAGAAATAAAAGTGACGCAATGAATTTTGTTCTGATATATATATATTTATAATTACATGCACATGTAAATTGTAATGCATATAAAAATAAGGAGATGTGGTATGATATTCAGTGAGTTTATCGAACTAAAGTGCATAAGAAATGGGTTTAAGCAGTTACAGGTGTTACTGTCACCGTACAATCTCCAACAATGAGAAAAACTTGTACCGTGTAAAAAATTTCAGAGATCTTACCACTAAGTTTTGTTGTCTCACCTTGACTTTGGTGAATTGTTTATATCTGTTGATGTAAATATAAAAAAGAAGATGTGGTATGATTGCCAATGAGATAACTCTCCACAAGAGACCAAATGACACAGAAATTAACAGCTATAGGTCACAGTATGGCCTTCAACAATGAGCAAAGCCAATACCGCACAGTCAGCTATAAAAGGCCCCGAAATGACAATGTAAAACAATTCAAACAAGAAAACTAACGGCCTAATTTATGTACAAAAAATGAACGAATATAACAAATATGCAACACATAAACAAACGACAACCACTGAATTACAGGCTCCTGACTTGGGACAGGCACATACATGTACATACAGAATGTGTCGGGGTTAAACATGTTAGCGGGATCCCAACCTTCCCCCTAACCTGGGACAGTGGTGTAACAGTACAATATAAGAACGAACTATAAAAATCAGTTGAAAGAGGCTTAACTCATCAGATGGATAAATACAAATACAAGTGGACGTGGTCGGGTAGTTGTACATCCAAACAACAAAAAGACACTAAGTACAGATCTGAGAGTACTTGTAGTTACTGACAGCTAGTTCAAAACCACTAACAACTGATATAAAAATCTTGCATCTAAGACTAAATTATCAATCTGTAAGCTCCCTTTAGAATTTTATAAATTTTAGATTTTACATTTCTGAGTTATGGGGTTTTATTGGGATTTTCCAGTTTTTGTCGAGCCTGCGACTTTTGTCGCTGAAAGCTCGACATAGGGATAGTGATGTGGCGGCGGCGGCGTTAGCTAACTCTTAACAGCTTTATATTTTAGAAGGTGGAAGACCTGGATGCTTCATACTTTGTATATGGATGCCTCATGTTACGAAGTTTCCGTCAGCCACATGTCCAATGTCCTTGACCTCATTTTCATGGTTCAGTGACTACTTGAAAAAAAAGTTAACATTTTTTGTAATGTTAAATTCTCTCTTATTATAAGTAGTAGGATAACTATGTTTGGTATGTGCGTACCTTGCAAGGTCCTCATGCCCGTCAGACAGTTTTCACTTGACCTCGACCTCATTTCATGGATCAGTGAACAAGGTTAAGTTTTGGTGGTCAAGTCCATATCTCAAATACTATAAGCAATAGGTCAAGTATATTCGGTGTATGGAAGGACTGTAAGGTGTGCATGTCCAACTGGCAGGTGTCATCTGACCTTGACCTCATTTTCATGGTTCAGTGGTTATAGTTAAGTTTTTGTGTTTTGGTCTGTTTTTCTTATACTGTATGCAATAGGTCTACTATATTTGGTGTATGGAATGATTGTAAAATGTACATGTCTAGCTGGCAGGTGTCATTTGACCTTGACCTCATTTTCATGGTTCAGTGGTCAAAGTTAAGATTTTGAGTTTTGGTCTTTTTTTCTAATACTATATGCAATAGGTCAACTATATTTGGTGTATGGAAATATTTTATGATCTTTATGTCAGTCGCGCAGGTTTTATTTGACCTTGACCTCATTTTCACAGTTCATTGCTCTGTTAAGTTTTTATACGCCCGTTTACGGGACGTATTATGGTATACCGTTGTCCATCTGTCCGTCTGTCCGTCCGTCGTCAACATGTTGGACATTAACTCAAAAATGCTTTTACCAATTTGCATAAAACTTTGGTGAAGTGTTTATATCTATTGACGTGAGCTCCCTTTCATTTTTTATAAAATTTAGATTTTACGTTTCCGAGTTGTGGGGTTTTATTCATTAAAAAAAGGGGGATTTTCCAGTTTTCGGACAATAAGTCAAGAATGCTTTCACCAACTTGCAAGAAATTGTGGTGAATTGTTTATATCTATTGACATGAGCTCCCTTTCGATTTTTATAAATTTTAGATTTTACGTTTCCGAGTTACAGGGTTTTATTCATAAAAAAAGGGGGGATTTTCCAGTTTTCGGACAAAAACTCTAAAATGCTTTCAGCAATTCTTATGAAACTTTGGTGAATTGTTTGTATGTATTGATGTAAGCTCCCTTTAGAATTTTATAAATTTTACATTTTACATTTCTGAGTTATGGGGTTTTATTCATTTAAAAAATGGGTGATTTTCCAGTTTTCGAACAATAACTCAAATATGCTGTCACCAATTCTCATGAAACTTTGGTGAATTGTTTATATCTATTGTTGTAAGCTCCCTTTTTATTTTCATAAATTTCTAATATGACATTGAGAATTAATTGAACTTTATTTGTTTATAGTCTGACAACAGGTTTACTAAGTATTGCACAACAGCAAGAAATCTTTAATTGCATATTCAATTTATATAACCAATTTCAAGATTCATTTATTCAGAAACCTATAATATGTCAAATATTTAATTACAATCCAAATTCAGACCTGAATCAAGCTTGAATATTGTGTCCATTTTTCCCCAACTGTTCAGGGTTGGACCTCTGCGGGCGTATCTAGTTGTGTTTTGGTCTGTTTTTCTTAAACTATAAGCAATAGGTCAACTATATTTGTTGTATGGAAGAATCGTTAGCTGTGCATGCCTGCCTGGCATGGTTCATCTGACCTTGACCTCATTTTCATGGTTCATTGGTCAATGTTTAATTTTCTTGGTTAATGTTAAGTTTATGTGACAGTTGTAATAAAGCTTTATATTAAGGACTATCAACATAATCATGATAATATCAGTGATTAGTAAAGAAGGCGAGACATTTCAGCATGTGCACTGTTGTTGGACAACAACTCAAAAATGCTTTAAGCAGTTCGCATGAAACTGGTGAATTATTTATAGCTATTGATGTAATCTCCCTATAGATTTTCATAAATTTCAAATATGACATTGAGAAGAAATTGAACTTTATTTGTTTATAGTCTGGCAACAGATTTATTAAGTTTAGCGCAACAGCACAGTTTATTGCACAACAGCAAGAAATCTTTAATTGAATATAAATTCAATTCATATAACCGATTTCAAGTTCTTTGACTACATTTATTCAGAAACTATAATATGTCAAATATTTAATTACAATCCAAATACAGACCTGTATCAAGCTTGAATATTGTGTCCATTTTTGCCCCAACTGTTCAGGGTTGGACCTCTGCGGGTGTATCCAGCTGCGCTCAGCGAATCAGTTTATTTCTTAATTAAGAACTCCTTTTTTCATTCATAAATTACTTTAAACTTGGAAATATAATTTTGCTTGGAGTTATAGTTTCTAAAAAAGTATTGTTATTGAAAGAGTTGACATGTTGCAATGTACATTTATTCTACATAGTTCTATGGTACCAAATCAAAAGTTTATATAAAAGAAAGAAGTCAAAGGTTTCCCATCACAGTTTAGTTACATACATTTTTTTTGTACCTGAGGTTGTTGAATATAGATCATTATATAAATAAGGAGATGTGTTATGATTGCCAATGAAACAACTATCATCCATACTTACCAGTAACAAACCACATTTGCAGAGTTGAATAAAATACAGTTGATAACATTTACTTATTACTAAAAAGAAAATGCCTAACTATTTAAAACAGTATTTGAATATCAATTATATGGTCATTTTTATAAACTTTCTGTTACAAAACTTTGAATTTTTCGAAAAAACTAAGGATTTTCTTATCCAAGGAATAGATTACCTTAGCCGCATTTGGCACAATTTTTTGGAATTTTGGGTCCTCAATGCTCTTCAACTTTGTACTTGTTTGGCTTTATAACTATTTTGATCTGAGCGTCACTGATGAGTCTTATGTAGACGAAACGCGAGTCTGGTGTATTAAATTATAATCCTGGTACCTTTGATAACTAATTTGACTATAAACATAGATAAAAAAGGTACAAACTGGACATAATGCACAAGTTCATAAACAAGTGAGAACAAACGCCTTCATATATTGCTCAGAATATGACATTCATAAAACTTGTTCAATATCATTAGAGAACTCTAAATCTTAAATACTGAAAGCCACCTCTGATAAGTACACTGTACTATGCAAGATAATGATATAACTGGACTAAAAATACACACAACCTGTAATTAACTGCCTTTACAGCGCTTTCGCGCTTTGATTATATATTGTCTCTAAATCACCAATAATTTTCCTCTTTCACTGTTATTCTCTGGGCACCAGTGATCTGATTCTAAACAGAATCACCTTGTTGTTTACTATCATAAAAATTGTTGATTTTCTTTTTAACAAATAATGTTGAAATGTATTTGATATAAATTAACGTAGCTTTTTAAATATTTCACTAGCATATAATACAGCACTTTTAATTGTCATCTTTGTTTTTTTTTCTCATGTGATTATCCTGGGAAGAGGAAAAAATATTTGAAATATTTCATACTGTATGCTGTATGTAAATATCTATAATTTTTTTCACAGGTCATGTTGCTGAAATTAAAATCATTAATGTAACAGAAAATTGATTTCTTTTCAAAGCACTTACGTTTATCTTGTTTATAGATTGTGGCCAGTAGTGAAGCACAAACACACAAGAGGATAATACTTACAATTTGATGAATAAAATTATCATTGATTATTTTAAGTATTTTTCTCAACAAATTCAATTCCTTTTTTTTTTAACATTCTCAGAAACATCAATTTTGAATTTTGTCATTTTTTATGTTTCAGATATTGAGTTTTCTATGCCAGTTTTAGAAAATAAAAAGAGAAAATCTGATGAAAGTGTATTAGAACTTGAAAAAGAAAATCAAGAAGCAGCTGATCAGTACGTATGTTCAGAATAACAAACAATGGGTTATATTATATATTTTTTATTATTATAACAAATTACCTATTTCAGTTACTTTGACATTATATATTAATCAATTAAATCAAAATTAATCATGTTATGTACTTTGTTTAACCTATTTTTAATTTACTTTTATATTATGTTTGAAATTATATTGTAATTATTCTGCTCATTTTTGGCGCGGTGATTGGCAAATAAAATATTTGTTTGTTTGTTTGATAAATACTTACAATGTGCAATTTCAGTGTGAACATTGTGGATAATTATTTTAAAAAAAATATTCCAATGGATAATCAACCAAGGTAGTAAAACTATTTTATTGTTGTTATTTTATTAAGAAATTACCCAAAATCCTTTGAATTTTCAGAGAAAAAATCTAATTTTTAATGGAAATAGACATAAGAAATAAAAACTTGAGAAAATATGAAACAGAAAAAAAAATGCTTTGATAGTCTCAATGTAGCAATCCCACCAAAAGTGTGGGATGTACATAAGGTTTGATCCCAAGCCTTGTCATACCAAGGGCCAAAACATTGGTAATTACTATCTCCATGTCTAGCACACAACATTATTGAATACAAGAGCAGACTGGTAGTTTTAATGGTATACCTATTGTGCAAGACGTATACCGACAGTGCAAGACCCTCATGGGCAGTCAGGGTGGTTAAAAACCACCCTCATCATTAATGGTATATCCCTAAAAATGCAAATGTATACAATTTTAAAACAACAAAAACAAAGTAAAAAGTTAATAACCGTCTGTATGCTTTATGATGTGATATATTACTCAACATACATTCAGAAATTATTGTGTGCATTAATTATTGTGATTTTTGAAGTATGGACAAAAATGTGAAAATTGATAATTGTGATTTTAGGAAAAGCTGCATACAGATATATATGTATCAGATATTAGAACGTGAGTTCTTATTATTGCGATACTCAGCCAGTCGCATAAATAAAACCTCACAATCATTTCTGAATTTACAGTATAAAATTTTTTTATTGTTTTAGATCTAAAAGTACACCCAACCCTAAAGATGAGGAAGAAGAAGATGAAGATTTAATAGATACAGATGAAGGTGCTCATGTCTGGTTAGAAAGTATAGGCTTGGACAAGAAATCTTTTCCATCACTAGATCCAAACAAAGTTAAAATGTATCCTTTAGTCAAAATCATAACTTCTAGATAAAAATAATTATTTGCGGTTATATAACTTAGGTGGAGAAACATGAGCGGATATTAGTTTAAGGCAAAAGTAGTTTACTGATGTTGGAATCCCATAAATTGATTAAGGTGGTACCACACACCTTGACTAAAATAAATTTGGCTCGTTTAATTTTCATAAAATTTTGACAAAATATTTACTTTGACCCTTTAACTAAAATATAAAAATTTCAAAAAACTTGAACCACACACTTTATCGGAAAAATTTCATTGAATATATAGCAGTTTGACAAACACTAATCTTGATCATTGAGAAGCTTAATATTTCCTTAACAATAGAATGTGATTAAAACATTCAGCTGATTTTCGCAGAGTTATCTCCCACTAGTGTTATGTACCACCTTAAGAACTTCAAGACAAATCAAGATAACAAACAAAAACTAGCATGAACTCCAAAAGCAATAAGACTGGGTGTGTCAACAGGGTGAGCGTCTCCTGCTCTGCATGCTTTACTCTATGTGAATCTACACTCAGTCAAAATGACACAATCGGGAATACAACACAATTGGGAAAATTACAAATAAAACTGTTATTTTAGTATCAGAATATATATGTCGCTAGTGAGTTGAGAGACAGACAATATCATTATTAATATCATGAATAACTTTTAGGAGTTTTGAAATATACATTAATGAGACAGTAATGTTACTTTATGAGAAAAAAAACACAGAAAGGACATTAAAAGATCAAAATGTGGTCTCAACAATAGACAATTGATTACACCATTTTCAAGCTCTATTAAAAGAAGATCAAGTCAAGTTTGATCAACCTGATATTAATAATGCATATGAGTCACAACATTTTAATTTTTCTTTTATTTTAAAAATTTAACAGATGCAACTAGAATTTTTCAGCAGCTAAGATATTAGGTAATACTACACTGCTGTTATTTTAATGAATTTTGACGAAAAACTAAATACATATATTCTATGTTACCAATTGAGTTTCATTAAATTAGAGGTTTCAGAACAACACGAATGGCCCCGCTTGCCAAAAAAGCTTGAAGCCATTTTTTGGAGGGAAAAGGAGTAAGTTCACAAAGGGTTAAAAATTGGCCATAATAGTTTGATGTTTTTTTAATCAGGCCAAAATACTACAAATTGCACATAGAAATAACTGCGATATAACTGTTAATACAAAATAACTACTTTTTGGTATATCACATTAAAAATGATGAAGAAATGACCCCTCAAGTATGCCTTATTTGTGTTGAAACGTCTGTTTCGGTCAAGAATTTCCTCAAGCTTTTAGGTCCAAAAAGTGCACAAAATAATCGTTTTTTGACAATTTAATCAAAATGTGCTGACTTTGAAGCCCAGAATGTACTCTATTGAAGAGATTTGTTTAACTTAGTAGTAAGGCTTATGAGATAGATCTATTTAAGAACCAAATTATGGCAATTTTGATATTATATGATACAGTTGAATTTCACAGCCATATTTGGTCTAAAGTGAACCTTGTCCTTTGTATAACTGTTATTTTCACAAAATATTCAAAGTCAAAAGCCCAATATTGTGGCACAAATCAGGGGAGTGAATCCAAACGTAAACTTGATCTGTTACACATCCTAGTAGATTCACATACTTAAAATCAGCTCAATATGTGAAGGTGTTTAGAAACAAATTCTATATAACTGTTGTTTCCTTGAAGTTTTCAAAGTCCAGAGCCCTTAATTTCAGCAAAAATCAGCAGAACAGAACTAAAAGTAAACTAGATCTGTAACTCATCATAGTAGACTCACAGGGTTTAAGCTAGGATTTATAGGGCTTTAGTCACTTTTGCGTGAGATGAAAATCAACATTATTTTGGGTAACAGCAAGGGACCCAGGATGTATGCATATTACTAGCTATACATCTTTGTCAGACTTTGAAGGACTAAGGCATCAATGTACTAGGCAGTAATTGCATGATTTGACTGATGTGTCACTAAAATATGAAGATTAGGATATAAGATCTGAAAATCTAGTTCAAAATTTTACTTCAATTAGTTTCAGGGGACATTCCTGATCAACAAAAGTTGGGTTCCTTTTTTTAAAACCAGGAATCACAGTATAAATGAACTTGATGAACTTTGTAAGACTATTACACTGCATAATCATTATCCTTATAAAACGTTTAAATCCATATTTTGAATTAATTTCTATAAAGTTGGAACCAAGGATTTGTACAAATTCTAGTGGAACGATTCCAATAACTGTAAATTGTAAATTAATCGAGAATTGATCACGTTTACTTTCGATTTTCAAATGAAATGTAAACGGGAAGTGACAAGTAGATAATAGATTCAGAATGAATCCTGATTCATCTATGGATTGGTTCGTGTTTAAAAAAATGCAGGAAATTATCATTTTTTTATTTCAATTTGCTTAGTAAGAACTATATTTGTCTCTCTCATTTATTTTGGCACGAAATTTATTTCGTATTTTACGTTTTAGTGTCTATAGGAATACTTTTACGCATGCACAGTATATCGTAAAGGAAGCACCTGTTTGACTCGTTGATGATGATGGAAGTTTTTAACGTGAAAACATTTCTGAACGTTTTGAATAAAGTTCTAACTTTTAAATCGAAATTGAACGTTTTATATCAAAGATGACGAAAATACGATCATTTCACAAAACTACAACAAACGAACTGCAAATTATGATCGTTTTAGAAATATTGAAATTAAAAAACGAACTGTTGGGGGAAAACAATTTTGTTCAAATGACGAAACTACGACAAACGAACTGCAAATTGTGGTCGTTGGCCTTGAGAAATATTAAAATTAAAATGCAGACTGACTAATTTTACTGGGGAAAATAATTAACCGGATAAGTGACCCATCCGATGGCGATAAGCGGATTAGCTGTAATCACAACTTTATAACACCTGTTGTAAATGTTATTTAGCTGAGGGTCATAAACTTGTCAGAAACATGTAGACAGGTAGAATTATAGTATTTTCATGCGAAAATATTTTTACACTTTCCAAATTTAAGTGACGAAATTGATTTGAAATACTTTCGTCATTTTGAAAACAGTTTCGTAAATTACGAAAGTGACGAGCGCTAGCAAAATCACTGAGACTCACATAATAAAAATCAGCTCCATATGTGAAGGCATTTAGAAAAAAGGACTGTATGGCTGTTATTTTCATGAAATTTTCAAAGTCTGAAGTCTGTAATTTTGTCAAAAATCAGCTGAGCAGAACCAAATGTAAATCTATCTGTCAATCATCATAGTAGACTCACATACTAAAAATTACCTTAATATGTCAAGGTGTTTAGAGAAAGTCCATATAACTGTTAATTGTGGAATGATGGATTGACAGAATGATGGATATGGGTAAAACTTTATGGGCTGACCACTTTGTAGCTTGGCCATAAAAATCCAGGAATGTAATTTCATTTTTATATCGAAAATTATCCTTAACTGAGACTCAGACAAAGAGAAGGTTTCAGAGTGATAGATAATCGTCCAGAATCCTTAGTTTATGTTGAAGGAACCAGTGTGCATGGACTATTTAATTTTCTGCTGAACTGTCGTAGTTGCATAGCAACTAGTGGTCCACAAGCAGGAGTACCACCATCCATACTGTCACCTTCATCATTTAAAGGAGCTGCTTTAAAGTCTCATAAGGTAAGAACAGTCATAAACTAATCATGTTAATATTAAATGTGTGTCGAAGGCTAATATTACTTTATTGAATATAAGTAGAGATATTTGTTGTGTTAAACCTTACTCAGTTTGAATAATGAAGTACCGGTAATGGCAAATTATCGCTACAATGTATAGATAAATTTCATGAAGTTCTTTTTAGTCAAAATATAAATCTTTTTTATACATACATTTGTACATTAAACATTGTGGGTTTAATATTATACGGAATACACATTTTGGTTGGTATAGATAAACCATGAATTTGAATATTAAACGAAGTACAAGTTTTGCTATAAACTTCTATGTTGATTTTTGCAAAGCCACAAATATCCATGAAAAACAAATTTTTCCTCAATCTACAAAAATTGGTATCCACGAAAATAAATGTATCCAATGTATATCAAATTAAAATTTTTATGACCAAATGGATGTAGGCAAACAGAAATCTTAACTACTGTAAATTCAGAAATTATTGCATGCATTTATTATTGTGATTTTTGAAAAATTAACAAAAATGTGAGTTTAACTATTGCGAATTTAGGAAAAGCTACATACAGATATATGTATTTAATATCATTATGCAAGTTCTTATTATTGCGATACTCATGTAGTCGCGTTATTCGCATTAATAAAAACCTCGCAATAATTTCTGGATTTACAGTAATGCTATTTGTTAAAAGGGAATTTATGGAATTCCTTGCATCTATAATATCTGTCATTTCTAAAAGTTAAACATCTAACTTGTATTTAAAACTTTCTCAAAATATATTGCATTTTGTTTTTATTTCTATGCAAACTTTTACGATACATACAAATGATTTTTGTTTTATAATCAATTCATGAATATTCATATTCTTCAGGTTAAACATTCCATAGCCAGACAACCAGATGTTGATGGTAATATAAGACAAGTCCACATTTTAGAGGTTGCCGGGCCAGTTCTTCCACATCATGTACATACCATATCATCTCTCTTACATCGGACTCAAAATCAGGACTTTAGTTTGACTTTCAATACACACGAACCTTCTCAGCCATTTAATGTCAAATGTCAGCCTGTTGATGAAAATATCGTTGAAAATTGCAGACGGCCATTTAATATGGAGGATAAAACATTTGATTCGTTTTTCAGTAAACAATGTATAGCAGACAGACTTACTTGTATACATGAACTAACTTGTGAAAAAGAAGGTTATACATGGATATCTTGATATCTTATTAAATACTTGTTTTTTTTTTTAATTATATTTGTGCTAGCTTAGGGGACGACCATTTGATATTCTGGGGGGGGCCAGGAGGATTTGTTTTGGATCGGTTATTTATTTTTGTAAACTAAGAGGACAGATTATCTATTTTCTGCACTATTGAAGCAAGATTTTTCATTTTCATTAAAGCAAAGGACTAATTATTTATTTTCACAACTATATTTATGTATTCGAAAACATACAATTTTTAAATTATTTGTTTATTATAAATAATTCATGTATAGTCAAGTCATTATGTACCATTTAATCAGAATTAATTATTATCCTCTGCAGAAATGAATCTCCTATATTCCCCAATGCATATACATGTATTGCATACATACACAGTATTAAAGTTTGTTTGTATCTAAGGCTCTTTTAAAAGTATTGGCAAACATGTGTTGCCGAGCGGAGCGAGGCAAAATTTTTTTTGAAGGGTTTTTGAACCGCTGAAGGCCCAAGAAGCTATAGAACAAATGATGCAAAATCATGCCTTCTGGGTGTTCCCCAGACCCTTTCTTAAACTGAAAATGCAAGTTCTGTTTTAATAATTGTATGACAATATTTTGGTCTCAAAGCAAAATCACGTTATAGATTCAGTGTAAGACTTAAGTTTCTAGGAACAACATCAAAAGACAAATATGCATGATACTGTGGATTCATTATTGTTCGTTGGATACCAATTTTCGTGGTTTTCGTGGATACAGGTGAAACACGAATTCAAATGTTCAACGAATTACAAATTTACTATCAGGTTGTATGCAGAATATGGCAAAACCACGAAATCACATATCCACGAAAAACCAAGTTTTCCCCAATCCACGAAAATTTGTACCCACGAAAATAAATGAATCCACAGTAAAGCAAAAATGTAATTCACATAGTTAAGTCTGTGGCTGCTGTGTTTTTTTAAACTCATGATCAAGTTAATAATAAAATTACTAAATTACAAAATGAATGCAACACTAACAGAATACAGAAGGGCAATCAATGAACAAAAGACAAATAAATAAGAAACATTGATCCCGAAAAGTCAGGGGCTACGTCTGAGGGAGAACAGAACTTGCTTCTTGCAAGGCACTCACGGTGAACACAATTTGTTATGGAGACAAGCGTTTGGTTTTGAAATTTCCTACATGAGGCATTTGTCTCAATGTAGTTACGGCCCTGATTTAATAAAAGTGAGGTAAGTGTTCCTGAGACAATTAACTTCAAGTTAAATGAAACCAATTTTCTGACATTTCAATAGATATAAGAAGATGTGGTATGAATGCCAATGAGACAACTCTCCATCCAAGTCAAAATTTATAAAAGTAAACCATTATAGGTCACAGCAAGTATATTTAAATAATATTTATACTTTTATTATTAATTTAAAAGATATGGGAAGTGTTTTTCGATTTTTTTTTTGGAAAAAAGATGAATTTATGAAGAATCTGGTGCCATCTCATACTTTCGATTAGACCTGCTGAGTTATTTATTTTCAATACATTGCAAGTCAGGTAATTTATTTTCAAACTACCACAGAACAAACCATTTATTTTTGTGATTATCAAGGCTGAGTTATTTATTTTCAAAATCCTCCTGGCCCCCCCCAGAATATCAAATGGTCGTCCCCTTATGTAGGGTGGTGTTTTTCATAATTAGGTGCTTCTTATTACCTAAAATTTCTTTTTCATTCAAACTTATGCAGAAGTTAAAAATAATATATTTATAAAAATTGCACACAAAAGGACATTTGCTCATTGACAACATGATTGATAAAAAGGAATTTTTTCAATAAATTGACTAAATTTTTAATTACATTGTAAAATGAGTTAAAATAATATCAAACAGTGTCAAAAGGCTTTCCAAAAGATAAGTTCTTATCCCAATTTTTTGTTTATTTAAAAAAAATAAACACCCTCTGAAACCAGTCTTCAATTTTGAAGGTTGGAGAAGAAATTTTACTTTAACTGTAAAATTAAAAGCATTGTAACTAAAATCATGTTTGTTAATACACAACATTGGTTTCTATGTTGTTTTTGCTATCAACATGATCATTTGGTATTGATGTTGATTGTGAAAATGACTTAAATATTATATTCTTCTGCAAAAATTATATAGAATATCATTAAAAAAACATGACATGAATTAGAATCAACAGCAAATCATCTACTAAAATTAAGGGGCCTCGGTGGCCGAGTGGTCTAAATAGTCCAACTACTGTATCGCTAGCCAGTCAACACTAAGGTTGTTAGTTAGAATCCTGCACGGGGCAGGTGCACTCAACTTCAATCTTAATTGACAAGGATTGTCAGTTTTCCTACCGAAGGTCGTGGTTCTCTCTGGGTACTCCGGCTTCCTCCAATAAAAACTGACTGCCATGAAATAGCACAATAGTGTTTAAAGTGGTGTTAAACACCAATCAATCAATCAATCAATCTACTAAAATTAAAGAGGAAGACCAATCTAGTTTGAGTTTACAAAAACATTATATCTATGTGCATTTTAGTATTCACCATCTTGCATTGTAATCTATTTCATTTCTTAACCCTTTCCTAATATCCACAACTCCTCATATTCAATTGATATCTGTGGAAATTTATAATGATTTCAGTGCAGTTTTGATTTTTTGAGGATGTTTGCTGATCTTGGTTTTTACTTTTTGTCGGATATTCAGAATCCTTTGGTTTTATCTATAAAGTGCCATTAAAATTTTGCCCACTTACCCCTCCCTACCTTTCTTCTCATAATTTTATGACATTTAGTTAAAAAAAAAAAGCTATATTTGAAAATCTTATAAAATCCTATAAAAAATATTTTTTCATACTTTTTGAAAGAAAAAAAATGCCAATGTTAGATGTAAGAAAAATCTACAGAAAACCATTTTGCCCACCAAATATTCAGTGGATTATAACTAAAAAAAAAGGACAAATTTTTTTTTCTGTTTTTTAGTTCTGTTATTTTTATACTATCAATATAAAACAGTCTTTTAAAAAATTTGGTATTTTGAAACAGAGCAGCAAACATCCTTTAGTGTCTTATTGCCTTTTTTTCTGTTGGCCATGGTGGTGTTTGTACTCTATGACTGTTTTTTTAATTGCTCACTTGTTTTTATATCATTCATTAAGAAAGTTGTGTCATTGGACTCTTTTTTTCTTTTATTTAATTTGAGGGATTTTCGTTAGTAAAATATGGACTTGTCCTTGTTTACATTTATGATATAGGCATACAATTCTTTTTTTTTAGCATAATCAAATCAGAATATTGTTTGTTTCAATAAACATAATATGGACTTCTTGTGTATTTTTAAAAGAAGTTACAAATAGTCTGGTAATTCTTAACATTTTCACCAACAATATTAACTTTTGTCTTCATTTCACATGTCAGATAAGTGAAATTCAAAAATTTTTCATACATACCACTTTACTTAACTTTTTCAAAGATATTAGTTGATTGTTGGTGTTTTAACGCAACTTTTAAGCGCCACATTTGGGCTATTTCATGGCGGCCAGTTTTTATTGGTGGAGGAAGCCGGAGTGCCCGAAGAAAACCACAGACCTTCGATAGGAAAACTGACAATCCTAGTCAATTAAGATTGGAGTCGAGTGCACCCGCACAAGCGGGGTTCGAACTCACAACCTCAGTGTTGACTGGCTAGTGATTACAGTAGTAACTACTTAGACCACTCGGCCACCGAGGCCCCTATTAGTAAAGATGATTTCCTGCAACATTACAGGAAGTATCTGACTTCATGTATCATTATGTGGTTTTTGTCGAGCCTTCTACTTTTGTCGAAAAAGCGAGACATAGCGATCCTACATTCTGTCGGCGGCGGGGGCGTCCACAAATATTCACTCTGTGATTAAAGTTTTTGAAATTTTATTAACTTTCTTAAACTATACTGGATTTCTACCAAACTTGGACAGATGCTTGTTTATGATCATAAGATAGTATCCAGAAGTAAATATTGTAAAAAAAAAATTCCTGTTTTTCCGTATTTTACTTATAAATGGACTTAGCTTTTCTGCCAGGAAACATTACATTCACTCTGTGGTTAAAGTTTAACTTTCTCAAACTATCCTGGATTTCTACCAAACTTGGACAGAAGCTTGTTTATGATCATAAGATAGTATTCAGAAGTAAATTTAAAAAAAAAAATCCTGTTTTTCCGTATTTTACTTATAAATGGACTTAGTTTTTCTGCCAAGAAACATTACATTCACTCTGTGGTTAAAGTTTTTAAAATTTTGATAACTTTCTCAAACTATCCTGGATTTGTACCAAACATGGACAGAAGCTTGTTTATGATCAAAAGCTAGTATCTTAAAGGAAATTTTCCGTATATTACTTATAAATGGACTTAGTTTTTCTTCCAGTTAACATTACATACAGTCTGCAGTTAAAGTTTTTAAAACATTTATTAGATTCATAAACTATCCTGGATTTTTACCAAACTTGGACAGAAGCTTCTTACAATAAAAAAATTGTATCGAGAGGAATATTTTTTTTAAATTTTTTCCTCATCTCATTTTTGTTGAGCCTGCGATTAACAGCAAAAGTAGGCGAGACACTGGGTTCCAGGGAACCCTTACGAATTTTTGTTGTATCAGTAATAAAAAAATGATCTTTGAAGACTTACAATGTTCATAGAATTTAATCAGAAACATTTATGCTGGCAAGACATTTCAGCATGTGCACTATAAAATAATTTATTTTTCATATTGACAAGTTTTCAGTTTTTATATAAATTGTAAAATTTTAATTTATGTTTTAGTTATTGATTATGTAATGTATTTTTTCCTAATTTATTAACATTATATTTTTAGGCTTATTTGCCAGATATAATGTGCTGTTGTTTTATTTAAATAAATTCATCAAGTTTATACATTGACGCTTTATTTCACCATATCTCTTGCAACTTGAATCTGGTGTGTGATTCTTCAAATTTCATTTTTAAGATTTCCTATTTTGTTCTGTGTTCTGGAGAGAACAACAAAAATATGTCTTTCAGTTTGCCTCAGCTAAG